TCGAATAATGAGACAGTATAGACAACCTTCAACAATTCCAAAATTCCATTATCAAGATATTTTGATGGTCCAAATCTTTTGCGGAAGTCAGGCCAATTGAACCACCATCTTACCATATCGCCCTTGGTTCTTTATATCAAGAGCCCAATCAACCTCTGGCTATATCTTTGGGGTGAAGCGACTCAACGCCCGAATTTTTGCGCCATAGAAATAGAATACAACTGGTATCGGAATCATTGCAATAGAAAGAAATCCGAGGAGTGACGTAGCCCAGTCGACTCCCAGCCTATTATACATGTAAGTCCCAAACAGAGGGAACGCAGCGCCAACCTTGGAGATTGTTAGTAAGACTCTTTCTGTGAAAGAAGTGCACTTACCGCGCTTCTAATGAGAGTATTCGCTGATATAGCTGAATTGGCAACAATCAAATACACGTCGATCAAATAATTGAGGCCTTGCATCCAGATCATCAAAATTCCCATTCCGATCGGTGCACCAGCGATCGCTTGTGGCACCCATGAGATACTTGGGTTGGATGTCCATCCAAACCAAAATAACCCGATCGGTAGAAGAAAGGCGGCCACAATCATGGGAGGAAGACGATCTTCTGGCACGACAGAGCCATTGCGTACTTTTGGGGCGTACCACAGGCGTGTTGCGACAGTAACGACAAGGCAGCCCAGAAGAACCCCAACTAATATCCCCAGGAAAGGCAATGCTGCAACCCCCTCATTATTCCAACCCCGGACCTGTCGAAAAGCGATAGGATATGCGACGAAGAATAGGTAAAGGATTCCGTAAATAAGCGAGATATAGATGGTCATACAGACAAGAATCGGCTCGAGGAAAAGCATTTGCATCGGTCGGAAAAGGTATTTGGTCAATATCTCGCTGAATGTCGGCGTCTTTTCGTCTAGACGTGAACGGTACGCCCAAATACCTGTCGACTTACGGAGATGGCTGGCGCGACGCTGGAGGATAACAGGATGGTATGTCTCGGGTAAGACTAGAAAGGCAATTATGCCGAAAAATGACGCCGGTATCATGGTGATCCAGGCAGTCCATCGCCAACCCAGATGTGATTCGACAATGAAGCCACCACTGGTTGAGTACAATTAGCTCGAGTCCGATTCTATTAATCCGCGGTATGATGATATTAACGTACACGATCGGTCCGAATATCGGTCCCACGAAGGTAGCTGCAGAAAACAAAGAGATTGCAATCGCGCGTTCCACAGGACCCCAAAAGTCTGCCAAAGCACCTGGTATAATCGCAAGGGCGGATGTGCCGAAAAACCCCAAAAGGAAACGGGCAGGCATCAAGGTCTCGAGGTTCTCAGCAACAGCGACGGGGATTTGGAAGATGATGAATATTGCATATCCGATATAGAGAGGTCGCAACCGGCCATATAGCTCAGACAAGGGCCCCCAAATCTGTGGTCCTATCGCAAACCCCTTCGCGTCAGTGTTAGCATTTCGGCTCTGTTATTATTGCGGGGTTGACTTTTTGACACACCAGAACAGTGAGGCTTGTTCCCAGAGTTGTAACTTCAACTGAAACATGAAACTCTTGCGAGGTGACTCCAGAAGCAGTACTGAATACACTGCTGGAAAAGGTGACCCAGGTGGTCAATGTACTGAAAATGCAGGTGATCAGTGTTTTCCTCCAGAATGGATAGTTCATCGGTAGTTCAGGATCGTTAGGCCCATCCCATTCAACCAAATAAGGATCCACGACTTCTGGCTTATCGGCAGCTGGCTGTTCTCGCGTAGCTTCCAAGTCTGTCCCAGACTTGCAAGTGTCGGTAGACATTTGCGCGTCAACTTCTTCCTTCGTCTTTGGGGGTGGGCTCGCGTCTCAATCGTGTTGGTAGAGTGATGTCGGGAGATATGCACACGATTGAAAGTCTTTCAACATTTTGTCGAAATTGTGATAAAGAGTCATTTTTGTAACTATCTGTAAGGCACAACATGCCTGGACTTTACCTTGAACAATCTGCATAGAACTATTTATCCGATGCTGGCGGTCAGTCGACCAACTGTTTCCCCGAGCCGAGCAAAAAGATTATCCGAGCCAATCAAACTGAGAGCGCGGGACCTGGAGCTGCACAGTAAATTCTCCCCTGAGGACTGTTTATGTCCTTGCTTACTACTCATTCATCAAATCCATAGCATAACCAAGCCATAATGCGATCAATCTGGAGGTTAGGTGGCGATGTCACTGGCAGTGCGTGACCAATGGCAATTTTTGAATCAGCGACGGGCAACTACCAACTACTAACGTGTTTCATGGGTCGCAGGGCCACCCGAGTAAGCGGGCCACCCTAAAACACCATACTAAAAGCGATAAATTATCTGAACAACTATACTTTTTTCCAAGTTATATCTTATTAAATATTACTTTTTGAAGATATAGAATAGTAGATTTTAATTTGAATTATTAATTTTATCAATTATTCTACTTGATCGCCATCAAATACCTCATTTCTGATGTATTATATCAAAAATATGTATTCTTTACGGTATATATATACAGAGACAATTTCTTTCTATATTTTTATGATAAGGATATAATAGAGACTATATAACCTCAATATTTAGCTTCGAATCACTATGGTTGTTGAGATATCGAATTGTAATTTATCGCCTTACCTATGGTGTTCTAGGGTGGCCCGCTTGCCCAAGTGGCCCTGCGACCCATGAAACACGTTAACTGCTAGTACTAAGATTGCAGTACCTAGGTAGTTTTGAACACTGTATGCGATGCTTTCAAGTTTCGCTTATAATATACTATACTTCTTCTTCCTCATCCATAGACTCGGATAGATAACTGTGATACCATGCATCCCTCCGAATGTATCAAGGTTTGCTCTACTAATACCAATACTACTTTTCGTAAGCTAGGTTAGGGTCGACGATGGAAAGCTGTAGCGTTCTGGCTCCTATCTAATTATGACTATTGGATTTCTTAAACTCTCTCTCTATTGATTATTTTCTCACGTCTATTTTCTGGCTATTTTATGTTCCCGATCATAATATCTCTTCCCAATCTGACAAGTAGGATATATTCCCCTTTATTGCCGTGAGTAGTACATACGACCATAGGGTGTGGAGAACAGGGCTTCCCGTCCGCTCAGCCGTACTTAAGCCACACGCCGGCAGGTTAGTAGTATGGTGGGTGACCACATGCGAATCCCTGCTGTTGTATGTATTTTTTTTGGCTCCAAATTTTCCTCCTACGGCGGACCATGTTGCCATCCACTCAAATCAACTTTGACGGCCGATCTCTCTCTGCCACACTACCATACTGCTTCTGATTGCCTCTGAATTGCTTGTATAACCCTACCGACTTCTTCTCGCCGGCACATGTGTTGCCTACGATACCTGTGATGCCCAGTTTGCCTCCTTTTACACAGCTGAGAGTGCTACTTTTGTGTGCAATATTTTTGCGTGCAATCATTCAATGATTCTTTTTGACAAAATATAGATTAATCGGTATATCTTAGCAGAGAAACTTCTATATACATTAAATTGTTAGAACTCAAACGTGCAAGAGTACATCATCATCGTAGCGCCCATCTCGCACTTGCTGCTGCTTGTGGTTATAAGTGCCTAGGTACTCGTACTACTCGTAATTTGTCGCTGCCTAGGTGTTGGTACTCAAATAAGACGCCGACCCGCCGCCCTAAGATCCAGTCGCTATTATGGGTACGTAACAGCTGTGTGGAGAACATGCCGCGGATGCATGATGTTGCTTGTACTCCGTACAATATTCCAAATTACCTACCCCACATAAGACTGATCACTATATTCAACATGATTCTTTGACTCGGACAAGCTGTTTGATAAATCCGAGCAAAGTATTGCCGTTAGAAATATAGTTACGTCGACCCAGAACGTATTTGGCCGCTTTGATCGACAATGCGGAATACATTTAGCCCCTTCGATCGGCAATGTATGCAATGCATGTACGTACAACAATTCGATTTCAAGTCTTCGGCCCACACGAAATGGCAAGGTGGGAGCCTTACTCGCGTAGGTAGTCGGTATAGGGATTGATCTTCAGTGCCTCCCGCAAAATAACATGTCAGCCTCTTAATGCTTAGCATATTTCTGGCCCCACAGAGTGGCGATTTGCAACTGAATAGCGACACCGCTTGCAACTCAAGAGCGATGGCAATCAAACGGCAGTGGCGATGGAAATAGCGATGGTAATAACAATAGCTAATCTTTATCCAGACCCAAAACGGGCGGATGGAACGGGGTTTTATCTCTCTGGACATTGGATCCAACATGGCATTGCGTTGCTCCTTCTAGATGAAAACCCACCGACCCGCGCTGTGACTTCATGGGATGTTTCGATCATAGGTCACGAGTCTGGCCGAGTTACGTCTCTAGAGATTGGAGCTGCCAGTTCATAGTAATATATCTGGAGGAATTAGTGGCTTGAGTTACTTGTGGATAAGAAAATGATTTAGTACCTAGGTATTCATGCTTGTAGGCACGAGCCAAAACCACTCGACGAGAATGATTTTTTAAAATGCATGTCAAGCCTACCTGCTCGCTTTACAAGGTCGGTATTCGGGAATAATTTAGTCAGCTGGACAGAGTGAGATGAATTTTTGGACAGGTCTTAGCCACAAACAACATGCTGACTTGTTCCGCAGATGGTCGACAAAATTTATGCTCCACATTGTAAGGCAATGAACCTTTAAGATTTTACAGCAGACGGCAAAGCTGTTTAGCTGAGCCCTGCACTCCACAAAAAGGTCTCGCACTCCACATCAACATTCGCACTGCAGAAAAAAACCAGAACATCGCGATTTAATTGAAAGAACAGGTGCAAAAAGTAATGACAAATGACATACAGTAGTAAGATCGAGGGCTATCTCCCATATAAAAATATGGCCTCAATGCCCAGCCTGGATACTATTATATCAATCTTCAAACCTTCAAATTCATTTCGATAATCCGTGATAACTATACTTTCCAAAAACACCATGCAATTTTTCGCGCCTTCTCTCCTCCTTGCCCTCGCTTCTACTGCGTTCGCTGACGATCTCTGGAGTGTTGTCACCTACGCCGAAGCTGACTGTGCTGGAAGCGGAGGCAGCGGCTCGAACACTATTTCGACGGGTTCCTATTGTAAGGACGTGAGTGGGATCAAAAGTCTCAAAGGATCTGCTTCTCCCAATAAGATTACCGCATGGAGCGGTTCTGACTGTTCCGGAACCTCGTGGTCTGTCGATGATGGCAAATGCTTCACCGGAAGCATCGGCTCTTGGCAAGATTCTTAAGCAGCCCATCCAAGATTCTCCCCGGGGCGATTCGCAGTTTAAATAAACCCGAATACTGGAATCCCGGATAGAATTGTAGGAAGTTTGCTAATATGAATTCATTTACTCTCTCAGTGAGGGGCCAGTCCGATCTAGTATGTTAGATGGGATTATCTACATGCGAATTCTCACTGTAGACAGATGTCTACATGCCTCCCCGAGAGTGGAATACAGTATAGCAGAGAATGTATCATTCCAGTATCATAAATAGAGCTTGATCGGGTCTCAAGAACTTGGGATGGCTACTTCGTGTGATTTATCAACATTGAACTCTGTTATTATTTTACACGAAGCATTGAATAGAATGGAATTTTCCTCTCTGGCTATACACTATTTTATGAACGAGCTTTTTGGTACTCGATGAACGCCCTATTCTTACCCTGTCTATTGTAACTACCTGAGTTGCGCGACGCTAAAGCAGTGCTGATCCTATTCGGGCGGTACCTACCCTACTTTTCGCCGGCAGAGTAGTATCGTGGGTGACGATAGTTAGTTATATCCCTGCTGTTTTACGTTTTTTCTTACTTTTCATCAAAAATCCACTGCTACGCGATGAGTCAAATTAAGACCAAGGTTGTTGGTGACAGTTCGCTTCTCTCTCCCTGATCCAAACCCGAGCTGAAAATACAGGCATGAAACACGTAACCTCCCCATATAACTAATTTTTGAGACAGGCCCTCTTACAAACCCTTTCCAGCCGCGTCTCGAAGTTCAGGTCGTTAATTTTCCTTCTAAGTGACCTTGGCTCAGCTTCAGGTGTGAAAAGCCCGACACGCTGTTTATCTGATTACCCTTCCGCCCGATAACCAACCGTGCGGCATCACTTTGGGAATGAAGCCCGCGATCCACTTTTTTTTTTTCAGAAGAGTGGCGATTATAAATCTTCAGGGCAGCTTATAAATTCGCAATCCCCATGCGCAAATTATGCGGATCGTAAATGTGCACAACTTGAATTAATATTATCGTATTGGGTTAAATAATTTTGTCGTTGCCCGAATCACTTCTTCCCGTCACCTCCATCTGCACTCTGAACACGCTTTACGGCCTCAACCTCGTCCTTTCTCAAACACAACATGTCTTCTCCCGCACCGAGATTTGAGTCTCCAGATGTCGACCCTAGTGCATTGGGCCAGCCCCTTCAATTCACCTTCTCTGGTCGCTCAGCACCAAATCGTTTCATGAAGGGCGCTATGAGCGAACGCCTCGCATCATTTTCCTTGAATGATCTTGCCTCCCGTGGTATCCCATCACCTGCTTTGATCCAAGCGTATCAGGGCTGGGGCGAGAGCCAAGTGGGTATCAACCTCACTGGCAATGTTATGATTGATCCTGGTCACCTGGAAGCAGCCGGTAACCCAGTCATCCCGCGGGACGCAGAATTCTCTGGTGAGCGTTTTGAGTGCTTCCAGCAGCTCGCAGCTGCCGGTAAAGCGAACGGGATGCTCATTATTGCCCAGGTCGGGCACCCGGGTCGCCAAACTCCTCAGCATCTCCAACCCAATCCCATCAGTGCAAGTGATGTGCAGGTGAAGGGTGAGCCTATGGGCATGAAATTTGCCAAGCCCCGTGCTGCAACTGAAGAAGACATTGCCAATATCATTGACGGCTTTGCCCATGCCGCTGAATATCTCGAGAAGGCTGGATTTGATGGCATGCAACTCCATGGTGCACACGGCTATCTTCTTAGCCAGTTTTTGTCCCCAACCACTAACCTGCGAACCGATAAATACGGTGGTGACTTGAAGAACCGCATGAGATTGATCTTGGAAGTCAGAGACGAGATCGCCAAGAGGGTCCGCAAGGACTTCGTGGTCGGCATCAAGATTAACAGCGTTGAGTTCCAAGAGAAGGGATTCCAGCCTGATGAGGCTAGGGTGCTCTGTGCAGCTCTTGAAGAACATTCTTTTGACTTTGTTGAACTATCCGGTGGCACCTATGAAATTTCTCCAATGTCTGAGCATAAGCGGCCCTCCACAGTCGAGCGCGAAGCTGTAAGTTCTGCCCCTACGGTGGCTTCTTATTGTTTATGGCCTTGGCCTTTTGTCGTCCTTTTATTAACACAAAATAGCTGTTCCTCGACTTCGCCAAAATCATTGTTCCTGGCTTGACAAAAACAAAGACATATGTCACTGGCGGTCTCAGGACTGTCGGAGGAATGGTCAAGGCGCTAGAGACCGTGGACGGAGTTGGTCTTGGACGCCCTCTCTGCCAGGAGCCGAACCTGTGCGCGCATATCCTGTCCGGTAAGGTCAAGGGGGCTCTCGTCCAAAAAATCAACATGTATGAATTCGGCGCTACAGCTGGTGCATCGGGCGTTCAGATCTTGCAGATGGGCAGCCACCTGCAACCAATTGACCTGTCTCAGGAAGCCAATGTGGCGAAGCTCTTCGGCGCCTTGGGTCCATGGGCTGCTGCTAGACAAAAGGATCTGGAGCTTTATGCTTTCCCTGCTATTGACGGTTATGATACGCCCTACTCTGTCTCTACCCTGCTATGAGGGATTTTTTGTTGAATAGTCTAGCCTGTACACATAATGCACTCTGATCCGATCGAAATAACGTATATTACACTTCATAGGCTCGCATTTCAGTGTATAATTTGCTACAAATGGCGTTCACGAATTGAATGTTCCCCCTTTGCAGGAACTTTGGAAGTGATTTTGCTTTGAGTCCAAATAAATGCCGAGGTCCAACTGGCCTTTCTTTAAATACTGTGGAGCAAAATTGAAGCCCGGGCCCATTTCTTTTTTTCACGCCGCCGAAATCCAACCCCAAATTGGAAATATTTCCGGCTGTATTTTTATTACAGTCTGGAATGTGGGCCACGGTTCATCGACGCGGCGAATTGTATCAGCCCGACCCCGACTACGGAGTACTGTCTGAAGAAAATCAAATTTGACAACCGGTAACTATTCTTCACTCCAAAGCAATGGAAATTGAAGAGTTGGACCGACTCTGTGAATACATCAACAAAGGCATGGCAAAAATACAGCGGCTCCAAATGTCCGTCGGGAGCCCCCAGAAGTGCTACGAATTATAGGAAGACACATCAATCAGCTTCAAGGCCATTTAAGGTCGTAGTTTATGAAATGGGTAGTCTACATGGCAAATATAAAAATTCCGTGCGAATCACATCAATTGCGAAATACCTTCGCCAGGTGTAGCTTTGATATCTACCAATAGAACAATTGTATAACTAAACAGTCCTCTTAACATAATCCACATGCTCCGTGGAAGGATGGACTTCTGTCTTCAGCTCTCGATCGTCTCCTCTGCCTTCAAAACGAGAAGGAGTGAACTTTGCCCTCAGATTGTTTTGTTCAAAGAGCTCATTCATATCTTCGAGTGACAGACCTAGTTAAAAGTTAGTACGGCGTTTGGATATACCGTGGCTTTCATAATTACCTTTCGTTTCCGGTACAAAGAACCACGCAAACACAACCATAGTGAAGCAGAAGGACCCGTATATGAAGTACGTCCCGAATCCATTGACACCCAACGTTGCAAACATACTTGGCGTAGCCTTAGCTACCACAAAGTTGAACAACCACTGACTAGCTGTAGCCATGCCCATTTGAAGAGGTCGTAGACGAGCGGCGGGTATTTCCTAGCAAAATATTTAGCTGGTTGCTTTAATGAGTGAGAGGTTTCAGGCATACCGAGCAGTATGTCCAGACAACAGGTCCCCAGCCGAATTGATAGACAGCTGCAAAAATGTAAATGGCAACCAATGCGACATATCCCGCCGAGGTGGGCCCAGAATCACCAGTCGGCGGATCAAAGCGAATATAAAAGCCAATATAAAATAGCATGAGACCCTGCGTCATTAGTCAATATAAATGTCGTGTTTTTCAAGGAGGTTAACTAACCTGAACGATACCAGTCCAAAGAAGACTCTTTCTCCGGCCAGGGAATCGGTCACGAAGACTATGAAAACAAAGCAAGCCACGAGTTTGACTATTCCGTAAATTCCAGTCGCAAAAAGTCCCGCGGATGAGTCCGATAACCCCATGCTGCTGAAAATATCAGGACTATAATACGTCATAGCGTTGGTTCCTGTCAAGTTACTCCACATCATTAAGGTGATGCAAAGAAATGTGCGTCGTTGATTAGCTCGAGTCGCGAAAGCCTCCTTCACAAGCGTAAGACCGGAGCCTTGCGCTCCCAACGATCGCTCTTCTTCTAGCTGCAGAAGGATGCCTTCCATTTCATCTCGTACGTAAGAATGGTCTGCGGATAGACCACGCAATTTGGATAAAACAGCCAGAGCCTTGTCTGGTGATTTCATGGCCAGGAATCGGGGAGATTCGTTCGCGAGAATCATGCCAACGAAGAGGATAACGGCCGGAAGTGCTTGTAATGAAAGAGGGATAATGTACTGAGCAGGTCCGTTGACATGGAGGATACATCCATAGTTGATCCAAAAGGCGAGCTAGGAATATATTAGCGGCCGTAGCTGAATTTTTATCGCAGGAAATATCACACATACAGTGAGACCAGTGACAATGCTCAGTTGATAGAATCCAGTAAGCAGCCCTCGAATACCCCTGGGGGCATTTTCTGAAACATAGAGTGGGTTGACACTTGACGCAATCCCAATCGCAATCCCCGCAATGAATCTGCCAACATACAGAGATGCAATATATCCAGAAGCCGCGGCTTGTAATGCGACGCCGATGAAAACGAGAATCGAGGCTACTATCAGTGACATGCGGCGACCAATGCGGTTAGCAAGCCACATTGAGAGGAAGCATCCCGCAAAGGCTCCCGCTTGAATGACAGAGACTATATTCGAAGAAAGATTGGCTCTTTCTGTGGGAGATCTTTTGTCTAGGCCGTATTTTCTGATGAATTATTAGTCGAGTCGCTGGCAGCTCGGGTGATTTGAGACCTCACTCTTTAAAAGGCTCCATGGTCAGAACACCCCCGATAACGCCCATATCCATCCCAAATAGTAAGGCACCGCCACATGCCTATATGTGTTAGCTATAATTATTATTCACAATCCTTAACAGGCTTACAAACCACTAAGCTAACGAGTATGGTCCGGAGGTTGTAAATCTCTGGGGGGTCTTTGTCAATGGCTTCATTGCGAATAAATTTGGGAAGTAGCATGATTACGGTGTAGCCTCAAAGACTTAACTGGGAAGATCATAATGCGCTGGATAACCATTGCGTTTATAACAGCTTGCCTTCCTTGGTATTCTCCAGTCCCTTCATTCTCCCAAACCTAGTCCGAGCTCTTTTTAGATTCCCATTGGCCAGACGGCAACAGACGGTCCATGATATCGACCCCGCAAGCCCATTATTTGCCTCACTCAGTGCCGAGAGCACTTTTTATTCCCATGTCTGGGGTAAGTTTGCGGGGTATAACATTGAGCCACACGAAGCTGGGGAAGTGGGCCGCCAGGTCGGCCATTCCAGCCATGGAAAAATCGACGGCTATAGACGGGGAAATCGCGTGGATGTTGCCGAAGATGAACATATCCGCACGTCAAAATAGTTTTTGGAGCAGATGGAATTGGCTTTTACGTTGGAGAGATTTTGAATAAAGCTTAGGCATGTGAGAGCTTCTCGGCCGTTAAATCCCAATTTTCATGGTTATCGAGTCGATCACACAGGTAGCAATGCCTTCCGCAGCATCAGCTATGTTTGATTTCCTATTATCCTAGTCACGCCTAGACTTTACTGATCGCCATTCGATCATCAAACTCCCTATCATAGTTGTGCACGCCAACCCAACCACTAGATACCATGTTTGGATGAGACTTTTATCAATCGCGACCAGGACATCTCGCGACTTGTCCAATGGCACACTCGTGACAATATGGTTAAGGCTTGACTTCCCAAGATCTGCCTCATCTATTCCCGGCATAAGAACATTGAGATTGGTCGAGAGCTGATTGACAAAAAGAACTTGAGCAACGGCGACCGCGACGGTCGGACCAAATGATTGCGCGAATAGCATGATAGAAGTGCCAAGCGGGACATCCTCTATGGCTAGCACTGTTTGCACTGCGTTCTGGGGCCCCGAAAATCCGATGCCATAAGCAAGGCCAGAAAATCCGGTATAGATGATCAGTTGCGCAAAACTGGTATTGATTTTGACCGTTGTGATAAGGCCTGCGGCGATCGGCATCATGGTAGAGGCGAATACCATGAAGGGCGCGTAGTACCCAAAGATACTTGTACCAAACCCGTGAACTAAGGAGCCGATCGTGCCGGCGATGACGATAGGAAGCATCATGTAACCACTTTTTGCAGGCGTATATCCGCGAACGACTTGGTAATATGTGGGCAGATAATACTCGAGCACGCTTCCGGTGCTGTTGACGCACATGATGAAAATGAAACCAGCGATGATGCTGCGGTGCTTCATTATGCGTAACGGCAGGGCAGCTTCGTCACCTCGACGTTTTTGGTTGTAGATAAAGGCTGCTGTTAAACAGATAAAAGATACCAGAGGACCTATCACTGGGCCGCTATTCCACGGATATTTGGTACCAGCCCAGGACAACGCGAGAAACAGACCAGTAAGGGCCGGAATGAAGAGCATGTTGCTAACCAAGTCAAGCTGCGAGATCTTCTGCTTTAGTTTTAGCCTTGCAATATCGCCAGGCTTTGGCGTATCTGAAAAGCAAAACATGGTCAATACGATAGCGACAACACCAATTGGGCCATTGATGTAAAAGCACCATCTCCAACCAAGTGATTGCACGATCGCGCCGCCAAGGATTGGCGCAGAGAGAGTGGCGAGCCCTTCAACTGCACCCATGACTCCTGTGTACATAGGACGTCTCCTCGGATCTGTCGATTGGACGAGAATGATGAAGCATCCGGAAAGGAGACCAGCAGCACCTAGTCCAGCGACGGCTCTTCCGATGATAAGCATTGTCGAAGTGGAAGCTACTCCACATAGTAGTGATCCTGCTATTGAAATGACATTGGCAAGCAGAAAAACACGCTTGATGGAAAATAATCTGTATGCCTTTCCAAAGACAAACTGGAAAGCACACTGGCACAGCCTAAATGCAGACGAATACCAGCCAACATCCGCGACTGAATGAAAATGGTCCGTTATTGCAGGCACAGCAGTCGCAACAATATTCATATCTATGCTGATAAGGATCAAGACGGCACCTAGGTTGAGCATGAGGAGCCAAAATTTGACACCTGTGGGCCTTCCCTTCCCCGCAAAAAATGATCCGCTGTGATCGGAGATCTCCTGGGTCATGTTTTCTAGCATGGCACTGCTTGCGATAGTCGTTGGAACCCTCGATCTATTTTCGGCGACATTACCGGGCAGAGGAGCCATCTCCATTCCTTCACTGCGCGCTGTGATGGTCGGTTCTGCAGCCGTCATTCTTGGCGAGTTGTGAAGAGGAAGCGCTCAGACCCATGACAACGTTCACGTTCACTAATTAGCGGCGAAGTGATTACTAACAGCTTATCAACTACAACAAGGCATCAACTTTTTTTCTCGTCAGATACTGCCATTTTGTAGGCTTCTACAGTTAAATCTGGCGCCGAAAGAATTCTTCGGAGGCGCCCTCCAGTTATAGTACGATCTCACTAGGGATAGTAAGACACAACTATGAAATAAATCATTTTTCATCAGTTGTCATCTTTTCGGAAACTTTCTAAGCAAACTAGTATATCACTCATATTCCAAGGTTCATGATCATAATTGATTCGCAATGGTTAGTTCTTCAAAGCCCATCTAGCGGGCGATATACTTTCATCCATCGCTTCGACATGTCAGCATTCTTCGACTCTTGTAACACCAAATCAAAAACTTGAGACTTGAAGACTTACTTGGTCATACGGTTTCTCTGGATCCACAAACCTCAGATCAGTCGCAAGTCTGATCTGACTATTCGGATCGTTATTCTTGCAACTCGCATGCACCATCCAGGGATTATGAAAAATAACATCACCAGCCTCATATTCAGCAATGAGCCACTTGCGACGGACCTCTTTCCCGTACGCAACAGTATCACGACTGAGAAATCCCCCATCATTCATGTTTTTATTAAAAGCACTCACCCGCTCCTCATCAGAAAGATTATGAGCATTGCTTGCAAATTCAGCCTCTGTCCTCTGGCCAATATCGGTTGAACCCTCGAGATACATCAAGCCGCCTCCTTCTAGCGAAACATTGCCGATGGGTACCCATGCCGTCAAGCTTGTGGGCGGACCGGCTCGAAGGTACATTTGGTCAAAGTGGACAGGCGTCAGTTCACTATTAGGAACAAAGGCGCGAAGCATGGTTCGCTGGAGCATTTGTGGGTTTTCCCAACCCTTGAAGCGTGTGATGAAGTCGCGTAGTTCTTGGTTGGCGCATAGATCCAGATAGAACGGTGCTTCGTGGGCGGATATCATGAGTTCCAGATACTTCTCACTCTCAACGTCATCTTTCAGGCCGAATAGGCGACGTAGGTTTCCTGGGGGTAGATATTTTCGACTATCCTTGTGGGAGAAGATGCCTTCCACGGGAGCGGTGCCGTCTTTCAACAAACCACTAGGAGCCATGTGGTTGAAATATGCTTCGCGACATTTGAGGGAGGCTTCTTTGGGAATACATCCTTTGACCTACATGAGAGAGAGTATTAGCTTTGCGATGATGGAAATGTATCTGTACATACAAATAGATACCCGTCACGTTCAAACCGTTCGTGCATGATATCGAGAGGTGTTTCGGCAGAGGTTGGTTGGAGAAACCCGACGCTCCCAGCTTCCATGGGACCGAAATTGGATTCCAGGCTTAGTTTATCGGGGTCTACCGGATAGTACGAGCCATAGGTATCATTAGCGGCAGGCTTTGAGGTTGTCGATGGAGAAGATTTCTCAGTGGGAAGCCTTGTAGGGGCATCTAGAGATGGCGAAGCAAGACGACCAGGTGCCATGATGATTTTGAAGTTGAAACGGTATTAGATTCTCATGTGTTAAAAACCCGTGGGACAATTTCAACAGACAGAGATTCGCTGCCAAGGTAGGGGCGTTCGCTGGGACTCATATACCCACTGCGGTAGATTCGTACTGGAAGCGATTCAACAGGCCACCCACCTATTCAATTCCCTTTGACTGGAAACCCCACAAAATGATCAACATCATATCGTGTGATTCGAAGCATTTCATAGAAACAACCAACCTGTCCATGCGCCGGCGGATCTATAACCGTCTGCAGCCGTCTAGAGCCACGCTCCCCGCATTCTTATCTTTCAGGCGGGGAAGAAACTATCTATAACCGTCTATAGCCTCGGCTGTGCTCCCACCCCAACTCACTCGCATGAACTATTTTGCTAATTAGGGTGATATCATTGCTCTTTCCAGTCAAATCCAACTTCGACTACTGCGGCAGATAAGTGGACATGACTAGGAGCGTCGGATTACGACAATATCGAGCCTGCGTGCGCTGTCGCTCTCGAAAAACGCGCTGTGATTTGTTCGTTTCACTCCAGCCCACCCGTCTCCCTCGGAGTCTTGAAGGTGTCACATTTCCTCCAATGACAATGGCTAATGCGTGTCTTCTAGACAGAGTATCGGAGAAGCTGGAAAAACCCCCTGTCTGAAATGCGAGCGCGAGGGGGCGGAATGTGTTCTCGCTGGCTCTCGACGTGGGGGCGATTATTCTCGTTTCCGACAAACGAGGAAGAGTTCGGTCCCGGATGCACACGCTGAGAGAGTCCTAGGAGTAGTACCCCATCTTGATGCAAGTGTATCTACCAGTTCTCCTGGCAATGTTTCAATACCATCTACTCATTACAGCGACCGCCCTGTACACGACAACTTGCAGAACCCGTCCGATGCACTTTTGATCCTGGCCCACGCTGCAGGAGAGCCTGGAGACCAACACCACCATGATGAGCGAGTCGAATCTTTTGCTCCATCACAGAGGAAACATGCGGCGGCGAAGCCTGGGCATACTGTCCCCAATGGCCGAGAACACCGCAGTGGCACAACCTACCTCGTTCACCCAGGCCACGGCCAAGACAATTTTCGGGAGGACGACGGTCAAACTGCCTACCCACCGTTGCAAAACCGAACAATAAGTATCGAAATCGTATCAACACTTTTGAAATCGTAAGTAACCACCGCATATCTTTTGAAGTTCCCGCGCATTTGAGTCCTAAAATTTCAACAGATATCACGAAAATTACCACCAATTCTTCCCTCTCGTTCGAAAAGACCTCCTCGACGGCACATATATCTGGAAAAACCTCAAAAATGAATCATTCCTCATTACCTCAATCCTAGTAATCGCCTCAAAGGACCATCCCGACCTGGTCAACACACATAAAGGATTATGGGAGTACCTCCGCCAAAGAATTCTCGACGTGATCTTCGGGACAGCGAGCACCCGACGCGTTGGCTACGTGGAAGGACTTCTTCTACTCGGGGAATGGAATCTTGTCAATCACGGTCAAACCGATGATGGAGGTGGCGAAGCGGCATGGTCTATCCTCGGTCTCGCTGTGAGATTAGCCTATCGCCTTCGACTGGAAGACGCGTTTCGCGGCGACGAGAATGAAGTTGATCAAAGTGCCCAGCGGAATCGTTTAGCATGGACATGTATGTCACGACCAACATTTCTTCCCCATCGTCATCATCCCCGCCACATTCCATGAATCTCTTTGAAATGCTTTGGTTATCACACTAACAAAAAAACAAGTCACCTACCTCTCAGACCGCCAAATATCAATCCGAATGGGCCAAGCCTTCTGGTGCCGCGGCCCCGGTCTCGCCGTCCCTGTTACGGCAGAAGATTTCCCCTCCCTCCGATCTCAAGGCCCAAACAACGAAGAAGACCTAGCAACCTGGATCCAAGCACAAGTCGAGCTAACGACTCTATTCGGAAACGCACACGACATCCTTTTCCCGTCCAAGGCTCGCACCGTCGAACTCATCGTTCGAGGCGATTATGTGAAATATATCGACGATACAACGCGCGCTTTGTCCGCTTGGCAGTATTCATGGCGAGCGATTGCCGTCTCGAAACATTTGCGGAGTTGTCTGACGCTTATGAGGGAATATCTTCGTCTTTATGTTAGTGCGTTTGCATTTCAGGCTGTTCTTTATCGCGCTTCGAGGGTGGTTCCCGATGAGACAACAGGGAATCTTGACTTCCCTAATTCAACGATGGCAAGCCCAGATGCAAGATACATATACGATGCCCTCGACGCAGCTGAGTCTCTACTAAAGATTTTCATCGAGGACTTCGATCCGCAGAATCATCTGCGCTACATACCTGCACGTTTCTACTTGTAAGTAGCAGCTACTAACTAGTACCCGTTATTCCGAGCACTGCCCAGCAGCCATGCATGAAGAACATGGCTAACAACTTTGAAACCACAGATACGAAATCCACTCCTCAGTCTTCCTCTTCAAAGCCCACGCATCAGGCGCAATTCCACAGTCCCGCTACCCCGAAACAAAATCATTAATAACCCGCTTCATAACGCACCTTCAAAGCGTCACACCAGACGAAACACACATATCAACCCGTCACGCACGACTCCTTCAAAGACTCTGGTTTCAATCCGGCTCCGAAAATAATGCACAAGATAATGACCCCGCCGGTTTGATGCAGAATACCACCGCGGGTGGAACAGTAGATGGAGGAGCAGGAGGAATACTGCCATTCCCAAACTTGAATTCCGGGTCACAAGGGCCTGATTTCAGCACCGGCGGCGTGGGCGGGATTAATCTTAATATGTTGGATGAAATTGGTCTTGAGAATTTTGATTATGTGGATGCTGTTGATGGGTTTCTTGCTATGCCTCCTGTTTTTCCGTATGATCTTTCGATGTTTTTTAATGGTAGGGCGACGTCGACGGGTGATGGGGGGTTTTAGGGTCATTGGTGTTGTTGGTACTATTGGCTATGGGATCCAACCACTGCATGGCCTCCTTCAAGGAGCAGACACATGGGCATACAGACCGAGGTGCAACGCCAAGATTAAACCAACGACCAAATGGAATCATTCGCAGGTTTATTCGAGTTCACTCGTACAAAGAAGAATTGCTGGAAGGAGGAAGACACGCAGCCATCGTATTAAGATTAAATAGCTAGCGAAGGCCAATGTATTCCCAGGTCTGGGGATTGGATGATATCCACCCAAAGGTATGTGCAAGAGAGAAAGTAAGGAGGAACAGAGAGGGAGACAAAAATCAAGAGAAAAAGCAAAAACACCCAAATTTTATCCAAACACCGTCGTGCAAGACAATGAAGTCGAATTGTAGACAGACCAGGGTCCTGCCTACAAATGCCACGTCCTTGGGGCCACCCGTTTCCCATAACCAAAACAATGTATGTACACCACCGCTCAATTCAGACCCCCTAAACAACCAATTCCCAGTGCAACAATGTTGAAGAGGTCGGGTGGCCCAGCAGCAAAAAGCCGTGCGCGGTGTTCCGAACCTCATGCACGTCGTGACGGGCGAGGAAAGTGAAGAAGTGGGGTGTGGACCAAGAAGTGGAACCGATGCAGCACTACCGTCAAACGTTGCGGATGCAAAAAGCAACAGGCGAGAAGGAGGTGGTGGGGTTAAAAGGGAGGGAGGGGGGGGGGGGAAGGGAGGATGCATGGACGAGGGCTTTTTTATGGCTTTGCGCGCTGCTGAGCTAGCACGTTCTTATGCCTCCAGCGCCCAGCGCTGTTCACGGAGAGGAATCTCCTCACCGGCCTTCTTGCGGCTGCCATCCATCTCGCGCTTCCAGGCCCAGTACTCGCCCAGACGGGTTTCGGCGTAGCCAGCGTAGTCGAAGTCGATTTGGGAAATCTGGGCTTGGATGAGGGACCACACACCCCTGCGTGATGAAGTCAGTACGGGTCATTGTGTTGTTGTTGACAGGGATCTCCTGCGATTTTTTTGGGAAGATCTTACCAGTATAGACCGGGAATACCGCGGAAACGATCGACGTCCTGAACCAGGCGATCGACGATCTCCGCCTGGGAGGACTCGTCGAGGCCGCGGTTCTCGCAGTAGCTCTTGGTGTACTCGGTCAGGAACTGACGGCGCACCGACTGGGTGGGGGTCATGTTATAGTCGCAGTCGTAGCCGATCCACTCAGCCAGGTGGTTGGCAATGTCGAAGGCGGCGGGCGCAGGCACGGCGTATTCGTAATCAATAAAGTTGACGGCGGTGACGTCGTCCTCGGGCTGAGCGACATCCTCTGTCGGGAGGACAATCACATTGGCGCACAGGAGATCGCAGTGCGAGAAAACAAGCTGGGAGGAAAACAACAGTTAGTGGGACTGCCGAAGAAGAGGGGCACGTCATTGACGTGGGTGGAGGAGGGGTATCTTACGCCGTCTTCGCCAATGCCCTTGCCATCATCCAGTTGAGCCAAGACCCACTGCAACTCCTGCTGCAGGCTCAATCGCCGAGAGCGCTGCTCCGGCGTAGAGGCAGGAAGAGCGAGAATCCACTTCTGAAGGACAGCCCACATGGAGGGGCCAGCGCGACGCGGTTGGATGATCTCAAATCCGTCTTCCTGCTTGGCAGATTCCGCCTCGGCGTGGGCGATAATCGAGGACTCTTGCGAGGGTGCTGAGGTGGCTCCCTTGGTGGGGAGAACCGCGTGCCACTGGGCAAGACGGCGGGCAACGCCACGGTAGATAGGGGCGGTGACCAAGTCCAAGTGTCCACAGGGCTTGCCGCGAATGAAGCGGTAGAGGAGACCATTGTTGAAACGAGCGAGGAGGGGCGGGGCGAGGCCACGTGCGGCGAGTAGGGCATGCGAAGTGGTTTCTCCTGTTAGGACGCGAAAGCGTTAATTTAGCATATTGTCGTACGGGGGCCACGCGCTGCAAGGCCAATTGACAGCAGTGGGAAGGTGAGGAGGAGGGGCATGAGGGGGACCCCTCGGCCAGAGGGGGAGAAGTGGTGTTCGTACTTTCACGGTCGATCAAGATCTCTGTGCCATTTCCGTATGCGCGCATGAGCACGGCATCCTCGTCAATTTGCGCGTCGGTCAAGCCAGCCTTGCGATTGATAATTTTCAAGAGCTGCAGGGTGGAGGTTAGTCAAGGATATCGAACAGGGCTCGCGCGGCTCCTAGTGAAGTGCGCAGGGCTGGAGGGCAGGGGACCGCTGTTGACGGGCTTCTGGAAGGTGGGACAAAGAGACGCACAGTGTTGGTGATGCCATCGGTGAATCGCACAAACTCGACCTTGTTCTCGGGGCCCTCCCAGTGGGGGAAAAGGGTAAGAATAAGACGGAGGGCGGTTGCTTGGGATTCGGCGGGGCTGTAGGAGAGAGGAATATAGCGGAGGGCGGGCGCGACGCCGTTCTCAGAGTCGTAGGAGCCCATGTTTGGGAGGAAAGAATGGTAATAGGAGAGATGCGAGACAAAATTAGGGGAGAAGAGGGGGTCAAGTTAAGTGGTGGCCCTCGGTGGAAGCAATTTGAGCGAGACTAGCACTTGTTAGTCTGGGAAATTTGAGACAGCGTGGGATCGGGACTTCAATAATTCCCTGCAGCCTGGCCGATTGGGACGGGAGATCTGCAGGGTCGCAGTGATGAGGGAAGGAAACTGGAGGGGCGAAGCATACCGAAGGATTGGAAGAATTGAGCAAGTGGTCGCATGCAAGTGGGAGAGAGTGTGTGTTGGAGTGGAGAGAGGGAGAGGGAGGAAGGAGGTGAGGCTGTTGCGGGAAAAAAAAGCAAAGGGTCCAAGCCTCGAGGTCTCGTGCTTCCACACCAGGATGGGAAAACGGGGGTGGACGGGGGTGGACGGGGTGGACAGTGCCAGAAAGACTGGGGGCCAATTGTCAAAGGGTTTGACTTTCCATGGTTTGCCACGAGGGGTCGAAAATATATTCCAGTGGAAATTGGAGTATATTTAGAATGGTTGTTGGACAGTTAGGTAGATATACAGAGCATACCAGTAGTATACTACAAACTATAGTAGATAAACTATGAATACTTCAATACCTGCTGTGCCCAGGTCTAGACCAGGGTAATGTATACTCGTAGTGAACCCTGAGAATCGACTCCGTCCAGTGTACTTCGCCTCTCACCGCGAGGCAGACAAGACAAGCCTCCTCCTTCTCCACTTTAAGAGGGGCGCCTCACATGCGAGCCTGAAACAGGGGCAGTCACGTGGGGTCACGGGAGTCCCGTCACGGGATCCCAGTCACTGACTTGACTTACCCTGCCGATCTTACCCTACCTTCCCCTTTAGGCTAGCCTACCAGACTCTTCTCGGAGAACCGGCCCAACACTTTCTCCGTGCCCAATCAGCTCTAGCGCATCAGCAATTTTCCTCGGGTATAAAGAGGCAGCATTCCTCCCGGCCTTGCTTGTTTTTTTTTTCTTCTTCATCATCAGTAGAGGTTTTACATTACCATGTAAAATTCTTTAATACTGGGGCTCCATCAATGATGGCTTGCTGAGGGTTATTCTTGTGGCTTTTGCTCTATGGGTTTCCTTCCGTTCCCGGCTCCTCAGACTAAATTGCGTCTCCCTTTTTCCCAAACACATTATGGCTATGCTAGGGTTCCCTTCGGGGAGCTCCATGCGCTATAGCTGTGGAGGGGGCGTTACATTCCTTTTTAATTATCCAATTATTTGTTTGGTCTCGATCGGATCACATCTCAATTGTGATTCGTTCGCCAGATTCGTAAACTTTTTTAAGCTGTTTGAGGTCTGCTCGCAAGAGCCTCCTGCGGTCCGTAATAGACATGCCATGCCGCCAATGCCTTCGGTAGCGGCAGCCTGTCCCTTGGTCGGACCGAGTCGGCATCTTCAATGCGTCTCTAGTCTCTTAAATGGTCTAGTGTCTACGGATGCTCGAACCAGTGGAGTCGGAGCTTGATGCTAGTCTTAAAGCACAAGCTGAGCTTTGATATATCGTATTTTTGCCAATTGGTATTTTATCATTGGACAGCTATCGCCGCCTGTCATGGCCATCACATAGCTCGCATCACATCAATCAATCATAAGCCATACTCGACATAAAGTGACCAACAGCCACATCTGTTTTATGGTTCTTGTCCTGCCCTGTCCTCTATGTATTCCACCTCATGCCCGACCAGCATTACCAACCTGGATGCGCTGGCCAGTCCACTTATCATCCTTGCGCAGCACCGGCCACCCAGTCTGATCCGCCTTGACAAGCGTGAGCTCCAGCTTGGTGCCCAGCACCCGGAAGCTCGACTGTTCAGCGTCGATCGGAGCAAAGAGCTCATAGGTATCCTGGTAGCGCTTGTTATCCATAGTCGGCAGGTCGAGCTCGATCTTGTCCGCGGTGAACTTAACGACGGCACGCTCCTTGTCGATCTTCTTCAGGTAGAGGGAGACGTTGACGGAGGCGGGGGTTTGGTAGAAATCGTTCCTGTAGCCCGGGTTGTGGTTAGCTAGCGGGACAGATTGTAGAGTAGCTCTGCTGCAATAGCAAAACAGAAAAGAGGAGAGTGAAAAAAGTGAAAGCCTTACCGGACGGTCTCGACCTTCTCCTCGCCTGGAGGCTTCGCCTTGCCAACAAACATGTGTCTCTTCTTCTCAGTGCAGCCGGGGATTCTCAAGAACTCGTCAAACTCAAGCACGCGGCGCTTGCAGCAAGACCATCCTTTGCTACCCTCGTGGAAGACCGGGTTGCCAGGGTGGTGCACGCATTTCTTCCTCACGGGCAATGGAGCCATTGTAAGAAGCCCCGCATCCTTTCCGACGGCACGTAGCATTGGGAGGAATTTCCAGGTCTGGGTCGTCCGACTCTGGCTCCTCAATAACGGGCTTTGCGGGGGTGTGCCGGGAGTCGCAATGGCGGGGGTAATGGGAGGGCGCTCGGAGATGGGCTTCACCCTGGGGACGGGCGTTGCTGCTGCTGGAGGTTCTTCGGCGGCCTTTTTAGGCTCGGGAACTGGTGTGTCGTCGACTTCGGAGTGTTTGCCCGTGGTGCAGGGCGGGATGGAGAGGAATTCCTCAAAGGTCAAAACGCGGGGTTTGCAGCATTTCCAGCCTGCGTGGTGAGATTGGGATTAGCTTGTTGCATTGTGATCGGGCGGATAGAGTAGATGGGCGTATAGTAGACAGATGAAGCCAATTCAGGAATAGTTCGCAGCACCAAGGTACCTAAGGTACCTAATGGGAGCTAGACTTACCCTTTTGCCCTTCGTGGAACACCGGCGGACCCGGATGATACACGCAATCTTCCTCCGGGTCGGCGAAGACCTTCCCACAGCCCTTGTGAACGCACTTTCCCATGGTGTGTAACGACGGGGAATATATGAAAAGCAGGGATGGTGAGTGGGGGAGAGAGGGAGAGAGAAGGTGGTGGGTGTAGATATTGCCGAACGTGGTTTAGCTGGAGAAGCTCGAAGGTTCCATCAACGCGGAGAAGGCGGTCCGCCGATCTTGCAACCTTGCACTTACACAGCTTGACCCAGCTTTGCTTTGATTTGACACTAGCACTGACAGCTGACAGCTGACGGCTAAGCAAAGCTGCGCTCTCAATATGTTTCCAACACGCGCCCTCTTAGGTCAAGCCCGATTGACCCTCTTCACCCGCGCCGGCTGTGGCCTCTGCGATAATGCCAAAAAGACAGTCGTGCAACTGCACCAGCGCCGTCCCTTTGAATTCGTCGAAACATACATTGATGAACCGGGAAATAAGAAATGGAAGGATGTCTATGACTTTGATGTCCCGGTGATCCACGTACAGTCCGTGGAGAATGGATTGCCCAAGGAGGCAGACCTCTCCGACGCTCGCAAGCTCTTTCACCGAATGACTGAGCAGGAGGTTGAGCAATTGGTCACCGAGGCCGAGAAATGAGCCCGAATACAATATATGGGGAAAGCTATGTTCCATTGCCGGTCATTGAGCTTGGATTCCGCGGAGGAGATGACGATATGATGGCTGGTCCATCGCGACTCGACCGAGTTGGTGTCTCTCTGCTCGTCGTCACAACAAGTTGCGACAAACCGGCTTCAGTCTTGGACAATATTGCCTATATATGTAATGAAAGCTATGGGCACGAGAGTATGAAATTATGCTGGAGAGCAGACACCGGCCGCGAGGTATATTCTTCTGTCTGCTGCTCCCTCTTGTGACCGTGTCATAATATACCAACTCTTTACATATCATCGTCTGAGTTTATAATTCCGTGTACATTACTATGTCTTGAGGAAATTTAATTAGGCCCCAGGGTCTTGTCGCTGAGTCAGCCTACACTGTTCTTTCCTTTGCATGCCGTTTGCACGCTGTTTGTTGTTACCTGATTCAGGCGAGATGCCAGTGGTTGTAGATGGACAGATATTGTGCGAGTGGTTTCCTTCAAGTTTCGCAATCATCACCAGCGCCAGTGGTATGCAGTCAAGAATAACGGATCTATGCCTAGGTGAGTGTTCCTGATTTTGAATTTCACCACATTCTGTCTGGCTCCTCACCTACTACTGATACTAGTTGCCAGATGCTCCCAGTTCCAACCTCCTTCACCTGGGCACTTCTTATTTCCCCCCCACTGGAGCCTCCCAACTCCGATCTCTCGCTCGCACCACACCCTGGACTTCAAGTTACTTGAAATGAGATGGATGAAGCAATGACTCAACCTCTGGACCGACCCGAACGCCAGGCACTGGTGTCCTTCCTCACATCTCGGCTGAAGGATAAAAAGCGAGGTTTAATAAATGCATCTCTCTTGGATCGAATCGCCAATATCTTAAGATCCGACGACTCTAACTCCACCGATGATGACATTTTTTACATCAACGAAGAAAGAATGCGCCTACTTGACCTCCTTCAATGTGATCACACAGCACCCTCCAAATACATTCCACTTTATGATCTGAGAATTCTGATCATTTTCCTGAATCTCTCCATTCTCGACGGACCTACGAAGGCGACACAAGAAAAAAGGGTTTGCTTCGAAAATCTCGAGCTTGCCAAAACCAGGCCCATTTCGGCCTTCACTCCTTCGGCTAAGAGACTCCTACAACGAGTATTACGCCAAACCCAGTCCGAAGCGAGTGAAAATCTGCTTTCAACACTAGAAGCCTCACTATCGAATGGTTTGCCGCAAAAGGATATCTTTATCCGCAAATGCATCGCATTCTTAGAATCAAGCAGCGTTACGTCAAAAGCTCCGACGTCCGACGCCTATTTGCCCCCTGCATCTCCATCCTCTAGCAGTGGCTCAGCTCTGAAGACCTCCATCGAAGATGAAACGGAAACGTTCAAACCAGGTAGCACTGATGCAGAGCCTCCTCCGCCTGGCCCAGTGTCACCCAACTTGCACACGGGTGAAACTCTCTTTGACATAACCGAAGATCATCCTGACCGAACGCTTCTGAAACCATTTTGGGCTTCAGAATATCCTGATTTGCCAATCTTTCCTCGGGCCCATCTGAATGAATTCTATCAGGTATACTGGCACAATCTTCCCAGAGACGCACCCACCCCTCTAGAAAGAATAAACGCAGCGATATTCTCGTTCTGCTTTGCTCTGTCTGCTTTACGGCCAGGGGCTAATGCCACCAGATCAGCCGACACCTATTTCCAACACGCCCAGCAACTCGCTGGTGATTTCCTAGATCATGAAAATTCTATCAGTTTGGTCCAATGTCTGTGTCTAAAGGCGCAATGTCTCTTCGCAATCGGAGACTTGGAAAATGCATAATGTTTGTGCACATAAGCAGCATCGAAGAGGATATCTTCAGCGCCCGGATGGCACCATCTGCGTTCAGACTGTTGGAGTGGGCGAAGGTACTGCATTACCTGAGCTTGAAATTCAGCTCGGGCCCCGGATGTTCTTAGACCATTCAATAGAGTTAAAATTTCTCGATCTGGTCTGCCGAGGAGTCCTTGATGCCGGTCGTTCTCTGGAATTCGCCGGGATATTGGCGACCAAAATCGTATTCAATCACCGAATCGCTAATGATCACATCACCGAGAAACACTTCCTGGTCTTTCGACGGCGATGGAGCCCCTCCGCAGATACCAACGACCAAAGCAATTTTTATGCCAGGGTAGCTGATTCGCAGACCCAACGCGACACTTGCTGCACTTCCCTTTCTCATCCCTGGCATGTAGCACAGGACCACATCGTGTTTCCCGATCCTTCCATTGATGTATGCGTTCGCATCGCCATCCTGCTTGCCGTAGTATCTCCCGAGGCGGTCATATTTCTCGTCGAAAAGCGCTTCGACAGCGTCAGCCTCGAGAGGAAGGGCGCATATGATCGCGGTCGCAAGGTTGTTACGGCTTTTAGGTCGCATCTCGGCCAAGGCCCATGAGAACTGATTCTGGATCAATAATAGGTAGATCTCGTCTTGAACAAAGAAGAGGTCGATGGGCATTCCAAAGGATTGAGACTGGGGAAATCACATCTGGGAGATGGACGATATGAAGACTGCGTCCACATCCTCGTCATTTCTTTCACCAACCGCGTGGCCGTGATAGCCGCCCGAAGGCAGGGCAGTGCATGAGGCTGACATCGACGGTTTTTTCGGGCAGCAACTGGTGGAGATTAATAAGATGACAATTATTTCGGAGGAAACTATTCCAGATGGCAATTATATTGGTTACCCACAATAAAGATGCGATAAAGATGGAACCAGACTCTTTTGGACCAATGATATCAAGATATCTGGTTGATTTGGCTGGCCCGCGGCGTTTAGAAGTCCTTAAAACCTTATTTCCGACGTCTCCCTTGACGTCTGCTTATTCCTGACAAGACCCTCCCCTTCGCAAACTACCTCTCTCCCTCTCCATATATTGAAATCTTCTAGTGGAGATAAAATGACAGAAATCGATCTAATGGAACTAGACCCCGTCTCGAGGCGCAAACTCCAGAATCGCCTCAACCAACGAGCAAGTCGTGAGTGGCTGAGCTGCTTCGCCTCCCCCGTACCTACCGTTGTACTGACTTGAAATCAATCGCCAGGAAAAAGAAAGGCCATCGAAAAACAGTCCAAGGGACAAACCAGACGATGGGTCGTTTATACAGACGAAGCGCACTCCTTGCCACGGGATAACTGCAAAGAGAGCAAGGCGGTGACAAACCGCCATCCACGGCTCGAAAGCCCACTAAAGGAGTCGAATAAAGACAACGAGTATCTCTGCGCAATGACCCACATATCGCGTACACAATATTTGGCGCAACTGCAATTCAAAGTGACGAATAGCGTTGCGAATAATCTCCAAGCCTCCAGTGTCCTCCTGTCTGTGACCCAGTTCAACACCATGCGAGCGATGGTTGCAAATGCCGAGACTATGGGGTTGTCACTACAAGCTTTGTGCGAGGATATCGCGTCCTTCTTCAATATTGCTGGTCCAGGCCATGGAATCCTGCAACTACCACCGAGTTTACAACCGAGTTCTTCGCAGAAACAGATCATTCATCACCCGTGGATCGATCTTATTCCCATAGAGTCTCTCCGCGACAGTCTCCTGTCTCAAATGGACGTCTACGATGAAGATGAACTATGCACCGATTTCTACGGCATGTGCGGTCCGTCGTCAGAAGCCGGACTCATTGTATGGGGTGAATCATGGGACCCCTCCGCTTATGAAATTTCCGAGCCATTTCTCCGAAAATGGAGCTGGTTGCTAAAAGATTGTACCGATCTTATACAATCGACAAACTATTGGAGAAAGAAACGGGGAGAAAGGCCGTTAAAACTCGAGCCTATCCAGGAGCGGATCAAAGAAGTTGAATGATAAGCAAGGAAACCTCTCATGAAATCTATTTTGTAACGACCCTATATAATGACATGCACTGAGTTTGGCAAATTTGAATATTTGTGCCGGCTTTTTCCAATGGATTCATTAGAATCCAAATGATCAGACCGCAAAAAGGTTGCTCGATGTCCAACCATCACACTAATATTTCTCTCCAACAAATCCTTCACTTATTTCCCAGAGACGCGTCCAGTTGTTTTCGTCCCGGATGTGGGAGTGCAAGTCATCATTCGCGACGATATTCTGGCTAATGTAAGCACCGGAAGAGTCTTTGAATTGTTTTGTTAGCTTTTCCCATCGATAATCCTTGACATTGTGTTGACGAACCTGCGATGGTAGGGTCGATCATTCCAGTGATGATACTAGCAGCGCCCTCTGAGCGACCGGTCCAAGGAGGGAAATCGAATTTAGTTCCATCCAAGTCAACCAAGTCTGTAGCTGTTAGTAAAAGCTACATGATAGGGGCGAGGGAATCTTACGTCCAGTCTTCATCATTTCGCCAACCTCGGCTTGAAAGTCTTCCGTGAAGTGTCTCTGCAGTCCAGATTGAACAGCTTTGGAGGGGTCAGCAATTCAATTTCTAGAACATTCACAGCTCGAATATACGGACCACCGGGATCAATACTGAAAACTCTGATGCCCTTGGCCTTCAACTTCTCAGCCAATTTCTTGGCAAACATTGTTCGTGCGACATTTGACTGGCCGTATGCAGCATAAGCCTCATAAGTTTTGCCCTCCTATGACACGTTAGTGATGCCGGTTTTCCATTTAAATGGAACCATCCACTTACGCTGAATCCAATATCATCGAAGTGAACCTTGCCGTGGCGGATACTAGAGCTAGACACGATGATGACAGATGAAGAGGGACCGGCCGCCTCAACCTTAGGCAACAGAAGCTTGATCAACAGGAAGTTTGCGAGATAATTGACTCCGAGTTGCATTTCAAAACCATCCTTTGTTTTGCCGTATGGACAAATCATGACCCCAGCCACACAGACGACGTGGTCGATCTTCGAGATATCGACGAGGTCCTGCGTGGCAGCCTTTCGAACGGCACTCAAGTCTGAGAGATCCATGTTGAGGAATCGTGTTTGAACATTCGGGTTCTTCGCGTTTATCTGATTGATTACTGGTGCCACTTTAGATCCCGACCGGGCGCTGAGGATAAGCATCTTAGGGTCGGCGGCAGCGAGCTGAAGTGCCAGTTCTCCCGCGATAGATTCATCGGAGACTCCGGTGATGAGAACTGCGAGTGTGGCATTTCGTTAGCACCCAACTTGCGGTATTTGCACAAGTAGTTAACTCTACCTGTTTTCCCAGCAAGTTTCTTTCCATATTTTTCCAGGATAACCTCTGAGCGGAGGATTTGTTTGCCAGACATCTTGCAGTATGGTTCGAAAAGATTAGAAGTGAGGAGATAATGGATCGTTTGTAGCTAGGATCGAATTGATTCGCAGACTTCGGAATCACAAAGGGGACGAGATCATGTGGCTCCTTTTACAGTTTTCCATTGCGTCGATTGCCATAACTCCGTCCGAAAAGTGAAGGTAAGAGAACAGTGGTACGAAAGCTATGGGGCCCCTGATGAGGTTAGACTCGCGTCATCATGGAAATACTGATTTTGTGATCAAACTAACTGGAAGACAGAAAGCCAAAAGGGGTTAGATTCTGGTCATCAGGGTCAACCTTAACTTGATACACTTACTGACGAAACGTACCCAAGCATCCCATTGTAGGCAATTTAAACAATCCGACCTGAATAGGTTAGCGTGTTGTCATCACAATATTTTGCCACATGAGACCCACCCGTCGCATTGTCAAATGCGGCTAGCTTATTCTACCTCAAGCCCTTGGGAATTCTCCAGGCCTGTGCTACTATTATCCCGAGTTGATCATTCGCATGACATAGCAACTACCCGTATGGATAGCTCAATTTACTAGAAATTTGTATAAAAATCTTTGAACATTCCACCGAAACCTTGCAAGTCACTCCGGAAGACCATGCTACTACTTAATCGTGGAACTGGTAATAATATACTTCAGGGTTGAAATCCGTAGATCGGCTTTTATTCAACATGCCCAGGTGGATTTCTCTTTAGAATCCATTCTAGTAAGCCACGTAAAATAACGGAGATTCAATCACGGAAGGTGTGGATTCCAACTTGAAGGCTAAGATTATAATCAGGCGGCAATCCGGCGGTGAATATAGTGAAACAGTACTGCGGGTGCGAGAGAAAAGTGAATAGAAACTTGAAGAAAGACACGAATAAAACCAATTAAACCTTGTAAGGCAAACGAAATTGAAATACACAAGCGGTTATGCCTAAATAGCATGCAATAAAAAAGTGAAAGTGAACAAATATGAGGCCTAGGTAAAAACATTGGAAGAGATAGGCAGACAATGGGAAGAATCCGAGATAAGCTTTGACAGAACTAACACGAAGACTCTAGTCCTCTCTCAAAACGAAAGTATGAGAGTCAAGATCATAGAGCTTGCTCAAACGATCACCGGCATCCCTAGCCTTTCTGTATCTCATATTTCGTTCAGGATGAGGTGAGTGAATGATTATGCTTCGACTCCTCCAAGCTGCTGGAGGTGTAAAGCGGACCTCAGATCCACCCAACGATGTCATTCCAAATCCTATATCTGCCATGGCTTGACAGAAACTAATCCAGGGTATGTCGCCACTATGATCAGTTTGGCCCTCCTGGAAAAACAAGTACTGTAATATAGGTAGATGACGCCGATGTACTTCAATCTGCGGAGGGATTAATCTTTCTGGAACTTCGTCTGCTTCAGCAGGAGTTTCTTCGCGTATTGGCTGTTCCGCCTTCGATACATCGGCAATTCCACGGCTCTTGGTCTTCTTTTTAGGAGGTGCTATCATTTCCTCCTCCGGGCTAGCCTTATCACGCGTAATCTCCCAGTATCTTGGCTGCGTAGGTATCACGCAGATCACGAACTTCGTAAGGGGCCGCGAGGGAAAATGCATCAGGAAATTTCCCCTTGACCCCTTTTCCTCGAAGACTATTTTTCTTTTTGCCGGTGATAAATTCGGGGCTGTTTTTTGGCACCACTTATCCGATCATGGAATGTGTTTGGACTCGTCATTTTAGAATGATAAAGTGAATTGATTGGAGTGTGATACAGGAGCAATGTGGTATAATATCTCGATAAACTAGATCAGGGTCAGACTGTCAGATTCTAGGGATGGAGTAGAGCTTATATAGCCAATAGCGAATCTGGTTTCGGGAGCGGTTGGTAGGGATTTTGGTCCCAGAAACTGAAAGGAGAGATTGGTGCTTCCGAATCCTTGTTTGACAAAGCGAGACAAAGAAAGACATCCATAAAATCTGTACATTTCCTTGATCTATCCTTTCATCCTCCAGGGACTTTGATTTTTGGTTGACTCTGAAAAGGTATCTTTGCCAATGCCGCATATCGCGCGCTATTAGACATCAAAAGCTGGAGATTCATATGCTTTCTTGTATGTCCTTTCTTCCTCGCCATCGTCGGTGAATGGAGTAGGATTTCCCGAGTCGGCTTGTACCTGCCTGCACTGCTTCCGGTTGCTCATAGAATTGTTGCAAATGCTTTGTGCAATGAAATGATATTTTACTTCATATTTTGTCCGGTCGCTTAGATTGGATGGATCCTGAAAGAGACGTGTCTGTCTTTGAGCATCTCTTTGACTGTCTTTGAAAGGGCATGATTTCATGATCTGACCATGTTCAACCCAAGGATTGCAGAGACTTGGAGAATACGATACGAGTTAACAATTAATAATGACCGGAATGTTGGCCTATCTGAATGACAATGATTGGACCAGGATGGGCTGTGGTGTAAATATGTGGCAAATGATCTACGAGAATCTCAGCTTGGACCCACCGTTCATTCATTCATTCATGGCATGAATACTGTACACATCAGGTCGCCGACTCACCATCATCCCCCTTTCAACTGAGCACCAAGCAATGCCTCTCGATTATCCCCTAGACTGACAACAATCCCATCCCGACAATGTCGCAAAATGAACCACAAAATCTACCAGAACGTCCCTCCGAAACAACCTCCCTACTCCCACACTCCCAGTTCAACTCCGACAATCCCATAAACCCCAGAATCATAGCCGGCATAATCGCAACCTGGATAGCCACATTTCTTGCCGCAGCCGATAGCACCATAACCTCCACCCTCTCCGCTACAATCGCAGCTGAGTTCGACTCGCTATCAATAATATCATGGCTGGGATCAGGATACCTGATCGGTCTGACAGCGACACAACCGCTGAGCGGTAAATTGAGCGACATCTTCGGCCGACGCGCCAGTTTCTGCACAGCCGCGAGCCTCTTCACGATCGGAAACTTGGCCTGCGGCTTTGCGCGCTCGAAGATCCCCCTTATCTGCGCTCGTGTCATCACAGGCATTGGCGGCGGCGGGTGTATTGCGATCGCGACTTTCATCGCGTCGGACAATATCCCTCTCCATCGCAGGGGAACATGGCAGGGGTTCAGCGCGGTGGTTTATACAACGGGGATGGGGTTGGGCGCGGTGATTGGCGGTGCGATCAATGATGCCGTGGGCTGGCGATGGGCTTTTATTGGTATTGCGCCTATCTCGCTGGTGTCTGTGGTCGGTGTCGCTATGTTCGTGCCGAAGGGTGAGCATGTATCATCGAAGGGATTTCGCAAGCTGCTGCTTCGAGTGGATTTTGCCGGCTCGGTGACTCTTGTCTCTGCACTTGTTCTGCTGTTAGTTGGTCTCAACCATGAAGGCGAGCAGATTGTCACACGCCAATTTATAATCGCCGTTCCCTTGGGAATTCTTTTTCTGGTGATCTTCCTCTTGAGCGAGGCGCGGTGGGCCAGAGAACCGATTATCCCGCTGTCGCTATTTCGCCAACGAACTGTCGTCGCATCCTGCCTGACAGCGTGGTTTTTGTCAATGGCTTTCTACGCGCTCACCTTCTATGTCCCACTGTACATGAAACAATTGGGATATTCGACCAGTGAAATCGGCGTGCGTCTCTTGCCAGACTCGATTGGCGCCGGACTCGGATCGTTCCTGGTTGGCTTAGTGATTCGTATGACTGGGAAATATGGCATTTTTCGCTATACCATGCCACTGCTTGTGGTGATTGCGGCCGCTGGGTTCTACTGGATCTCGATGGAGACCCCTTGGGTTCTGCCGGAGATCTATTTGTTCTTTAAGGGTTTCGGCATGGGCGGAGCATTGACCATGTTGATTCTGGCCCTGCTCCATGTTGTTCCGCATGAGAAACATGCCACTGCAACTTCTGCCTTGTATGCCTTCCGATCAACCGGGTCGACGATGGGTCTCTCTGCGGCCAGTGCAGTGGTTTACAGTCGACTTGGCCAGAGTTCGGGCGGAGTGTCTGCGTGCGCGGAGACGGATGAGTGCTATATGCATGCGATCCGCGGGGCGTTTGAACTAGCATTGGGGTGCGCGTTTGCAGGGTTAGTGTCAGCTTTGTTTATTGCGAATTACGAAACGAGACCGAAGAGAGCAGTTGTCCGGGATGTGGACAATTAATCTTAGTCGGGTCAGCTCAGCCAGCCCAATCAACTGAGCCATGCATTCAGTTTGCAATTGCTCGTTCCCTTTTCGTTCCGAGAAGTTCAAGAAGAAATGAGAGAAGCAATGCGTGAATGGGTGTACATAATGACCAAATTGAAGTCAAACAACAATCCTGGCTGTTTGTGTCGGAATTGTTGAGGCGCCATGTGGATTCCCCCGCGGAATCTCGGAAAGGACTGCCTAAAAGGTGCAGGATACGCGCCAGCCCTTAATTTTGCGAAATTTCCAATGATCCTCCAAGTCGAAAAGATCGGATATGCTCTACCAAGAGGCAAGATATCCCGTAGTTGGGTCAGTGGCTCTTGTTGTTTCCTCGAATGATTTCCCACGGTCCTTGACGTCATACAAGGGTGGACCATGTTTCACAGGCGAATAAACCCTCTGGATGGAAGGAAATGTCAGAAAATACCGAGGAAAGGCCAGGATCATATGATGTCTATGATGGCCCTTCATCATCGGTATTATTCGTATGCACATGGCCAATGCTGATGTGATGTCGCCATGCGGGGCAGGCTGATTATAACCTTGCAGGATTGCTCCTCCCCAGTATATTTCTCTCTCCTCACCCTCCCCCACATGTAGAAGCTCTCTAGCGAATCACCGTTCTAGTAGATTGGATTTGTAAAATCGGTCGAGCGTAACTAGGCTAGAATCTCAAGAGGGGAAATCGGAGGAGAACGGGGGAGGTGAGAAGGACGGGGGTCGCCGTGATGAGCAGCTCCCCGCATTCTCGAACTTCTGCTGGGGCAGCTTTGACCAATCAAAATGATCAGCTTAGGAATCGATTTCGAATCGGCGGTGGCCAGACTTGTCCAGCCAGTTAGAGCTGACAAACTGCCTCCAATGAAGTTTCCCGCCATTCTTCCCCCTGTCCCCGTTGTGTTGCTACTTAAAAAAGTGCGGGGACCGGTGCATTTGAGAAAGTTCCTTGTTTTTTTCTTTTCCTCTTCCTCAGAACTCTCCTTCTCCTCCTCTCCTACCCCTCCACCCTCCACATATATCTTTAAAGTATAAAAGCAACCATGGGTGAATGCCCGGTTCACAACAAATCCGCCAACGTCGCTGGCCATGGCACCAGGAATCGTGACTGGTGGCCAGAGAACCTGAAGCTCAACATCCTGCGTCAGCACACCGAGGCTACCAACCCTCTGACCAAGGAGTTTGACTATGCTCAAGCCTTCAAGAGCCTTGATTACTATGCCCTCAAGAAGGATCTTCACAGTCTGATGACTGACTCTCAAGACTGGTGGCCCGCCGACTTTGGCCACTATGGTGGTCTTTTCATCCGTATGGCCTGGCACAGCGCCGGTACCTATCGTGTCTTCGATGGCCGTGGCGGTGGTGGCCAGGGCCAGCAGCGTTTTGCCCCTCTGAACAGTTGGCCCGACAACGTCAGTCTTGACAAGGCCCGTCGTTTACTCTGGCCCATCAAGCAGAAGTATGGTGACAAGATCTCTTGGGCCGATCTGCTGCTCCTGACCGGTAACGTCGCCCTCGAGTCCATGGGTCTGAAGACCTTTGGTTTCGCTGGTGGTCGTGCTGATGTTTGGGAGGCCGATGAGTCTGTCTACTGGGGTGGCGAGCGTGAGTGGTTCACCAACGATGTTCGCTACGCACCGGAGACTTCCGAACAGGAGAAGAAGCAGGGCGATATCCGCACTCGCGATCTTGAGGACCCACTAGCTGCCGTTGTCATGGGCCTCATCTACGTCAACCCGGAGGGCCCCGATGGAAACCCCGACCCCGTTGCGGCAGCCCGCGATATTCGCATCACCTTCGGCCGCATGGCCATGAACGATGAAGAAACCGTTGCTCTCATCGCCGGTGGTCACACCTTCGGTAAGACTCACGGTGCCGGCCCCGCTGACAACGTCGGCAAGGAGCCGGAGGCTGCCGGTCTCGAGTGTCAGGGACTCGGCTGGACCAGCTCCCACAACTCCGGCAAGGGTGCCGACACCATCACCTCGGGTCTTGAGGTGACCTGGACTAAGACTCCTACCAAGTGGAGCAACAACTTCCTCGAATACCTGTTCAAGTTCGACTGGGAGCTCACCAAGTCTCCCGCTGGCGCCAACCAGTGGACCGCTAAGAATGCCGACGACATCATCCCCGATGCCTATGATGGCAGCAAGAAGCACAAGCCTAAGATGCTGACCACTGATCTGTCTCTCCGCTTTGACCCTGCCTACGAGAAGATCTCCCGTCGCTTCCTGGCCAACCCTGACCAGCTCGCTGATGCTTTCTCCCGCGCCTGGTTCAAGTTGCTCCACCGTGATATGGGCCCTCGTGTCCGCTGGCTCGGCCCTGAGGTTCCCCAGGAGACTCTCCTGTGGGAGGACCCCGTTCCCGCTGTCAACCACCCTCTGATTGATGTCGAGGATGTTGCTGACCTCAAGCGCGAGATCCTGGCCTCCGGCCTCGAGCACACCAAGTTCATCTCCGCTGCCTGGGCCTCCGCCTCCACCTTCCGTGGCGGGGACAAGCGTGGTGGCGCTAACGGTGCCCGTATCCGCCTGGCTCCCCAGAACAACTGGCAGGTTAACAACCCTGCTCAGCTTCGTGAGGTCCTTGCCGTTCTCGAGGACGTCCAGCGTCGCTACAACAGCTCGCAGACTGGCAACAAGCGTGTCTCTCTCGCTGACCTGATCGTTCTGGCCGGTAATGCTGCCCTGAGAGAAGGCCGCCGGTATTCCCGTCCCCTTCACCCCTGGCCGCATGGATGCCACCCAGGAGGAGACCGATGTCGACTCCTTCCGCTGGTTGGAGCCCGTCCACGACGGCTTCCGCAACTACGGCTACTCCAGCATCCGTGTCCGCAGCGAGCAGATGCTTGTCGACAAGGCCCACCAGTTGACCCTCACTGCTCCCGAGATGACCGTCCTCGTTGGGGGTCTGCGTGTTCTGGGCGCCAACTGGGACCGCTCCAACTTGGGTGTCCTGACCCAGCGTCCTGGCCAGCTGACCAACGACTTCTTCGTCAACCTGCTCGACATGAGCACCGAGTGGAAGTCCGCAAACGCCAACAACGACACCTTCGAGGGTGTCGACCGCAAGACTGGTGCCAAGAAGTGGTCTGCTTCCCGCAACGACCTGATCTTCGGTCACCACGCCGAGCTCCGCGCTCTGTCAGAGCTGTACGGTAGCCACGACGGCCAGTCCAAGTTTGTTCGTGACTTCGTCGCTGCTTGGGATAAGGTCATGAACCTGGACCGCTTCGATGTGGTCTACGGCTCGACCATCTCTGGTCGTCCGGCCCGTCTGTAAATTTCTTATTTCTTGTTGGATCTTGTTGCGGACTCCAAAATCCCAGCTCCATATATGACGCTATGCTCTGTATCTCATCTTGTTTAACGAAGATTGATGCCTCCAATCAATGTGAAAATTAGCTTCAATAATTTCCGGTATCTTTGCTCATCCAATCATTTTCTTTCCTATAATTCTCAACCCGGTAGTCTGCCATCAAAACTAAGCGAGCCCCACCTATACCAGGACCAAAACTCTATCTACTTTGCCAGTGCTGGTCAGGTCTATAATAAGTACGTAGAGAGCCAGATAAATTTTCAATGAATGGAGCCAATGAATATGTCAATTGGCTCTGTGGAATCTCGGGTTGGTGGGGCTGCTAACCCAAATCCGGAAAATTCTGCGTATCCGTAACTCCTCCTTTCCCAAAAATCTTCAGGATATTTCGATGCCTGGCACAAAGAGGACAGCAAACGCTTAGATTTTCCGTGGTACGCAGATCGGACAATCTATGTGCCTGATTGGATCCATTTAGCCCGACTTTCAATGCGCGCAGCCTAGAAAGGAGGAGGAGGCCCGCTACTTGGACGTCATTTAAGGGAAGCTGAGAACGAATACGCACTGTGCACTTCGAGAATAGTAAGAAAAAGTAAGCAATGGACCCTCCAGGTGGCAATAAGGCTATTCGGCCAAGACGGACACATCGGAAGTCGCGTCTAGGGTGCACTAACTGCAAGCGACGGCGCATTAAGGTACGCATTCCCTCCGATTTCTATTCTGTAGTCTTCACATTTCTCGCTCCCGCTTCATCCGCGGTCATGCTATATACACTCCGGTCGATACTTTGCTTTCGCCCTAGGCGGTGGAATAGCTTAGTCTCCGAATCTAACGAGAATCGAGCTGATCTGTTACAGTGCGACGAAAAGCGGCCTAGCTGCTCCAACTGTTCCAACCATGACGTTGAATGCACATTTACTACAATCACAACACAATCTGCGGAATCCTCGGCTCAAGAGGATTCGGAAGTGCCCGCCCGAAGACCGGCACGTAGATTCCAACCACACCAATTCGCAACAGGTGGATTGAAACAAACCTTCCGAATACCAAACCCGCAGCCCCGGTCCTCCTCCAGCAGCACCCACTCCACAGGAACACAATGTGATATCTTGAAAGACCCCCTTCCAAGCACCATATCCATTCCCGACCTTCATCTCTTTCACCACTGGTGTATATCTACTCACCAAACAATGCGTACCAGTGACCCCAACAATATCTGGCAATACCACATAGTACAATGGGGCATTGAATTCCCTTCGATCCTCCACCTAATCCTCGCTCTATCCGCACTACATCTAGCCTACGAGCACCCCGAAGAACGAAGTAAATACCTACAACAAGCAGACAACCATTTCACCTTCGGCGTACGAACAGTCACCAATTTCTTTTCCCTCGAGGATCTGGACGAGAAGAACTGCCAGAAAATATACATGTCCACAACTCTAATCGTTTTCATATACTTCGGCCGAGGACCACGACCAGGCGAATACCTTATCTTCAGCGACGCCGGTCCAGCAGAGTGGCTCGTCCTCATGCAAGGCGTTAAATTGACCGTAGGGTCATATCACCAAAAGGTCTTTAGTGGGATTCTCAAGCCTGAGCCTCCAGAGCCGTTACCAGAGATCAGCCCATCGATTGGTCTGGAGCTTCACGAGCATACAGTGTTCACGCAGGCAGCACAGCGACTCGTCGAACGAGAGGTCACAGATGAATCGGTTCTTCAACTATATACCTCTGCTCTCAATGATCTATACGATATCATGAATCAGGTTCACAAACGGAGATCTGCACAGCAGTCAGGGGTTGCTTTGATGGATCTATTGATCGGGTGGCTTTATCGACTACCTGAAAATTTTATCCGGTTGCTAGAGGAGAAAGAGCCTCGAGCCCTTGTGGTACTTGCCTACTGGGCTGTCTTGTTTCGATATATGGAAACGGCTTGGTTTATGAAGGGATGGGCTGAGCATGTTCTTTCGGGTGTTTCTATGTTTCTGCTGCCGGAGTATCAGCCGTGGATTGAGTGGCCGTTAAAGAAGGTACGGGAAGTATAGTTGGAATAAATTCACGATCATAAAATGAAGGAAATTATACGCTAGTACATAAAAGGATGATGGAGTCTTCATCTTTCCATTTGCTGTAGTATAAAATAAATGACGATGTGGATCCTGTTCGGCACAGGACAAAAGTGCTTCGATGATGAGCCGGCTCGCAGCACCAGTACCAGAATTATATTCAGGTTTTTTTTTAGTAATAGAAGCAAAGTGAGAAAAGCTTACACAGTGATATTGGCCAGAGGCAAGATGTCAACTGGATCAATACCATAAAACATACAGTCCCTAATTTAAGTTTTTTGAGTTTTCTTGCACGTGGAGCCTATTACCCTGACCCCAGGGTTCAAACCCCTAAAAATAGGCATATTTCTGCCTAGAATATGCAAGATAATAGGCATAGTGGATATTCCCCTTCAAGAAAGAAGCAATAAGTACCCCGTAGCGGGCAAAGTTAAAACAGAAGGATGGGCGCGTCGCCAAATGCTCCACTTGCTCCGCACGTATTCGTTCAGATATTTCCTAATACGGAAGCGCAGAGCCAGACGGCAAGGAGAGGGATAGATCAGCCATTATCATATATATAGCTAGGTCCTAAGTCTAAAATCGAAACATCTTCAATCTATGCTTACTCCTGTTCCTCTTACCTAAATTCTCACAATGGATATCGTTTTTCACCCTGGCGTGAACGGGTCCCATCCCGTTGTCGAGTTCTACCCGTATATTCCTTCAGCTACGGCAGGGTATGCATTCATGGCCATTTTTGGCCTTGCAACCATCGTTCACATCGTGCTTACGATTCCATTTCGAGCTGCATACTTCATACCCCTGATATTGGGAGGGATATGTGCGTTCTACCCTATATCCTTGCAAAACGACCCCAGAGTCCAATCTAACAGCTTAACACAAAACAGGCGAGACATTCGGTTATTACGGACGAGCATGGTCCCATGAATCCCGATTCGAAATTAAATCTTGGGCGCTACAAGAAATGCTCATTCTCTGCGCACCGCCTCTAGTCGCCGCAACCGTCTATATGGTCCTTGGACGAATTATTCGCTCCTTCGAAGCAGAGCACCTCTCTAGCATGCGCGTCAAATGGCTCACATTCGTCTTTGTAATGAATGACATCCTCTGTTTCTGCACACAGCTCGGCGGTGCCGGTGTTCAGGTCACTGGAGACGCTCAGATCATGAGTATTGGCAAGAAAGTTGTACTTGCGGGGTTAATATTCTCGCTGATTGTCTTTGCCTTCTTCATTCTGATCGCCGTCAAATTTCATCGTCGTCTACAACAAGCGCCGACACCGCTGTTGATTATGAACCCCGATCTGAAATGGGTGCCGTATATGTGGGCAATTTATGTCGCCTGCTTCGCCATGATGATTCGCAATTTGGTTCGGACGATTCAATTTGGTGCGCCTAGGACGACAGACGTCAATACGAAGGAGGCGTATATCTACGTCTTTGATGCGTTTCTAATGTTTCTTTCCATGCTTGTCTTGATCGTCTACCACCCGGGGAAGCTCATCAAAAAGGCCCGTCGACTCGCAAAGGCCGGCGCATTCGATCGTTCTCTCAACACTGATCGTGATTCAACACAGGTTCCATTGACTCAGTGGGAGCCAAAACCGATGCAAGAGACATGCTGATTCTCTAAAACATGGAGTTCCTCTTTCTTTTCCTTTATTTCTTCCCGGTGTACCTCATACGGCGCAGAGCTTTGTGATTATTTCTTTTGGCATCGAGTCTACTTTGTATTGGAATTATAAAATAGACTATACAAATATAAGTTTCATCATTAAATCCACTGGAGGCTAAACCAGAGCCATCCATACTAGATCCTATCCAATACACGTCCATCCAGATAAGAAAAGAAAAGAAACTCATTATAGGCATGAGGGGACATAAATGACATCGCGATGTTCCAATGTCCAGTAGTTGACAACACGTTCACGGCAGTGCGAGAGTGCAAAATGCGGAGAATTCCCCATATGTCACTTCATATTCACGTTCAATATACGAAATCCGGGATTACCGGCGAAGCAGATAGCTGTCTAAAACCACATAATTCCGACAACCAAGCCGATAACCACTGCCATACAGCTACCTTTTAGCTCAGGCGCCGTTCGAATGGCAGCATCAGTTGTCTCGTTATGGGAGAATGTGTTTGGTTTTGAGGTCTGCGCGGGTTGATTTGAGGTCGCGTTGGCCCGTGCTTGCGGGTCTTGCGGTTGGGGGATTATAGCTGCGCGAGTCGGATTCTTTTTGTCGCTGGTCGCGAGAGATTCGATGGAGGACCAGTCCCAGTTCCAAGGTATACTGGAAGATTGGAATAGAGACTCGGATCCGAGCCTCCAAAGCTTGATTGCAGTATGGCAGGCCTGCTGCCACATGCCGAACAAAGGCGAAAGCTGCAGTCCCGGCCAGTTTGTTGGTGATATGTATGAGGGGGTCGTCTCATTATTGAAATGCGGTTCATTTGCGGAGGAAGGTTCGTCAAGAGAGGTCGGTCGAGGGGCGGGGATAGAAGGGGGGATGGTAGGGGTGAGGTGTGCGGTTTCGGGGGAGAGACTTCGGTTCGAAAAGGGGGTGAAGATTTGATAGTCGTCTAATTGTTGGATAAAGTAGGTTCGGAAAGCACGAGCCCGTCGGCTGAACATGAACGACGAGTCTACCGCGCCATATGATAATTCGCTTTTGTTCTCGACGGAAGCGACCTCGCCGGAGAGTGTCAGCGCGTTGCTTCTGGAGCGCACAGAACGCGACAAGAGATTCCCACGCGGCCGATACTGCGCCGTCGCAGTCCACGAGGCCGGATAGTTGACTGGTGGCGTGTCCGAGGGAAATTCATCGACAGGTTCGTTGATGAGTGGCATATCTGAATATGAGGTGTTCCCGTTAGCTTGCGTCTCGGAAATGCCGAAGCCAATGCAATGCAAATCCCCATGAACTTACGTCGAGCTCCATGAGTGTTGAATGAGAAATCGGTCAGTTTCAAATTATAGATATTCGACAATGAGGGCGCCAGAGTGAGTAGCGAAAAGATCACCACTATCAGGAGCGGCAGTGCGCCCGGCTTGTCGAGCCCGGAGCGCATCATCCACGCGCTCGGCGATCAATGCCGATGACCACTGGCGGGGATCAGAGGACTTTTTACGAGATTCGATAATGCGAATGCCATGGAAAGAATGCCAATGAAATGTACAATGGTGTGGTTGTTGAAATGAAGGTCGGGAGATGGTTGGAGATGCCTCCTTTTTTTTTTCTCCCACCGCTCCCAATCCTCGTAAGATAGGTGAAGGGAAAAGGTTCCGAGGAGGGGAGAACAGCAATAGAAGCTGGAAAATGACAGGCGTCAAAAAAGCAGTAAGGTTTGGGAGGGGAAGATCCAAGCGATAAGCCTAAAAAGTCAATGGAGCGCCCTATGGGAGTAAACCTGGTTGCGTCTTGGCTTTTTTTCCTTCTGCGGCCGGCATGACGTCGATGATCGGTCGCACAGGTAACGCTGGGGATTCAGTGGTGAGGTGCATGATGTGGAATACATTTGAATCAGTCAGTCTTCACATATTACAATTTAATTATAAAACAATAGAAAGTTACGATGAGTGATCTGGATTTATACCGAGATAAATGCCAGTTTATACTCGAGGAATGTTCCCATGTGGAAGGAAGAATTTGTAAATTTATGCCTCAGGCATACTTGATACCTTCAATAATGCCCATATTTTATCTTGGGGTACCCTACCACACTCCACATTCAAGTACTCCCCCCGGTTAGGTTTATTTTGGGTTACCCAAACCAAGTTTTCCATCAGTGCCATCTGGTCATCCTTAACGGCTTTGTACAAAAACTTAGTGATGTGAGCCAAGGAGCATTCTCCAGGCAACTACCGTGCACGATTCCCCAAAGAGCAAGCGATCTGCACGCCCAGTCTCACCTGCAGCGCCCGCTGTCCTTGAACCTCGAGAAGCCACAGCGCTCCAAGCCGCTTTTCCATTTAGCCGCAGGTAGATTGCGCGGCCTGGCATTTGATCATGTAGAATCCCATTTATTTTAAACCCATTATCGTTGGCGTTATCATGTACATCTAAGACATCAACAGCCGATTGCCGATTTCGCCTGCCATCTGGCAATCAATCCTTGCCCCCCCTGTTTACTTGGATCATTCGCTCATGCACTCCATACTATGCAGTGTACCCACAGTGCTCCAATTTTCAAACCCTGTTTCGTCACTTTTCGATGCCCCCGAAACAAACAAAAACCCTGTTCATCATTTCACGCTAACAAGTCGCCAAAGGCGGACTGGTCGCGGAATAGCCAACACCGACCCGGCGAGTCAAAAAAAGAGGGAAGCCACTCGGGCAGAGGGATAAATACCCGACCCGGAAGCTCCCCTCCCCCGTGGCCATGAACTGTCATCAGAGCTTGCTCCAGGTGAAAGCCACCCGCGGCATGTGTCTCGCGCCCTGTGGCTGCAGTGCGATGATCCTCGATGCGCAGTAAACTAGGACTAGCAGAAGATGATTGCAGTGTGCCATGGAGGCCTTCCAGAATATTCAGTCCTTGTTTGGCGATTCCATACTGTGGCGCTTGTCGAGACAGAAGGCCAAAAGCATCGAAAAACGTAGCGTAGCTATACCGCAAGTCGGAGTCGGGGCTGAACCGAATGCCTGCATTCGACAGCTGCCGCGTATCTGCTTGGATAGAAAGCAAGCAGATCCCGAGGCACGCCAGCGCTTCGACAAGAAGGATCGGGAAGAGAAACATTTGCTCGCATGTACCACCCTCATCATCGCCGGCCAAAACATAGAGTCGGGTGATTGATGATATCACTTTACAGGAAATGTCCATCAGGGTTCGGCGATGAGATAGAGCTAGCAGATCGGTACCGTATCTGCTGCTAGTATTGCTGCCGTAGTGTAGATTGTTGCAGGGATCCGCAAATGCGCGATATAGAGAGGCCTTGGCGCTGTAAATAAATAAATGGAGAGTTTCTCTCTTGGGAAGCAGTGTCGGCTCTGCTGGATCCCATCTAGTGTCTGGATTGTCGAGCCAATATGCAGGTGGCAGTTGGTCAACAACGACTTCTTTGAACCTCTGCGCGAACTCGGAGACCAAAACTGGGTCGTATTGATCTGTCGTCCATGATGGGGGGCTAGTGAAGGCCGTGAGATATCTGGCCACCTTGATGTAGAAAATTCGATCCGTAAATGTCGTGAGAATATATGGTCTAATTGTGATGGTGCGCAGGCTGTCGTGTGGGAGATCAATGTCAAAGTATCCTTCGGGGATCAGAGGCCAGTAGCCGAAAAAGGAGCACATAAATCTGGCAAGGATCAGATCATGTACTTCGAACTTGAACGCATTCAAAGGAACCCATCTCATCAACTTACCGATCAATAACATATAAGTTCCAGAAGGCTCGCCTACGTATTTCCATACTCAAATCGCTAAGTGGAATCCCTGGATCCTTCAGGTGTAATCCCATTTCATGAGCATCCTTGACAGTCACACTCAAAGCTGCCCAGCATTTTCGAATCTTCGCATAATTTCGGAGGTAGCAGACATGATAAAATCGGTGCTGCACGGTTATGATAGTTGGCTTTCTCTCGGCTGATTGTGTTTTCTCGATTTCGTTTGCCAAGGAGTAAAACCATTCTTCAAGGTGATCAAGGCTGACGTCCAGTATCCCAGTAGTAGGGTATCTTGAGTGTGGTAGGCATTGTACGCTGAGCAGACAAACCCGTAGTATGAGTAGCCCGAAATCCACATCCTCGTCGGAGATGTTGCCTTCCAATATTCCGTCCGTATTCTCTTGCAGCGTCCACCACTCATTGTATTTGGAATGGAATGTGGGAGGATATATCATTTCGTAGGTTCGATTGATCTCCTGCAGAAACATACAGACCAAGAAATCTGCCACTGACCTTTCTGGCCATGTTCGGCGCAGCCTTGATCGCGATCGCGATGAAGGCATACTATTCTTTGCCGCCGTCATAAGCGGGAAGTTTCTATATGAATTTACATCAGTGAATCTGTGTTGATATCTCATTTCCAGGTCCCCTAACAGCCAAGCAAGGGAGCATGGAGGTTTTGTGCAATTGCGGCTGCTCTTTGGTCGTACCTTAAAGCTTCTAGTCCATCCATCACCGGCTCATGAGAGTCGGATTCATATGAGGAGCTTGTTGTAGGACTTTGCTGATCTTCCGAACCGCCAGTTTGAGGACTCGATCTTCGTCGTCTTGGCTGTCTGTTGCGACCTCTGCTGTGACTTTGTTGAGCGTGAGTGAAAGAATATACACAGAGGTGCTCAACCCCGCGGCCCTGACAGTGATTACATGGCCTTTGGCGATTACACTAAGAGGTGGTCAGCAATGCGTGATGTGTCATGGATGGTTTCACAAGGGCGTCGTAGGAAGTATGGAAAGCAACTGATAGTACGTACCTTCTGCTTTCTGCGATTACATTCGAGGCAAGACTTAATGGGCTTCTGACGAGATCTTTTCTCGTGCTGCATATTCTGAAGATACCCAATAACACATCTAACACAATTAGTCCACAGCAGATTAGTTTGGGTTATTTTAGCATTTTAACTGTGCAGAACCTTGTCTCTATCCGCCCTGCAATACTCCATAGTAAGCGCCAAGACTAAAATGGCCCCCATATTATTTTAATTACCCCGGCACATTTAGATCATGTGTGTAAAGCTTTAACTCCTTAGGTTAACAGGCGCGAGCTTCTGCAATGCTGTCGATTAATGGGCCTTGGGGTCCGACCCGTTTCAGATTGCAATTGGGCGAATGACGACTCTGGACAATTGCCCGACAATGGGATTACATAGTGACAAAGTACCCCGTCCATCGTCGCAACCAATATGCCCCTGAAAATCTCTGATACTTTGAGCTTCGTATCACATGCTAGCATGGACAATTAGATTTTGAGTTCCTCATCTTTGCGTTAGACAAAAACTACATAAATGTAGTTCTATCCTTGCTCTACCGACGAGCACGGCGGGCTACTCACTGTGGGTGGACCTTGGTGAAGACCACTATCTAAGAGGGCTGGAGTTTATGGGCATCCGGCGTTCTTGTGGAGACCCGGGTTTCCCGAGAAGCCCGAAAAACCCCCGCTTGTTTTGAAGCTTTTTTGGGGCTTGCTGGAGCAGGGACACGACATCCTGCTGTTCCGTCCGGAGGTTGACCGCAGCGTGAAGCTGTGGGAACTTCGATGGGGCCATTTCTATACCAAAAAGGAAACTCTGCACGATGATCCGATCTTTTTATTTGCTTATCATTCTAGTCAGCTTATGATTTTCATTCTGTTTCCCTCAATAACGCCTTGCACGCTACGGACGATCAATCTGCCTTGAGGACTGCAGAGTACATCCTTCGACACAACCTAGTTTTGACCAAAGTACACGCTAGCACTAATAAGGAAGGTATTTTAATTTATGTATGAGTACGTGGGAATGATGAACTTGTGAAGCACGGTCTCGAGCAAAACTGGCGTTTTCTTCTTTTTTTAGATTTGCTGCTAAGTTCCTCGTGCCCCTGCGTGACCTCTGCCTCCATGACATCAAGCACGCTGGACACTTGTCTTATTTCATCGATATTGCACTTCTAATTGCCGTTTCTCTCCAGGGCTCTCGCTTCTACCGTCTTCGGCCAGCAATAGTATAGAAAGCAAACTTCTTCGATACGTAGATCGGGACTAACAGATCGTCGGAGATTTTAATTGTATGAGACTCAACAATACATTTGCCTTTACGTTGCTGGCTGGACCTTCAAGCGAGCGATTATTGCTCCACGTATCCCATCACTACCCAGAATTGAATCTAGTGCCATCTGTTAACCCGTTCCATCTCATACTGCCGCTCGGAATAATCTGCCCAATTCTTCCTGGATGGACGGGGCACGTCAGAAATCTTCCGCGCAGAGAACGATACTCCTTGTCCTATTATGGGAAGATCCACCAATCCCTCAAAGCTGGCGAGCTTTTCATTATCGAAATTGATAGTCCCGTCGCTTTCCTGGAAGTAAATCATGCCTTCACTTTTCTCGCGGCATTTAAGCTTGAGATGATATTGAAGAGCCCGATCGTTCCCTGTCTTCTGAATTTTCGCTCTCGCCATGCTAGTTTTGGAGGCTGGTCGACCTCTCTTATTGCCCAGCTTCAAGTTCTTTTTGGTTGAAATGCCACCCCCATCGACAAGATCTTCCTCGGAGTCCTCTTCATCCAAGGAATCGGCTGAATTTTCTTCATGTCCACGACCAGCCTGAGCGCAGTATTTGTCCAGGGCAACTTCCTCCAAACACATAAGCATCACGCCCTCGACAACTCCGAAATCAAAGGCGACTTTGAAAATACCAGGTGTTTCAGTTCGGTGGATATTGAGAACAAGGTCAGTTGGCTTGTCTAGGAACCCATTCTCGATAGGAGCACAATCAACATTATATCTCCCAATAGGGGAGACATCCTCTGTCTTCCGACCGAGTTTAAGAAGATAGTCCTGATGCAGTTTTTCTCGCCCATTCTCCCTCTCTGATTCCTTATCTTTCAGTCGCCTTGTCTCATCGCTGGAGTGTTGATTGGCTGCCTTTCCCACAGCGGCTTCATCCCAACCCATGAAGATAACCTGAGTCTTCGGCCCAAAGGCTTTCTTGTGGTGCAGACCTGGGATCATAGTGGCAGCTTCAATCATATTCCCAGAGCGGTATTCACTGTGTCGATCAAGAGGTATGCCAATAACACCGGTCGTTTTAAGTCGGTTTGCCTGGCCATCGGACAAGAAGTACTTCTGCATTACCCATTCAGGGTAGGATGAGAGTTCCTCGGGAGTACAATCGCTGAGCCATTCTTCATGCATCTCATTTTGAAGCTTAATGATATGATCGGGAACCTGGTCGCATTTCCCGGCTGTGAGGGCAGCCTTCAGTAATGCAGTGGGTGTAGTGCGCCGTCCAAAGGATGAATTGGGTTCTTCGAACTGCACTCCATAGTGTTTCAACTGGGTACCGACGAAGTCGGAATTATCTCGCAGTAATTTTCTTCCTTCCGGTGTAAGCTTTGGCAGAAACATGCTTCGAAGTTTCTCAACTTCGATTCGGTCCACACGACCAGGTTCTGCCATGAACCTGCCGAGTGATGAAATGAACCCATCGCGACGAACATCGTGTAAGAGCGACGACATTGTGATTTGCAATTGTGAAAAATGTTTCTCGTAAGCGATGAATGGGCGAACAGGACAAAAAGCGTAGTGATAATATGAAGAGAGAGAAGAGAAGAGAGTGAAGCTGTGTGCACACACGGAAGGACTACGGCAGCCTTGATGCCCGGGTGCCTTGATGCCTGGGGCAGTCGCGTGGTCCCGCCAGAACAACTTTTCCGTAGGATGTGGTGCAGCAACATCCAACATCCCTGCCAGGTACAGGTAACAGGCTACCTAGTACCGTGGAAATGCCAGGGCGGATCCTGTTATATTGGTGGTGATGTAACATGTTGCTATACTTCAAGTTAGTCCTCTACCAGGATGCCAAATTAGCAACTTGCCAGTCTGAAAATCTCATGTATTGAGATCGGCCTAGTGGTAGCTGTATGGAGAAGAGAAGGAACTGAAGTATCCAATTCTCACTTCATTGTCTGGTAGCAATTAATGTGTCTCTTTGAGTGTTGGTGGCCGTCTATGCCACTTATTATTAAATAATCATCTTGAGCCCAGTGCATGATATTCCACTGCTGTCTACGTCATAGCATTCCATTCACCCCTTGGTGCAGGAGATTACTTCCTTTCTTCCTGTGACCCAAACCCTTTGTAACCCCACAAAGCTAAATAGGAAGCCTTTTTGTAACCACTTTGTCCGAACCACGGTGTCTGGCACTTTATCTCTAATTCAAGTGTAGATAGTTCCAGTAACCTAGAATGAAAATAAGGGTAGCAAGTTCAGAAACGAATTACCCCCAATCATTGTACATCCGACCCTTCTACATCTGGAAAATGTTACTTGAACCCGGTCCGGGTTCATTGGGCTCCAAATGGTAACTTAATGGTTCATGTGATAACTTGAAGTCGTATGGCTTCATGGGGGGAGAGGGGTAGTAATTTAGGTTGGGAATTTTCCGCTCCCCCATCCAGGGCACCCAAAGCCGACAATATCCCGAAAATCCCTTGTTGTGACCTTCCTCTCCCTCTGGGGTCATCCCTTGACCCTTCGGAATTCGACCCAGCACGGACTCCTTTCCAGGTCCGTGGTATCCCAATGCACCCTTCTTTGAATCCAGGTTTGCGAGAGGCGGACCTCCTTAAACAAAAATGTCCTTTTCATCAGCCGAACATGACTCTGCAGCACTTTCCAAGTCACCAACTGCCAACACCGACACATACCCAGCCACGATAGCCCATCTCTCAGATATCGAACCTCGACTTTTATATCCCACTTCGTGTTGCAAATGGGGAGCCCAGAGATAATACAACGATATTTCGGCAACGAGTCCAAAACCACCCTCGACCCCAACGCAAGTGTTCAGAGTGTTGACGATGTGAAACATCCTGCACAAGAGAGTACGCTTCAACTCTTCGAAAATGAAGAGCCAACAGACGCGCAACAGTGGCAGCCCGGCGTTCGTGACTGGCTTGTCTTTATTTGCATCGTCATCCTAGCGATGATGGATGCGTTCGATGCCACCGTGTTGATCCCGATGCTACCGGTAAGTTCCATACTATTGATCACCACAAACCGCCAATATGAATATTATCTATGAGCAAAGCTAATCTCGTGGAAAGGACCTAGCAAACACATTCGATGAACCATTTGTCAGCGTCCTCTGGATAAACACAGCTTATCTTGTCCTCAATGCTGCCAGTCAACTTTATTTCACAATGATGAGCGACGTTTTCAGCCATGGCGCGGTGTGGACTATCGCCGTCCTACCACAACCATCGGTACCGGGATCTGCAGCGGATCGATGAGTCTAGTGGAACTAGTCGTTGGTCGCCTGATACAGGGAATTGGCGGGGGCGGTGCCATGAGCCTTTGCTTCGTGGTGATGACCGAGTCAACCCCCGAGCACATACAGTCACGATATTCGTGCTACATTCTCCTCACGAGAATCATTGGTATCATGGTCGGTCCAGTCGTCGGAGGTCTCTTCATTGATTACGCACATTGGACATGGGCTTTCTACTTCAACTTTATATTCTGCGCGCTCGGCATGCTTGTGATACCGTTTGCAGTTGACTTGCGCGTGTCGAAAAGTATTCCGCTTCGCAAATTGCGTATTCTGGATTGGTCTGGGGCTACAATGGCCTTTATGGGGCTGGGAGGTATTCTCGTCGGTCTCAGCTGGGGAGGTATCTCTTACCGTTGGAACGAATGGCAGACCTTGGTGCCCATTGCTGTTGGGGTGGCGGTTCTTATCGCTCTACTATTCTACGAGTCGACTTGGGCCCTGCATCCACAATTTGGATCTCGGGTATTAGGAAACCCGGGGATTGCTATGACATATGCGGGGTGCTTCTGTCACGGCTTCGTGGTGAGTAACTTCGATTCACACTCTAAGTCTAGAGCTAGTCTAACCTCTTGATCAGATTTTCTGCCAGCTTCAGTTCTTCACCGTGTTCTTCATTTCAACCAAGTACCTGTCAACATCTCTTTCCGGTATAGCCTTGCTCGCCATCAGTGGTCTCTCTATCGCGCCCGCCGCGGTTGTGGGAGTTGTTCTGGCAAGGGAGTCCCAGTGTGCCAAGTGGATAATTTCCGGGGTTGGGTTCTTACAATTCTTGCTTCCGGATGCTCAATTCTGTTGGATGGTGCAACGCCAACGATTGGCTGGGTTTTCCTCTTCTTCTCGATGGGATTAGGTCACGGCCTGCTTCTCTCAAGCTACAATATCCAGATACAGAGCATTCCAAAGGAGGAGGGAACCGCGCTATCTACAATGCCGATCATCATTTCAAACTACATGCGAACTTGGGGCATGGCAGTGGCGATCCCTGTTGGAGGAGTTGTGTTCTTGAGCCTATTCGGTCGTGAACTTCATCTGGCGGGCTTAGATCGCGAGCTGATTAACACGGCTAAGGGTTATATCATCTTGATGGACCAAGTTAAGATGCCTGATGAATACCGCGAAGCTATCAAGGATGCTGCGGCGTTGGCTTTGCAGGGGACCTGGGAAGTTGCAACAGGTGTTGCTGCAGTTGGTGGTATATCGTCTGTCGTTTTATGGAGGCGGCGCTGCTCTGCTTGATATAATATTCTGACAAAATAATTGACCCTGAACAGAATGATATACTTGCCAAGAATCCCTTTGAAATCGTGTTCCTAGTACCCCGAAATATCAGCTTCATTGAGGGGCCAATTGCCAAGGCCTACTAAATTTTTCTATGTAGTACTTATTTCAAAATACTGAACTAAAAACAGTCCCAACCTTAAAAACCATCCATCTTGGTTTCTTAGTTGGGAAAACCTCCGGGAAAGCCTTGGGGACTGCCACATTGCGGTTCACCGTCTATCCGGAAGTTGAATAGTTTGAGTATTTGACAGCTTTGCTCTGTCTTCCAAGATTGGAAGTGGTTTCTGCCTGACACAGGTCATTCTATGAGCCGGGGAGCATCTGTATTAAATAGACACTGTCTTTTACTCACTTTCCATTTCCACACTGCGCTTCCAAGCACTCCCACAGTCCGCTTCATCATTCCAACCACTTCCCGAATATCGCCTTCATTTATTCGACACTTGAAAGTCTACAAACTTCCTATGATGTCGCATCCCAACACCCCACCCAACGAGTGGGTCGAGGCCGCCATTGCCCATCATCCTGTCTTCCGCCCTGTGCTACATCTCGTATAGACCAGATATTTCCCGCGCTTGAGTTTAAAAAGGTATCCTTCCAGCGTCAGGGTCAAAATTAACACACAAGATGACGAATCATAGGCTTGTTGTCTTGGTCGGATAGCATCCGTTCCGGTATTCATTAATATGTACTTGGTGACTGGTTCCTCCTCTTTTTCTTTATTCTCTCTAAAATTATTACTTTCTTTGTTTGCTACTAGATATTGGCTGTATTGTATCTTGGTCTTTGTCATGTCCGCGCTCTTCACACAAGCCCTTGTAGGATGTTCTGAACTAAAAAAAAGACCCAAAACTTGCCCAAGATGTTCTACCTTTCCCTGGCTCAGGAGCTCGGCAAGGTCAATGGCTTCTCCCTCCCAGCTAGTGAACGACAAAGGCCGAGTGAGGTCCAAATTCACCAAGCCTCAGAACCAGATCCTGAGTATCGAGGAAGTTAATTCCCAGGCTCAATCAAACAAGCATATGCAGATGTTCAATATCAAGTCACCGAGTTTTGGCTTCAAAATGCCGAACTCAAGGATTCAGTGCAGGGGGTGATGATCCGTTGAAAGCAGTCGCTTGTGGAGAAGGGTGCGGCAGTCTCAGAGCGAGAAATTCTAGCTCGGAACTAGTCTATTATTAAGGCGCAAGGATAGGGAGCCCTAGCTCAGCTTTTATTGTGTTTAATTCAAATATTGCATTAGAATCTCCCAGTATAATACTAAAAACAAGGCGTCGACTGGCCCGGGGGCGTATATCATTTGCCGTAGCCGGCAACAAGTGCGAGGCACCAGGTACTACGAAGGTCGAGATAACAGCACCAGGCAAAATTCAGTAGCAATCGACTAAATTAATAAGCAATTGGAGGGGGGATAAAAGGAAGCAGCAACTACAAACAGAACGGGTGCCTATTACACGGCCGCTGAGACAGCTGCCAGAAGGCTGAGGCACCAAATGGCATCAAACATGCGATTCGTTTATAAAATGGAGACTTTGTCTCTCCTCTCACTTCTCTTTTTCACTTCCCTCTACACCGGCACATCACTCTCCTCATCCCATCCATCGTTTCCAATCCACCATCCAAGCTTCGCCACTTGACCAAACCTCTCCAAAATGCCACCCACCAACACCCCACCTGCTCGTGACGAGTGGAAGGAGGCCGTCCTCATTGTCCACCCCAATGTCAAGGAAGCACTGGCTCAAATTGCGAAAATCACGAACACATCAGAGGTAATCTGGGACGAGTTAGTCATTTTCAACGCTATCGAAGCCAAAGGTTACTCGCCGGAATCATATGGAAAAGCAAGATGGAACCCAAGTACCTGGGCCAAGAAAATGCGCAAGCAATGGACAAAGTATGAACGTGAGATCGCATCTACGAAGAAAAAGGTACACGAGTGCCATCCTGAATTCCGCCGCATCCTCCAAGGTCCCCTCGACGAGGCCCTGAGACGTCATGAGAGCCAGAAATATGCCGTCAACTCTTGCTGCGAGTTCGAGGAATGATACGATGTGTGACCCCGACGATTGTGAGAAAAGCAGATGTTAGCTATGTGGTTACCCATAAACCAGCATACTGGGATACAGAGGATTGTTTTCAAGGCTGATTTTCTTGTCTTTCTTCTCGGGCTGAGGGAGGGGGTTTCGTGTGTGAATGTTGCGCCTCTTGTTCATAGAACTAATCGGAATGCAACTTTATCTGCAGCAGTAACTGCTCGAAATTTCAGCTCTTGAATGGCCAGTGTAATTTGAACTAGTAGTCTCCTATCGGGCAAAGTTCTGTCTCGCCGGAAAGGGAACTCTTTCCCACGCCCCGAATTTAACCATCATACATTAGATCGGGAGTCTAGGAAGCCAGTCAAGCGACGGAGCTGGATTATTTCCGTGTTGGATACCAAATTAGCCATCCCGCTGTATCTTTTTTGGGTGATTATGATGATATCGCTGCATTGTTTCAAGTTGATTTCCTCGTTAATAATAAACATGGCCCTGCTGAAGGCTAGGATTATTGATGTATAGGACAGGTCAGTCTTTCGTCAGTCATTCCAAGTAGTCAGCAATCTGCGATAGAATCCAAACACGTTGACCCAATGAAGAACACTCCATTTCCTCGTGTATATCTCAACTAACACGACATTGATCGCGCTTCCGGGATTCTCGACCAACGTTCGGTGGTGTAGGGGGCGATTTGAGTCTCTGTAGTTCCTGTTCTTTCAGTTCCGCCTGCACTTTGAGTCGACCGGGTGTGACAGATCCTCGGTTGCCCTTGATCTTCCAACCATGGAGCCGGTCCTTTCCTATTGCCTCGATTGTTTTTCTTTCGACGATGCTGTATTTAGTTGGATCGGAGCGATCAAATTTGAAAGGTTCCTTCAGGGAGACGGGTGGATTGGTGATGATGCGCGCGTGTCTCAAACTGTTGACAGACACCGAGTGAACCATCAGGGGATGGAGAAGAATCACGTCGCCCACTTCACCGGTCATTTCGTGAAATTCGTGACATTTCTTGATTATGTCGTTGTAGAAATCTTCGAAATTCTTCTTGGACTGTTTGGACCCTCGAGGAACCATGTACGGAGACACGCCTTCGGGATGATCATACTGTTTTTCAAGTGAGTTTGATGACCGTCAACTGCACCTGGGACGGAAAACGGAGAATACTAACCAGGTACTGCGCGATCACCTTGATGGCGTCCGAACAAACCATGGTACCACCGGCGCGCTCCTGGATATCGGTGAAGAGGGGAATGACTAGTAGACCTTGCTCGGGCGAGTCCAAGAAGTGGGTAAAGAAATCTCCATCCACATGCCAGCCATCGAGATCGGTGGGCTTGAGGCATTTACCAACCGTCTCCTCAGTTCCGAGATTGACGATGAAGGCATCGTTCCAGGTAGCAGAGTGTTCTGCGACGCGACTCTCACCCCCAAGAAGCTCGCATATGGCGGCCCAGGCTCTAGGGGCAAACGTTTTGACCGGTTCCGACTTATGCTCGGGCATCCATGTGATCTCAGTCTTCCAGGTTGACTTGTCTGTGGGTGAGTATCCGAGACGCGTCCATACATCTGCGGTCCACTCGGCGGCCTTTTCCCTGGAGAAGCACCGGGGCACGCGCACCCATCCATGGCGCATAAAACTGGCAATCTGCTCTGGAGTAAGCTTGAAGTCGGAGGGGGTTGACATGACTGTTTTGGCTAACGGAGTTGAAGTTGGCCTGGTGTGGATAATGCGATGTACTGTGATGGAAATGCGGAGAAGAGGAGAAGGTAGTATGCCAGTGTATACGGGGCTGACAAAGCAGGCAGCAGTAGAGCTAGGAATTAACAACATACTAGTGTGAAGTGTAGGTATTGGCTGATTAGCCTAAATTGAGGATGACTGGAACAAAGCTATAATAAAAGCTACTAGTATGGGCCTATTTGCAATATATCACAATCCGCCAACTACCACATCGACAACAAATGAAACCGTTGCGCCTTTGTACTGGGATATTCTGGTATAAAAACGCCCTCTTCAGGGAAATTTATTTCATTGGCAAAGAATAAAGGTGGGCTCGAATCCGCACACTGTTTCCTAGTGACCGACCAAGGCGCAGAAGGCCCATCGCGTGCCATGGCAGAAGAATGGGTCAAAATGTGTCATTCGACCAAAAGGTGCGCACGCACAGATTGGCCTTTCTACGGTGGTGTTTTTGCCTCGAGAGTCAAGTACTCACGTGGAGAAAGAGCATGTCAAATAGAACTTCGCGGCTCGGAATATCCAGTCTCTTTCTCGGTAAAATCCGAGTCTCTTTTGCAAATTGAGATTCTTGTTCAATTCTCCTCTCGATGTAGACCTGATTGAACACAGGAAAGCTGGCAGGCTATCTGCCCAGTTGGACCGCTTAATCCGAAAGATTCAGACCCATCGTACGGGTGAAGAATCTTGCAGATATCGCAGGGCAAAGTATGCAGGTTGATCGTGGGCTAGTCGCTCTAGGATGGAAAGCTTTTCTCTCTCGGTCGGATGCAATCGTCATCTCTGTGGCAGGAGTAGCTGATATAGTTGACGACAAGATAGCAAAAAACATGTAAGATCGGCCGATAGAAGAAAGTCGGATATGCATAGTATCAATTCTGGAGGAAGTGAATCCAACACCCCGTCCCTTTCAAATACCCCATCACTTTCAACGGCGGGAAAATGGTACTCAGCAGCGTCTGAATACTGCTTAGTCGCGGGGATATAGTAGCCTGAAGCGTCTTCCAGGGGTTGCATTATGGAAGCTAAGGATTGAAGGGGTGTTTCAGGTTTCTGATTTGGTCAAGGGGTTTCAATAGAAGACAATCATGAGGAGAGGAGAGAGGAGAGGATAGTATCAACAATTGTTTTTTGACTGGCCCGATGCCAGTTTTGGAAGGCTCCTTTGGGACAGAGATCCAGGGCTACCATGGTTGAGGAGTGATAGCATAGGGAAGTATAGTATGTATAGGTACTAGTTAGTATTGGCTGGTTATCTTAAATTGATGATGACTGAAAGAAAGCTACATGAAAAGCAGTGGAGCTACTAGTATTTGGAATCATTATCTACTGCGGTCGTGTCTGCGCCATGTAAGCTTACTATTAGTAGTATGTTGTTGATTAAGCTTTTTCGGGGCTATTTGTAGATGTACACTGCCACTCACACTCGCTCTCGCATTCGCACTCTTAAGCTCACTGGGAAAACAAAAATAAACATGAAATACCTCAAGGCATAATCTGGTAGCTACCAGTAGATACCAGTAGATACTAATAGTATCCCAATAACATACTAATCGTATACTAAACATTGCTGGACGTTGGTTGTATTTAACCATCGCACCTTCCTCGTCCGAACTGCCTAATCATCAGACTATTCGACTCTCCACTTCCACCCATTCCAATTTCTACTCTTCGCATCTTCACATCTTCACACCGTCACGTCTTCAACATTCCACCGTATATTCAATCTCTATTTACCACTCACCATGCGCTTTCTCGGACCCGTTGTTGCTTTCTTGAGCGCCGTCTCCCTGGTCTCCGCAGCTCCGGTCAGCGAACGGACACCCGACGTCGATCAAGATCTCCCAGATGGACTGCCCTACCCAAGTCCCAGCGAATTGACTCTGGTCGAACAAAATGCTCATGGAACTCTTCCCAACACATCTCCTCCTCCTGTCATCAGTAACAAGGGCATCACGAACCTACAACTGATCGCTTTCAACGAGCTCTTCGAGGTCGCCTTTTTCAACGAACTCATCACCAACATCACCGATAATGTTGAGGGATATCGCTTCTCAGACGCCGATGACAAGAGTCTTGTCCTGGCCTCATTGAAGGCCATTCTCGCTGTACGTCTATCTTCAGTCTCTTGTGCAATAAATTTCTCAATTCTAACCTATCTCATTCCGAACAGCAAGAGGAGCTTCATGCGATCCGCGCCAATAGTGCTCTCTCACACTTCCACGTCAACCCCATCGAGCCGTGCCAATACTACTTCCCCGTGAAGGACTTCGACTCGGCCCTCGGACTCGCAAGCAAGTTCACCGATGTTGTGCTCGGTACTCTACAAGACACGATCGAGCGATTTGCCTTGGGCCATGACTTCGATCTGGCAAGGGAGATCGCTTCAGTCGTGGCAAACGAAGGCGAGCAGCAAGGATGGTTCCGCATGCAGCAAGGAAAGATCCCCAGCGAACTCCCGTTTTTGACCACCGGCGACCTCAACTTTGCCTTCACCGCGATCCAAAGCTTCACCTACCCCGGAAGCTGCCCAAACATCAATGAGATTCCTCTGCGGACTTTTGAGTCGCTCGAGATTGTCACACCTCCAAGTGCTAAGAGCCAAAACCTCACCTTCTCCTTCCAAGACAACTCCAATGAGACCAACCAGCTGTGGATGACTTATATCAACCAGCAAAATCTTCCCATCGTCCGGAACCTTTCCTACGTGTCTCATACCGGGAACACCATCACTGCGGAAGCGCTATTTCCCTACGACGACCATGAGTTGAACGGTCTTACCATTGCGGCTGTGACCAAGAAAGACGGTCCCTTCGCGGATGCCAATGAGGTTGCCAAGTGGACCTTGGCCGGTCCGGGGCTGATTATTGTGAATTGAGCAGAACTCTTCGTCGCGTGATTACTTCTTGGCTGTATTGATTATATTATTATGGACAACCGTTATGCAGGATTGAAGCTTGGTTGATTAGTTACTTTATTCTTCTCCCGTATCGACTTTGTGTATACAATGCAGCTTCGTCACTCTCTGAAATCCATGCTAATCCGTAATTTACCCCCCCCAATATTCAACAGCATAATCTCTAGTGTCCTATATTAATCCTCGTACATAGCCCCCGTCTCCGGAACATCAAGAGAAACCAGGTATTTATTAATAGCCCGATGAGTCTCACCCACATGATCATAGCTCGTATGACCACTTCCGTTCCGAATCACCAGATGGGCATTCTGGTCACCGAGCTGCCTATGCACATTCAAAGCAAACTGAATCGGCGTCTCAGGATCATAAAGCGCATTCACCAAAAGAATAGGCGTACTCATATTCCGACCCGCAAACGAAGGCGCCAACGACCGAGGTGGATTCCGCACCGGCGTAGGCCAATTCATACAAAGAGCATCCAGATACCAAACCTCCCCAATTCCACGCGTATGCGGCGTAGCCACAGCGCCGACATCGGATTTGATTTTGAAGTCAATAGAAGTCCAGTTCGATCGGGGCGCATCTTGGCAGAAAATAGCAGCGTAGGACATATCGTAACCGGTGTTGGAGGCGTATTTAACTGCGGAAAAGGCGCTCGCGTCGTTCTTGTACATTGCTTGCTGAAGCAATTCCGACATGCCGACCCATCCTCCCACAGATCCAGTCTCCGGGTACGGGAAACAGACTGCGGTCTGGAAGGCGCGGAGAATCTCGTTACCGGTGGCATTTTCGAAGCAGGGGTATACTTCTGAGGTCTTATTCAAGCAGCTCGGAGCCGGGATGGGGGAATTATTGGCGCGGTCAATGAAGGAGTCGAATTTGGCGGGTAGATCCTTCACTTTGTGTAGGGCACATGTGTTGTTCTTCGCGCACCAGTCGAAGAATTGGTTCACTGTTACTTCGTACCCGTTTGACTCGGGTCCCCATAGATCTGGACCTGATCGGGAGTGATCCATAATCCCATCCAGCACGATCGCACGAATATTATGCGGGAATAGCTCCGTGTACTGAGCGCCGAGCTGGGTTCCGTATGAGAAGCCGATATAGTTCATTTTCTCGTCGCCCAGTGCGATGCGCACGGCTTCGAGATCCTTCGCAACGCTGATAGTATCCACGAAGTAAAGAATGTCATTGTCTTTCTGGTTCACGCAGCTCTCGCCGCGGTCGTGGAAGACTTGTAACATTTCTTGGAACTCGGCTTCGGTTTGGGGCGTTTCGGGATATCGCCTGTTCCATGGTTCAGGATCACATTTCACTGGTGTGCTTCCTTCTGTGCCTCGGGGTCCTGGGCCTAGGATGTCGAAGTATTGATGTAAGGGGGTTGACATGAGGAACTCCTTCCCTGCGTTTATCAAATTCAAAGAAGATGCTCCCGGCCCGCCGGGATTGACCATCAAATAGCCAATTCGCTTCTCCGGGTTCGCGGCTGGAATCATGGCCATTGCGATGCTGATTTGTTTGCCCTGGGGCTTGTTCCAGTCCAGCGGTACAGAGAGGTTGGCACAGCGTACATGGTCATCGCATGCTTCCCATTCTACCTTGGAGGGTGGGTCATAATGAAAGCTTGAAGTCTTCACTGGCGAAGCGGTCGAGAATGTTGCTAGGGCTGCGGCTGCAGACAAGAAGTATCGGAGCTTGCCCATGGCCGAAACGAATAATGAAAATTGGAGAAATGAAAATAAAGCGACTGGTTGTTCTTTTAATGCTTTTCGAAATGCAAGATCTTCCTCACTGCAATCCTTTCAATTTATATTCTTTTCTCCAAAGCAACTGCACTGCACTTTTTGAGCATCCCTGGGGGCTCATCTTGTTGGGGGCCAAATGCAATCATCAGGCGTGCCACAGCCTTGTTCTCCCCACACTAGGCACCACGCAAGGGGCCGATTTAATTGGCTCTTCAGGCTCTTGACGAAGGTGGAGAATGCACATACGAGGATCTAACTAGATTTGGCGGAATTTCTTACAAGCTTATTTATAGTGAGCTGCGAAAATGTTCAAGATATGTGCTGTCGGGTTTTGTCGAGGCTGATTTCCGTCTGCCAAGAGCCGAACACTCGCGGATGTGGAAATTGACCGATAATCCTGATTCTACTATTACTTTGCTAAACGAATAATTCTCAGAGCTGTCAACTAGGGTATTCCGTAGACGAGAAAATGAAAAAAAAAAAAAGGTAAGAGGAGCTTCCTAGTATATAATTAAAATAACCAGGCTCCAGATAGTTTGGTCAGTGTTTTTCAGAGATCCACATTATACCCTTCTACGTATAAAAATCTAGTGACATTTGTCTTCGTACCCAGTAAATTGGTTTAATATCTTGTTCTTGGGTGTCCGTCAACACTCCGGTGCATTTTATTGCGCCCGTCAGCTGCATATGTACCAGATAATGTCTGGCAACTCTTGGCTTTCCCTTTCCATTTTAGTGCTCACCCCGTCGCCGCTTTTACTCCCTGTGTAGAATTGAGCACGCCCCTGGTCATACAGGGTTATCTAATCTGTGATACCTAGCGCGTTAGTGGTACTTGTGATACCCTCCTATTCTAGAGGTCTCTATCTAATCAAAACTGGTCCAAACGACAAAAGTGAGGTGGTCCGTCTTGTTCAAGATTATGCAACTTAAAGAGGTCTTTATATAGTTATATGTCCTGTGACCTAAAATATTAAAGGAGACTTTGTTCTCTCTACGGCCCTATTAAAAGCAACGGATATTTTATTACGTGTATCATAATTAACTACTCCTCTGAGTCTTCCCCTTTCCCTTTGAGCTTATGATCAGTATCCGGGTATGGGTCGAAAATCCTTTTTCTCTAAGTGTGATGAGAAGGCTAAAGAGCGGTATTGTCTCTTATAGCAGAGGAACAGCTATATCCCTGAGGTGTATAAGAGAGAAGATACTGTTTGAAACAAAGATAGAAAACTGCTAAGGACTAAAAAGTTATACTAACAAACCTTGAATCTATGGCTTAAGTAGGTTTGAAAATTTAGAACAGAAAGATTTATTAATGGTAAAGCTGATTTTCTTAGTATTACTTGTGACCCTGAGAACGGATTTGAAGACTATAAAACTGTACTAGGTTGCATATCTCTAAGCTATAAAATGGTAAAAAAGCGTATTCGCTAGTATACGAATTTGACCTATAGCTAGCTCTATAAGAATAGGAGACTAACAGTAAGAACAGCTAAGGTATAGGTAGAGTGACTCTTTGGTAGGTTTAAAGAGACTACTGATACAGAGGTTACTGAAACAGATAGAAAATAAATATACAGTATAATTCCTTGCTATTGTCTTACTTTTTGCAGTAATACTAATACTATTCTGTTTGGGATATAGTAGATAAAAAATACTTTAACTAAAGACAGAAAAGTACTAAATAAGAAAAAGCAGAAATATAACTTTATAAGAAAGGATTTTTTGAATATTGTCTCCTTAATATGGCAGATTGATTATAGAAGGTTTATAACTAGAAGGCTTAAATCTCTTATATTATTTGTACTTCAACTGTATCTCTTTACTGTAACGAACTGGCGTTGTTACCATTCGTGGATGCCTCATGCCTACGGCACCACTCCAGGCATCCGCGCCTACACCTGTGTATCTAGCCTTCTATCTTAGCTTCCTTCTTATTATCCTCAAGCTATCACTTTCGTCAAAAGCTACTACTTCCTTTGCCTGGTGCGCTACGTCGTATCTTGATCTCTGTGAGTATCTGAGCATCCTCACAGTCAACTTTTTCAATACTTACTGCTGCACCAGTCTATAACATATTAATGATCCCTATACCGTCAGATATACAACCGAGAATTTTCATTGCTTCTATCTAGTACAATAAATACCGCTGAAGAAATACTAGAGCCTCCTGCAACATGAAGCATAGGTCTTGGCTCCATATAAGGTAATGTACCCAATAGCAACAGAAGTATTGTATCTCTAAAGGAAGATATTAGTAGATAGTCTGAAGACTAATCTCTTCACATGTTATGCCATCACATTATAATCTACACATATTCTTCCTCAGGCCGTCATACATAAGGCGAATACAATATGTAGTCAACCTCTACTGTGTCACCTCCTTATCTATCTATAGAGAAGTCTCGTCTCGCAATTCTAGATCAAGAAGAAAGTCTCAGAATAATCGATAAAAGAGGCTTATTGGCAAACTTTCACTCCAGTATATTCAGAACAGAGTACAAAGACCTCAGTCTAAAGCTGACACACTACTGTAGGAGATTCATAAGTTTTGAAAGTAAAATGACTGACAGTAGATTTTCAAGCATCACTATTACATCAATGATTTTTTTGGAAATTACCAACTAGTTAATTTTTCCTGTTTCTTACTCTGTCCTTTGAAAAGTCGATTCAGCACAGGTAGATTGGTCCGTTTGAATTAGGAGCAATCATACTGATGTATAAGGATCTCTTCTAGACTATCAATTAGATCCAATTAGGGATCTTCAAATATACAGCACACAGTAGCAGCGAAGATAAATAGCGGTACTGACAATCTAACTAGAGCCTGGATCTCAATAGCTCCAGGCCATTCAATAGGCAATTTTTGATTCTCCTAAATATTAAAAATTCGGTAATTCAAGAAAAGCGATATATCGTACGACGTCACTACGTCAGGAATTTAGTGAAGGGCTATATCCTGATGGTTATAGCGTGCTATCTCTAAAATTCCTAGGCGGATAAGACGTTCCGGTTGACTAGTCAAGAAAATCCGTAGGCTCAGACTACATAACTGGCGTAACTGCGGCAGTAGTTGGAGTATAGTTCGTATATCGTCGTCTGGTTTACATTCGTCCAGTACGTCTACCACTACCACTCAGGGCTGAATTAGATCAGAATAATCTAAATTTTGGATTGTTCAAAGCAGTAGATTGTCAAATTGATGCTTAAGTAACTTCATCACAATTTCAGCCTCGCCGTAAAGTGCTTCTTAGTATCTAGGCATCAGTTGAGGGGTTCTGTTTGCTAATTGCCTTACTACTGTAGGGAAAAGCTTCATCACATTCCCTCTATCCCCTTCACCCCTCTTAAAAAAAGCTTTCTCCTAGCAAGTTTCTTTATTTGGAGTGTTTAGCCACAGTGCGTGAGATAGTCGATTTTCCTGTCCCTGCCATCCCGTTTAACCAAAAGATGCATTTCCCCTACAGTGACACAGCCCATTCTGCAATCTCGTTGATAAGGTCAGTCCTAATGCCTACAAGACATTCGTCACCCTGCTGATTCATATAAGAGTCGAACACAGCTCTACGCGCAACTGGTAGCTTGTCCAACGGGTCTGTCTTCAGTCAATTGAATTTCTCTACTTGAAACCTGTTCAAATATACCTGCATTGAGATTGACCTGAGCATTTATTGGACCATTATTAACGCCTGTTTACGTTCCAGAGTTGTGACCATGAAAAGATATTGTGGATGTCATGATCGTGGAGATAGCACGGCGTATATGGTTTTCAGGAAACATGCGTGCGGGGTAGTCAAAACGGGGTGGTCGACTATCATCACGTGACGCGTCGTTCGCCATCTAGCGCCGCCAATGGGAGATCTCAAACCATGCTAGCCAATATCGAAGTCTATTGAGCGATACAATATATGTATTGCTTTTATTTGATTTGAAATGACTGTATGCGATAATTGATTTCGATAAGGATGTCAAGGACAAAAGGGAGTGAAGGAAAATCATGTAGGATCCTTTGTAAAGAGAGCCAAGCAGTCGTTGCCAGTGTGCCTAACGCATCCCAAATGAAAACCACCATCTAATCGATGTAAAGATTAGGTATGCCTTTTTCAGTGGTTAAGAAGAGCCTCTAACACCGGGGTTTTTATGTATACTTCGTGGTCTGCCTGCTCGAATGGGAGGCACTTGACAATCAACGAATTGCCGCATGGCTCAAGTTCACCGTGCGGCAGGCAATATTTCGCAGCGTGGTCACAGACTTTCACTTCTCGATAAGAAGAAGAGCTGCGTCCTGAATAAAGTCACGCAATTGGTCGGGATACAAAGGGCAGGTGTTCCTTTTCTGAATCAACAACAGAAACCAATGGAAATATTCAATGAAGAACGCAGGTCGAGATGTTTGGGCTCCTGGCTGGGTACTACCTTTTTCAGGTCTCTCTATCTCCTCTCTTTGCAACCCATCCGCTTTTTCTGGCCTTCAATGGTATTGCGAGGTCTATTTCAGTAATGAGCGCTACGCTACCATCAGAAAACGCGGTAGGCTGGACGAAGTGCAGAATACGGCTGCCCATATTGCTCCAGATGCTCTGAACTTGTCGGAGGCAGCATCACTGAAATCAAGCTGCTCGAGAGAGCTGGAGGAGCTGGTCTATCCTATCCAGCTACACCATCGAGAGTTTCACGCATGTTCTCCTCTGTGCAGCCGGTGAAAAAAATAACTTTGTCAAAGCTTCTCGTATAGTACTATATATCCAACGACGACGAATGTGAAATCATTTATGACAAACTCGGAAAATATATACGCCCCTTCGATAATGGTGGGTCATAGTAATTAGTAGTACTAGTATATGTCACTCTTATAGTCTAGATATAGGACGGAAAACTGGATACTTCCCAGTATCAAGCGACCGTCTCAACTCCCTGATCCGATCTTCCGTCACCAGCATAGACCTTGGCAAATACTCCGGTACAGCTTCTCCCAAAAGCATCATCGCAGCCGCCTGCGAAGACCGAAACGCCTTGACCATCCCCGTCGCATGATACGCACCCAAAACAAATTGATGGCTCCGCTCGGGGAAAGGCAGCTCACCAATAAACGGTACTCCATCCTGGGTAAAGCTCACGATACCGCTCCAAGAATAATCGATGTTGTCCGCTGCACCAGGTTTCGGTCCTGCCGCGGCTTCATGAAAAAAGCCTCTCAGATGCGCCTGGTCTGGAAGATCGGTGGTTGTATCATTGGATGTTGCTTGGCGGCCCTGGCCCGCACGACCGACTACAACACCCCCATCCGGTCGTGAGATGAGGTAGCTGTAATCCTTGTCACCATATCGATACCAGATGGAAAATTCTGGGACCGTGCCCAGGCGTGAGGAACCATTTTCGTCGGGAGTGTAGTGGACGACATTGGCACGGACGGGAGAAAGGAAAGGCGTCAGCTCGGGAAGGAGATGTCCCAGCCAGGCGTTGGTAGCGTGGACAACCTTTCGCGCCTTGATCTGGCCCCGGGTTGTTTTCACGATGGCGAATTCAGCGCCGTCTTGATCGTCGACAGCCTGGACGGTGGTGTTGGTTTGAACATTGAGCTTTCTGCCGTCGATCAAGTCGCCCCATACTTTTGAGATCCATTTGTAGGGCCAGACGGACCCTGCCGGGACCGTGATTGCACCCACGCATCGGTCTGAAAGCTTCATGACTCGCTGGAGATAATCTGTATCTCTGTGAACTTTGTGCAGAGCTGCTAGATGCGGTGCGTGCGCTCTCATATCTTCCAGCGCAGCTACGCCCTTCTCGAAGACCTTTTGGTCATAGTAAGCCTCCACGCCCTCGGTGCGTACGAGGTCACAATCGGCTTGATCTTCTTCAATGGCGGCGGCCATTACATCCAGATGACTATGCTCGAATTCCGAAATCTTGATTGCTTCCTCAATGCCGAATTGGTGCTTGCGCTCGCTCCACATGGCAAATGTCATAGTTTTGATGTGGCCGCCGTTGCGACCAGTAGCGCCGGAGCATAGGGAGCGAGCTTCCACGACTGTAATCTTCAGGTCTGGTCGCTTGGAGATTAGAGTCCGACAAAGCGTCATACCGGAAATTCCGGAGCCGATCACTACTATGTCAACAGGCTCTGCTGGCCATGAGGACTGGTGATTGGCGAATGCGTGGGGACTGGAATGCCAGTAGGGCGTGGTTGGATTGGAGGCGGGTGGTCCGGGGTGGACGATGCCGGGTGGGTAGATTCCTTCTAGGGCGCCAGACATTGTAGCGAGTAGTGCCTATCCCGGGCGGTAGGTATTCAAATTGAAAGAAGAGAAGGGCAGGTAGGTAAATGAATGATGGACGGAAAATTTTGACGCAGTGGTTAATCCATGACAGTGGTATATATAGGTAAAGCTCTGACGACTACAGACATTCACTCTCGGTAGGTCTCATTCAAGCATCCTAGAATGGACAATATCTCCCCAGCCTTAGTTCCTCGCAGATAACCACTGGCAGGTATTGTGGATGCTGTTTTCGTGTCAATCCCGCACACTCCCACTGTCACGAGCCTCCACTTGCCAGATTTGGAAAGTAAAATGAGACCACCAGCCTAAAGTCTAAATATGGATCAATTGTATCAAATTGAGAGTCGAATGAAATACTGGCTACGTGGAAACTAGGAAAATTATTTTATCTCGCAGAATTCTGCTATCAAAATGCGAAGGTACAGGTAGTGCAGCAACTCTCTAATGAGCGAGCGCCTTAGATTCAAAACAGTAAAACAAATCCATTCGCAAGGCAGTTTTCCTAAGTTCATAATTTACAGACATGAGACCGAATTGCAGTTTACAGCCCAACAGGGCTATGCTCCTGGAAAAGACTACTCTACATAGCAGGAAGACGGGGCCCGCGGTAGTCATTCCTCGCATGTAGAAACCAGTTTGTCGCAGAGAACAATGCCATCACACCCACCACACAAACCGTATAGTCTTATGAAACAGTTAGCCTGCGTTCCAATATATAGCAGAAGTTAATTGTTTACGTAGACTTACTCATACTTGAACCAGTCACCGGCAAGCCCACTGGGAAGCAATACATGATCGTGATAAGCGGCGCAAAAACCAGCGTAGCGGCATTAGCAACCCACCCAAAGGCCCCAAGATTAAAACCCCTTGACTTGGGAAGTACACTCTCGGACCGTTTATGCCACAGAAGTAAGGCAGCAGGAAGAGCGAAGCTGCACTGCTGCAGTAACAGCCCCGAACCAATAAATGCGTTGAATGCACTTGATGACCCCAAGTAGATGCAGCCGATTATGAATATGACGGCCGAATTAGCCATCAGAGCCCAGACAGGGACTTGGAGGCGAGGATGAATTTTACTAAGGATGTTTGAGCCGAACAGGGCGTTATCACGGGCGAAAGACCAAGTCAGGCGGGAGCTAGACTCTATACAAGCGTTCAACGAGAAGAGAGCAATGGAAAGCAAGATGAAGATGAAGGTTGTGGCGGCGGCCTGGGAGCGAGTTGCTTGATACCAGATTTCATATATGGGGACGCTGTTGTTATTTTAGTGTTATTAGCGTTATTTATGACGAGTGACAAGAATATGAGTAACCCACCCAGTTACACTATCCACGACTTTTTCAAAGTCATTCAAACTGTAAAGCATTGAGAGGGAGAACCCAAATGCCGTCACGAAGCCTATAACAACAGTGCTTATCAGCGCGCGAGGAACAAATTTTGCTGCATCGGCCACTTCCTCTGCCATATGAACTGCTCCGTCGATCCCAGCCAACATGAAATTTGGGTTGGCTAGGCCAGTTAAGAAGACCACAGCGTTTGATTTCCAGCCAGTGTTGTTGATGAATGTAGTCCACACAAACTCAGATGGGTTGAAAGACGAAGTTCGAGACAGGCAGGTTATGATAATAACAAAAAAGGAGGTGATGGATAGAATAACTAAGCTGTAATGTTAGCTCGTGAGTAGCTGGGATAAATGTGGCTCCTATACTTACATCCTGCATCGTGAAAAAATGGAGTACGATGTTGGAGTAAGGTATTGTGTAGCAGGAGGAAGATGTTTGCGGCTTGAAAAAAAAGAAAACCTTGCCACACCGGGACATCAACGTCGGGGTCGAAGAATAGTCGCACGGCCTGAATAAACTGCCCAGGCTGAACGACCACACCGGAAGTAATTGAAAGCCAACCAAAAATATTGAAACAAGCAGAAATATAACTCTTGACAAGATCAGCTGCTGTTATCAAGAAGGGGGTCATTCGTCAACTCACCAGAACACGCGAACAATACCCCGGTGCCAAAATCGATGTCCAATGATAAGGGCCACCCGCAGTTGGATACACACTGGCTAATTCGGCCATCGTAAGTGCTGAGCAGCCCAAGAAAAAGAGAACAACGAGCAAGCCGTACACAACAGTGACGCTGCCCCCCTGCTCCATTCCGATGACCATGGTGGCCGCCAATCCCACCCAACTGTTGCAGATATTGAAGCCCACACAAATAATTGAGAAAGGGCCCAAATGCTTTTTCAGCTGAGGCTCGAGTCCGAGGATTTCGAGCACCACGGCATGGTTAACTTGGCCATGGTCAACTACCACAATGTTATCCCCTTGTCTAGAATTAAGAATAATTTGTGTAGAATACTCACGGTCGGAAGCTGTAGGTCAAAATGTCAGTAAAGTGATATTATTCCAAGGGGGCTCACTAGACGGGTATTGTTACATTCGTTCTTGGTGTCCATTTCTTCAGATCTCGCCTTTTCTGCTTCTTGGTGTAGTGAGTATAGAACTTGGAAATGATTCGATTTTGTACAGGGGGAAAGCATTACTGTTTTCCATTTTCAGGGTGAAGAGCTATTGCATTAAACAAGAACGGTGCGTTAAACAAGAACTGTGGAGACGAAAGGTATTTCTCGAGTCGAGCTCGGGAAACACAATGGCTAAATTTCGAAAGTGACTCCTTTCTTATATGCAGTGTTCGCGACACCAGCCACAAAAGGTTCTACAAAATATCCGCCACCCCCGCACTTTCCTAAACCTTGGCGACGCTGGGAAAGTGGTAATGCGGGGAAGAAAACAAAAGCCATCCAGGATAAAGACTTAGAAAAAGGTGCGAAGCTCTGGATCATTTTTGTCTGGTCTCATTTAGCTTCCGAAATTGAACACAAGAACCGAAACCCGAGAAACCGACCCCATGGTCCGCTTACTGGAACTCTAACGGTACGCTTGGCTCGATCGGGAGATTGAAATGAGACCCAGGTCTTCACCGCACCAACTCCATGGATAGTCTTACTTTTTGCATGGGTCTCATTTCACCTTCCTTTCATCTCTTCGATATTGGCTTGTGGCATTTTCGAGTAAGCTATCTTGACAATATAGTGTTTGATGCTACCAGCTTCGAGGGAGCAGCTCGTCTACTGTCTGTGCAACGCTTGAAGGATGCCCCCACGCCACCGTCCCTATAGGCCGAAAGTCAGAGGTCTGCATGCGAACTTCCTGCCTTTTTCCAGTTGGGTTTAGGTCGACTGAATATTTGTGTCTAGGCTGCTACGAATGCTCTCAGCGGCGTATATCGTGTGATCGGGGTACTCCGGAATGTTCGAAATGCCTCTCGAAGGGGCTAATATGCAGTGGCCTCGATTTGCGATATCGATTTACGGAGGGAGTCACCATTCGAGGCAAATGGGCAGGCGAGTCAGTACAGTCTCTCTATGAAAGGTACCATTGTCACTAATCGCATAAACTATTGGTCACCATTGGAAGCTGAATTTTGTAGGCGCAAGAGCTTGGCTAAACAACGAGACGCCTGCCAGTGGCAAATACCGCAACATCGCCGGGCGACACTTACCAGTCCTCATAATAAACTGACTGAGCCTGATATTTTTGATAGTAGCATCCTGTTAGATGTGTCGAAGCATCAAGGATTTGCGCTGGAGCTGCAGGAGGTAAATAATTTGCAGGTATTCTTGAACTATCCTCTTATACAGAAGATGCCGAACTCTACGATGCCCCCTTGGACTGATGAAGATCCTGATTCGAGCGAGGCCGTGTTACTACCAGACTCCCTGGATCCTTTTGGTGTCAGTCAACCTCACGACATGCCGACTCTATCCCCCTAGTGAAAAAAGCTATTCCAGTGGAAGCAACAATTCCTTCCAGAGACGACTTATAAGATCATCAACCATTACCAATTCCATGATTCCACTCTTGTATGAGCCGCTGCCCGATAACATCTTATGTTGGGAACGAGATTTACTTTCAAATTGTACGTTATGCATCCCATTATTCCCTCATCTCAAACTGTCCTAATACGTCAGCTCGAATAAGACTCAGATCACATCGCGAAAGAGATGATGGCTATTGATGGACCACATAACGGATGGCGTTATCTATTTCTCCCGGTTGCACATCAAGATCAATTGGTTATGAACGCCGTTCTCACGGTATCCGCCTTTCATATGTCCTTCTGCAATAGCAAAATGCGCAGCCTGGATAATGAACCCTTCACTCAGCCCGGCCATAACAGCCCCGACAATCTTTATAAACGTACAATTGAAGGCCTGAAACAACGAGATTTGGCCAAATGCAATTATGAGGAAATGCAGCCCATCATCGCGACAATTCTCGTACTTCTTACAGCAGTTATGGTTAACGGAAGAAATGACTTTCCAATTTTGTTCTCCTTGCTGGTCTCAGCAACTAATGTCATTGGAGGGGAAGATCAACTAGCTGGAAACGAACTAGGTGATTTTATGCTGCGTCAAGTCCGGAAGTGAGTAATCTTGGAAATCTATATTTCTTTCTCCGTGTGTACTAATAAGGGTCAATAGATTGCGTGTCTATGCAGCTCCGCTGATCAGTGAACAAGATGGTCTAAATGTACTATCCTCTGCTTCCAAATGGGAAGTCGTCTTCGACTGTCTACGAGACTGTTCTAAGAAACAGCCAAACCACACTGTAGCTGCAGCATTCATCGAGAACATTGTTTATCAAGCTCGCGATATTTACTTACGGCAAGCTTCAAATGACGTTATATGCGTTGAACCTGAAGTCCTTGCCCAAGAATCAAACCTTCGACTGCAGCGATTCAAAGATACCATTGAATCATTTCCAGTACAATCACCCGGAAAACAGGTCCTGGTCTGGGCCTTATTTATAGTGGCTTCAAGTTGTACTCAGGAAGAACACAAGGCTTATTTCGAAGATATATTGATGGAGAATTTCAGCAGAAGTAAATTCGCTAATTTGCTTAAGGGACTTGCGCAGCTGCGATATATCTGGTCTAGAAGAACCGACGAATGCGGCGTAAGATGGACTCATCTTTTGCCTCAGGCGCAATTGTTTCTCATGTGAGATGATAGTAATACCTATTTACTACAACATCAAGATAACCTTAGCAAAGTACCCAAGATTTGATTCCAGCCTCTTGAAGGTGGAATCTCCTTCAAATTTTTAATGTCTTCCCCATACCTCCAAACGTAACTGTTTTGATGACCTGAAACTCAGCGAGACCATACTTCGACCCTTCTCGTCCAAACCCACTCTCCTTCACGCCACCAAACGGCGACGCAGGATCCGAGATCACACCAGTATTAACGCCAACCATTCCAATCTTCAGGCTCTCTGCAACACGGAATATCTGTTGAAAATTTTGCGAAAAAGAAGTACCCAGCCAAGCCGACCGAGGTATTGTTTGCCAGCTTGACCACTTCTTCCTCCGTCGTGAAGGAGAATATACCCGCCACGGGTCCAAAGGTCTCTTCTCGAGCAATGTCCATATCGGCTGTCATATCACGAATCACTGTCGGTGCATAGAAGGCCGGTCCCAACGACAGTCCATGTCCGCCAACGGTGATTTTGCCACCTTTCTTTACCGCATCGCGGACATGGGAGTCAACCTTTTCCACAGCACGTGCTTGAACCAGGGGCCCATGGGTGGTGGCAGCATCAAACCCATTTCCGACCTTGAAAGATTTGACTTTCTCCGTAAAAGCTTTCACAAAACGCTCATACATACCGGCCTGGACATATATTCGATTAGCACAGACGCAAGTCTGACCGGATGACCGGAACTTGGCTATAATGGCGCCAGCAATAGCAGCGTCAAAATCTGCATCCTCAAAGACGATAAATGGTGCATTTCCGCCGAGTTCCATGGACAGCTTCTTCAGGGTATACGACGACTGCTTCATCAGGATTTTTCCGACATTGGTAGAGCCAGTGAATGAGACCTTGTCAATCAGAGGCGAGGTAGTCAACATATGTCCGATTTCAATTGTATTGTCAAGCGCAGTGATCATATTTAGTACACCGGGAGGCAATCCAGCACGACATGCCAGCTCCATCAAAGCAAGCGCTGTAAATGGCGTCTCGCCCGGAGCTTTGCATACAACTGTACACCCGGCAGCGAGCGCGGGAGCAACTTTCCGGGTAATCATAGCAGCAGGGAAGTTCCACGGCGTAATCAGACCACATACCCCGATCGGCTCCTTGTATGTGATCATACGATGCGTGGGGTTGGATCCTTGAATAGTATCGCCGTAGATTCTAGCAGCCTCTTCACTAAACCATTCGAGGAATCCGGCAGCGTAGGCGATTTCTGCCTTTGCATCGTTTAGTGGCTTGCCGTTCTCCCAGGTGATTAGGATTGCAAGGTCGTCTGCATTTGCCATAACCTCATCGTACCAACGACGTAGAATCCTAGAGCGTTGCCGGCCGGTCTGAAGGTGAAATTTGGAAAAGGCATCGCGGGCAGCTAGGATTGCCTCGTTGGTTTCCGCCTTGGTGAATTCGGGACATGTTCCAACCAGGAACCTTGTTGCTGGGTCTTGCAGAAGGTATCATTAGCAACAGATCTACGGCAAACAATCTGAAAGAGAGAGACCAGACCATGAACTTCGAAAGTCTTCCCTGATCTGGCGGGCACCCATTCGTCATTAATAAAGCCGACGTTGAGCTTGAGTAGGGATGGATCTTGGAGCTGCGACTGGTTAGCATCTTGCGCCTAGTAGGAACACTGGGCAAGTTCAAACTACCTTCGGCTGCATGTTGCAAAATGCTTTTTCAGTGGTCATTCGAAATGCTAGCTTGCAGGAATATCGTCAAGGAAACCGGGGGGAGGGGAGGTTGTGTGGTTTATTACTCATATTTCTCAATGGTGGAGCCGAGGAGGCATCCTTGTCCTATTTTGGCAGGTAATGTGAGACCCAATTGCTATACCACATTTTCTGAGCTTAAGAGTCCCCATTCTCATTTAGAATCTCTAAAATATCTGTAAGCAGATCCTTCCTCGGAGACACTACATGGTCGGTACTCACTATACCTTCCTTAAAAGGTCATTCGGAGATCATTGATTTGTTGGTACTCGAGAGCTAGGTTGGGGTCAAACATCGCTCCAAGTCCAATATCCTCCACCACACAACGTAACAACCATCCCCGGTGCAACCAGAATGGTTTGGCGTGCGGGGTATGTCCGCAACCACGACGGAGAGCGGTACCCATCACGCTGGGTGTAGATTGGGTGTTCTGGATGGACTTAACGATCTTGGCGATTGAATACTATGCATTATTCAAAAGGATACACTTAAACGAACCTCCTAATGAACTTCACAAAAGCAGTAGCGAAATCCGCATTCCCAGGAGCGCTTCAGTCAAGTTTATTGACGTATCAGGAGGAGAGAGCGGGTCTTGAATTTGCTTGAATTGGGTCCCTGACTTGAGACTTTTAAGATCCATTCTTGTGTCCTCGGCTATAGCAAGGATGCTTTTAATCCCCTGGTCCACTTTGTAATTATAAGCGGTTATCTTGGAGTGAATATAACTAGATCATTCCTCTACAGTCTAACGAATAATTATCGGGCCTATCAATGTTCGGAAGATATTAGGAAGCTTCTTCAAACAAGGGGTCAAGATCCAACAAGCTTACGCTTTATCAGTCGCCCCTAAGATCTTGCTTCCGGACAGAAAGCTACTGATCCCAACTCGGTATTATCTTATAGAACCTCTGGGAGATCTGAAATACACTACGTGAAATGGCTCAGCTAGAGAGTTCCAGAGCCTCACTATGAAAGGATCAGGTTGATATATAAACAATCAAGTAGGAACTACCATATTTAAGTGACACAAATGGATTACATTAGTTAGTTAGTTAATGAGTCCTGGTGAGTAAGCAGTGGCTGAGTGATCACTGAGCCATCACTGAGCGCTCATCGATGATCACTGATCCACCGCCATGCGAGCACCGAGCACAACTGACTGGTCACTGAGCCATCACTGAGCATGAGCGCGTGCTGACACTTACTCACTGAGCCTGAGCCTGATCACCCTCATTAAAGCGGCGGCAGCCCAGACAGGAAAGCCCCACCCGGCGGACAAAATCCGGTGTATATTGAACTGCATACGAACCGTCCAATAGTTTACCTGCACGATGGCCTTGGCATTGACAAAAATGATATTGTATGAGGTAGATTCGGCGGATGGCTTCAAGTCAGAATCCGACCAAGTCGATAATGATAAAAACGCGGGTATTCGTCAAATGCGTTGCTTTTTTAGCCTTCTAATTATTCCGGGATCTTATTTCCCGAGCACCTGTCGAATAATACCACAGGCAGTTCAAAAAGTTCAACACCGCACGTTAAATTTCAGAATACAAGCAAAGTAATTAATGAATGCCTGATCAAAATTGCTTTCAATTGTCGGAACCCTGTTACACTAATTAATGGTAATGTATTTTCTGCATTGTGCAGCGCATAACAGAGCGTGGATTCTCTCGCTTATTGTTTAAGCATTAATTCTATCAAAGATTTTGCATATCAGAAGTATGTGGCCAAATTTTGATAATAGGGATATCCCAAAGAGAGCCAATCGAAAGTATTCAACACTCTTGAGCCAATTGCGTGATGCAAAATAGTTACATCACTGCATTTACAGCTTACCCTGGCCAGCACCAGAAGAGACGCTGGAGGCAACAGTGCTGTAAGCAGAAGCGGAAGCAATGTTCTTGCCGGAGAACTTGGAGAGGAAGTCAGTGTCGCTCTGGCTGAAGGTACCGCTGGAGCCGAATCCGTTGACAACGCAGGTGCGGCCGAGGGAGGCACTGCAGGAGGAGCCGGAGCTGGCGTTGGGGACAGTGAAGAGGGAGCCGTCAACGGGAGACTCGACGGGGGTACCAATGTTCTGGAAAACGTTGCCCTCGGCCAGGACGTAACCGCCGGAGCCGATCTCGAAGGCGTGGCCGCTATTGTCGTACCAGTAGTTGTTGACGGCGTGCAGGAGGGTGTTGCCCTGGACCTTGGGGCTACGGCCGGAGGTGTGGTAGATGTAGTTGCCCTTCATGGTAACCAGGTCGCTGGATCCATCGAGGTAGATGCCCCAGTAGTGGTAACCGTCGCAGGTAGCAGAGTAGTCGGAGACACCGTTGATGTAGTTGTTGGAGAGGGTCACGCGGCCGGAGGACTCGGTTCCAAGGACAATGTGCTGGCGACCAATGCGAGCAGTCTAAAGTGCTATTAGTTAATAGGTTTTGGAAAAACATAGATGGCTGGAGGACATACGGTAACGTGGTCAATCCAGACCATGTCGCTGTCGTCGATGGTGATGGCATCACCACCCCAAACGTACTTGGGGTTGATATCGGTGATAGCAATGTTCCTACTTCGGGTGAGTGAGGTTCTTGTAATAGCTGGCTCTCTATACGCACTGGATGATGATGTTGCTAGCACCGCTAACAATACGGAGACCCTTGCCCTGGATGATACCAGCAGAGCCCTCACCAATGAGGGTCTTGTCAGAGGCAACGGTGATACCGAGGGAACCGGCGTTGTCACTGGATATTGTTAATAAAAATTCAGACTCGATGTTCGAGTTTCGGTGTCACTTACTAGGAAACCGAGACGGACGGTGCGGAAGACTCGTAGTTGCTGCACCAGTCGTCCTTGTTGATAGCAAGCTGGCAAGCAGAGGCGGTACCCCAGGGAGCGCAGCCAGTGCCGGTGGTAGTTCCCTCAGTGTTTCTGAAGTCAAAGGTCTTGCTGAGAACAATGACACGGGCAGAGCTATCACCGAGATAAGAGACCAGCTCGTCGGTGGTAGAAGGATAGACAGCAGAAGCGGACCCGCCGCCAGTAACGCCCTTGGCGAAACCCTCAGCTGCGCCAGAGACGCTCACGGCCGCAGCGTGAGCAGCAAAAGCCGCAACAAGAGCAGTGAACTTCATGATGAGGCTGCTTTGGTAAGGTACAAATGAAAGTAAAAGAATGAATGGAAGTGTACAGAACTCATTTTGGCAGCGAGGGCGCGAATTGAGCAACCTTTATACGTTCAACGACAACGAAACAATGGACCAGACCCATTCCGAGCCACGAGGTTTGAGAGGTTTAAACTCCACACATCCCCCTTTGCAAGGACCAGGCCCATAATTTTCCTGTTTCCGAATCTTAGCTGTCACCAGTCCGGCACCAGTGATGATACCGCCGCTATTGTGACGAATCGGAAGGCCGTGGCCTCATATTAGAATAATATCTGACCCCACAACGTTGCGGAGTATGGACCAAGTGTGGCTGGATGTATGTGAATCCTGGAAGCACTTCATCAAGCGCTCCACGTCGTGGATTGAGAGAGCGGCCACGCAGGCAAATACGCCCACAAACCCAAATTGATTAAAGTGTGCAGTAGAACGGTCGCAAAAAAACGCCTCCTGAAGCGTTCGATGCTGACCTCGGTGCTTGAATTGTTTCACTTTCTTACTACCCCTGGGTGCCCCACCAGGCGCGATTGAGTAGCTTGATCCATGAGACCGGACGCTTTACTCCGTCGAGCGGTGCTCCGTGGTCAGCCCAGTCCTCACTTTAATTGATTTGTGGACTTGGTATCTCCCAAGAGAGTACACGCCATTTACCCGGAATATCTCCGGTCTTTCTTCGTCACATTTGATGTCTGAATTTCCTGGCAAAGGATGCTGCAAAGGGGGGTGGTTGTTTGGGTTGTGTGGATTGAATCGCAATATGAATTCCTCCGTCTTGGCACAGCGTTTTGAATGTCCTCAGACATGGAAGTTTTCTGTGAAAATCAGAGTTTGTAGATCTTCGGGAGATGAGAGAGCCCGCAGGATAAATTTTGCATCAATGAAATTAGGCCATATCGCGCGCACTGTGCAAATGTTGTTGACACTTTACCGGACGATCAAGATCGTCGGTTTACCTACTTGATCAGCCACTAGCTCCACCTTTTTGAGGGGTCACGGTCCACTGTGAGGCTCCTCACTTAATTATCTTCTTCCATTCTTTTCTTTTGGAGCATGCAATCTGTCTCGGAGATTATCGACCCAGCAATATAATGTTTGGTTCTAGAAGAACTTCTTGGTCCACTTCTCTCGGTCATATGGCCCGAAGCTCGGATACCAGTGTTCAACACACCACGAGTAAGAATGGCGGTCAACTTGCTTATCATGCAGTAATATGCCATCAGGAACTAATGGATGCCAATGGATACTAACATAATTGAAGCTTCATTAGAAGGAGATTGCCCGAGACCCATTTTAGATTCCTCAGTCTTGCTCACTCCAGGGCTGTGCAGCAAGGATTGAAGACCTAGATGGTTGGGTGCAGAAACATCGCGCGGAAAAGGAGGAGCGGGCTAGGACAGATAATGACGGTACTCAAGGTAATCATGCTCTATTGAAAAATAGTAGTTTTTATCATACAAGCAAAATATACAGTATAGACACAGAAAACGCTCACATCTCTATATGATCAGTATGTTCCGACCCGGGTATTTACATGATCACAGGCAGGTTGCGCTCCAGGTAACCGCGCCACTCGGGGAGAGTGCGCTGCCACTTGGTGCCGGAGGTCTTCTGGAGATCCTCAATAGCGCTGGCGTACTTGATGAGGGTGGGCTCAGAGAAAGCAGTGTTCATGATGGCCAGGCCATATGGCATGCCAGACTCGCTGCCGGTACCGGCAGGCACAGTGACAACGGGATAGCCGGCTTGAGCGGCAATCTGAATGCTCTGAGCAACATCGGGAGGAACGAGGAGGCCGTCCAGGGTTCCGCTCTTGTACTTCAGGGCGGCGTCGATGCCCTCCTCGCGGGTGGTGCGCTGGCAGAACGCAAGAGCTGAGAAGTAGGTTTCGTTCATGATACCCTTGCTCTCCAGGGAAGCGATGAGGCCATCCTGTCCAGAGCCGAAAGCAGGGTGAATGCCGGGAAGACCACCCTCCGAGCCGTAGTTATCGATGTTGTACTGGACGAGATCCTCCACGGACTTGATCGCAGTGTTGTTGACCTCGGAAAGATAGTCGCGCAGGTTGTTGTAGAAATCAACCTTGATGTAAGAGTACTCAGACTCGTTGACGAAGCCGCGAGTGGTACCGTAGTCCCAGTTCCAGCCATCAGGCGAGACAATCTGCTTGTAGTGGGGGAGTTCGGTGCCGTTAATAATGGTAGCACCGGCAGACTTGATCAGAGAAACAAGCTCCTCCAGTTGGGCAATCTGCTCAGCATCGCCAAGAGCCCAGAAAGACTCCCAGGAATACCGAAGACAGCTCCCTTCAGAGAATCCTTCTTCGAGAGGAACTGAGCATAGCCGCCCTTGGGGGTCATGCCCTTCTGAGCAAGAGTATAGTTGTCACGAGTGTCGACGCCATAGATGGCATCGAGAGCATAGACTGCATCACGGACGGTCTTGCCAAAGGTACCAATAGTATCCTGATGCAGAGACTCGGGGATGACACCAGCACGGGAAGTCAGACCGACGGTAGGCTTGATGCCCACAACGGCGTTTCTCTGAGCGGGGTTGATGACTAGTTTGGTTAGTCTTCAACGTAAGTCATCTTCATTGATCATTTATTGACGTACCACTGCCATCAGTTTCAGTTCCAAGGGCGATGGGAATCAGATTAGCACCAACAGCCACACCAGGGCCGGTACTGCTGCCACCAGGGTTGACGGTGAAGTTATAAGCGCTGCGGCATTGACCACCACGAGCAGTGAATCCCTCAGAATAGTTGTTCGAACGCATATCAGCCCACTCACTCAGGGCGCCCTTTCCAAGGAGAAGAGCACCGGCCTTGCGCATGCCGTGGACGACGTGAGAGTCGCGGGGCACAACACTGCCGAGCAGAGCCCAGCAGCCGGCTGTGGTCTCCATACGGTCCTTGCTGGCAATGTTGTCTTTCACAATGAAAGGGATACCGTGGAGTGGTCCACGGACCTTGCCATGGGCGCGCTCCTCGTCCAGCTTCTGGGCGATGGAGAATGCATCGGGGTTGAACTGCAGAATCGCGCTAGGGGGTCGCTGTCAGCACAACTCCAACCACCAACAATTATGGGATTGTAATCTCAAAGGTTACTCACTTCAAGTACGGCTGGGTCTGGTGAATTCGGTCGAGATAGCACTGCAGCAGCTCGACACTGGTGAAAGTGCCATTGCTCAGCTGGGCTTGAATGTCGTCCACGCTAGCTTCCTCCAGCTTGAACCCGTGGCAGCGGCGCATCGGGAACAACGAGGCGCCAGGGGCACCCAGGCGAGGGAAATCATAGGTATAAGGATCCTCGAGGATCTGAGAAGCGACCAAGTGGTCGACCTTCTCATGGCGAGTAGCAACAGCAGTGCCAGACAGGGCCAGGCCGCTCACGATGGCCTGCAGTAAGGGCGACATGATCATGATGTGTGGAAGAGGCTAGATCAGAGAACCCCACAAGATAAAAACCATGTGGCAAGGGAAGCGACGATCTCAGGGGAATTTTGGGTTTTCATATACGGGTGTAGAACCTTCAGGGTAGCATTCGTGGATACCTTGACTAACGAGTATTGATCGTGGAATGCCCTTCTCCTGGCTTCTCTCAACTAGCTTCTGACCGTTGCTCTGGTATTATCCCTTCGGTTGTTCTTCGGTGATCCCAAATGGCTCTTCACGACCGGAATCATCGGAATGCCGATGTGCTAAAGATGGGCTAAGAGGGTTTTACTTGACTTCAAGCACTTAATCAACCAACCAGGAAGCAAAGACTACGTCGCTGGTTCTTTTTAGCTCCGATTGCATGTTTATGAAGAACACTAGCGCGGTTAACCTTGGTGGAAACTCTTTCCTCCTTCCTAATTGTATATAGTACACTCGCTCAAATTCTCTTGAAAAAAATCTCCGGTGCCACGGTCGGCCGACGGATCTTTCCCGGTTTTATCTTTGGCCTCGATCTCTTCGACCGATCCCATCTCCACTCCCGCGACGCTCCACGCTGACTGGTTGACTGAGCCTTACACAAGCATCATTGCCGAATCACCGAGCTTCTGTTAACTCGGGTGGGGTTCACAATTACGCACGAGAAACTTCTACTAGCTTGAAAATTTATATTAATTCATGTCGACAGGGCGTGAGTTTCGTATAGCGAACTCTGGGAGATATTTTCTAAATGCCATTTTCTCGCAGATGTTTTATTCAAAGCAGCCTGAGAATCCCATAATGTGATCGTCTGAAGCTGCAATCTTTATCTCAATGGAATCTGACTATTGGGCGGGAGAAGGGGGAACGACTTTTAGGAGTAAACCATGATTCATACCAGCTTATCCAGACAAGTGTGGTAGAAATTTCACCTTCCGGTAGCATTGAGTTTGGAACAAAACCACCTTCGGATCCACCGGTTCCTCGAGATTTTAGTCTGGGCACATTGCCAGCCTGCGCTTTGCGATCTCCTGTTGGCTGCTCATATAAACGATTCTACTTATTGAGCAATCGGACCCGCCTGGACGCGTCCACTTTCCTCTACAGCCAGAAAAAAAAGAGAACGGCTCTGGTTCTCGATCCTCGGCGTTCATTTACAATAGCGAGAATTCCCCCTCGCCGTACACTCGTTTCTTTTCTTGAATTTTGCGTCCAAAAATTAGTCTGCCATGACTGCATGAGTTTGAAATCGACCATGCCAACATTCTCTTGAACATGACAATTCCGGCCGATATCCTCGCTGCAGATGCAGCAGGGTCCATTCCTGATGGAGTCTCTCTTTCATATCTCGCACAATCCCGCGATAAGTCTGCCATTGTGGGCATCATTTTTATGGTCTGCTTGACTGGCGCGCTCGTGCTTCTGCGTCTTTATGCACGGTTGTTTCTAGTCAAACAGCTTGGCCTCGATGATGCGCTAGCGGTTCTAACAATGGTGAGTCTGCCGATCATGCGTTATGCACGTTCACCCGCATTGTGGAGCAAGCCATAAAGCGGGACGAGACGTTGTGTGCTACTATACATACAGACATCGAATAGATGCCATGGAAGAATGAAAGCTAACAGATATCTTTGAAACATAGCTGTTTTACATCACTCTGGTTGCCCTTTCTATTGTCCTGATCAACCTGGGAAGTGGCCGTCACATCGAATATATTCAATATGTCCTTCCAATTTCGACCGTCCGCGAAACTGAAGTCCTCGATTTCGTCGCACACATCATCTACACAACAGCCCTTTTCCTTTGTCGTCTCTCCGGTCTGGCCTTCTACTACCGACTCTCCGCGCGCTATGGCAAGCTACACACAAGCGTCCTAATTGCCGCCCCATTCCTCTTCGCCGCATACCTCCCTCAAATCTTCCTTTTGATCTTCCACTGTCGACCTGTCACCGGTCTGTGGCCGTACGCATGGCAATCCGAACCCATCGACTACAAGTGTCTCTCATGGGGATTGGTTTACTCCGTCAATTCGGGCATCTCACTCGCCTGCGACGTGATGATGTTCATCATCCCAGCCATTCTGATCAAACAACTCCACGTCTCCAAAAGGAACAAGATCAAGCTCTCGCTGGTCATGTTCCCCGGTGTCTTGTCAGTGCCCTTATCATACTTATTATATGAGGAACCCCCCAACTAACCGCCAACAGTGTCATCGTCATCTCAGCAATCCGCGTCTGGCTTGTCGTCAAAGGCCAATGGGCCTCGGACGGCAGCTGGGCCTACAACCCCATGCTGTGCGTCGAAAACGCCGAGGTCGCCAGCACTTTGATCGCACTCTCGGTCCCAGCATTAAAGCCCGTCTTCGGAAACCTCTTCGCACATCTGACCGAGTACACGTCCAGTCATACCCGATCGCGATCCGCGGGTGGACGCCTCCGGACTCACTCCAAGCCCATGAGTGGAGTTGGTTCCAACGCGCGCGACGATCGGCGACTGCTGAACTGGTCGAAGACTGGCAATGATGATTATGAAATGATGCCGTCGGAAGTTTCGGTCTCCCGCGATGCTCCTGGTACTTCCAATCCGTATAAGTCGCCTGGTATAAAGGTGACCAATGAGATCGATGTCTCGCGGGGGTCGGAGAGGCCACCTTCGTCGCAGCAGACTTCTCGACCTTCGTCTCGAAATACATAGAGTCATTCCAAGGTTTTCCTTATTTGATAGAATAATATATAATAAAATTAAAAGTTATTATTTCCTGTGAAAAGTGGCATGTTCTTGGCAAAGTTGCCCACCTGGACAGCTACTAAAATAGTGAATAGCTTCTGACCCCGCGCGCTTTAGTCACAAATTAATTTCAAGTTAGCTGCACGCAGCTTGCGGCCGCAGGTGGATCCTGAATTCCTGCCTCTTTCTCGTTCATGGGCACTAGAATCCTTCTTTGGGGTGTAGTCTCGCACATTCGGCCTCTCGGAGTTGTTTCAGCGAGGATCTACTCCCAAGCCAACTATAAATGGTTAGTGTGTTGTCCTTGACATGATCGATTATCAATACTTGCTGATTAATTTCCCCAAAAGCACCCACTTTGGCCCCAACGCCACGGTCAAAGGATTCACCATTACATCAAGGAATAATTTAGGCAACGCCGTGACAGATCCATGGATGTTCTTATAAAGAGCCCTGGCTTTTCATTGACGATAGTTGTAAAAAATACACCCAATTCGAATTAGTAGTACCTTTATTAGCGTACTGCCGCCAGTTGCACGCTAGCCCGCACGTACTACTAGTACTATACGATATATCACCGACCACCTGACCATCATGACCCTCAAATATCTGGTGACTGGAGCCACCGGCGGCCTCGGCAAACAAATACTAGCCTATTTGGTCGCCAATGTCCCTGCTTCCGAGTACGCAGCAGCATCATCCAATGAAGCCAACCGCAAGCACTTTGAAGACCAGGGAATCGCATTCCGAGTCGTGAACTATGACGATCCAGCGAGTATGGAAAAATCATTTCAAGACGTGGAGAACCTACTCTTCGTGAGCACGAACACCTTTGACGTTGAGAAGCGACGGAAACAACACCAAAGCTTCGTCGATGCGGCGAAGAAGGTGGATGTCAAGCATGTAAGCTCGTCCCCCAGAGTCAACCCCAACCCTCTACGAATCTCCGAGTCTAATATACTCTACGCTAGGTCTGGTATACATCACTTGCCTTTGGCGGATTCCGCTCCGACTCGAAAGCGAATGTTCAACAAGCTCATCTGATGACAGAAGAGATGCTGCGAGTGTAAGTAAACGGTTCACCCACACCAGCCAGCACATCCGCTAATGACCAAGCAGATCCGGGATCAACTACACCTCCGTTCGTGAGGGCGCTTACACCGACGCCTTCCCAGTATTCATGGGCTGGTACCCGAGCAGTTCGACCGTGTACCTCCCATCAGACGGGCCAGTGGCATTCACCCTACGCGACGAGCTCGGCGAAGCCACAGCACGACTGATGGTGCGAGGCGGGTACGACAAGGAGATCGTGCTTCTCACGGCACAGGAAACGATCACCTTCCGAGAGATTGTGGATGTGATCAATGAGACGACGGGTCGCTCGGTTCGAGTAGAGATTGTTTCACCGGATGATTTTGTGAAGTTGAAAGCTGCGGATGATGAGGGAGGGAAATCGGAAGCATTCTTTCGGGCGATCTTATCGTGGTACGACTCGATTTCGAAGGGAGAGGTCAGCACGACAGATCCGCTCATGACCGATTTGCTCGGGAGGCCGCCGGTCGGGGCTCGGGATGCGATTCGGGGGTTGTTGAAGGAGAGGGATTATGAGTGGCATCAGAACTATGTCAACCGGAAGTAGTGGTGGTGGGTGCACTGAGCATGTGAGTATGAGTATAACCATACTAGTAGTAAGCTAGTAAACATGGGGACGGCACCGAGGCTGGCAGTTGCAGCAGTCACGGGATCCTCTCGGCAACGGCAATTGCCCCGTGGATTCCGTGATAGTCAGAGTATTTACAATATTCCGACACTTTAGCAATGATTTTATATACTATATACTAGGAATGGAATAATTCAGAAATAAATACAATATCTAACATCTTTTATTCTAATATATTTACACCTATCACCATTAAATACCCTTCTCCCTCACTATGTACGGTAGTATTGTATACCGGGCAGCCGTGTCCGCCCGAGCAAGTGACCATTACGCATCCCGTGATTGGCCAGAGCCCGCTGAGTCAGCTACCGACCAGCAAACCCGAGGTTAGCAAAGTGGAATCTCCTCGACTTCAATTTGCCCTTGACCTTTCTGTGTGGTATTGGCCTTGTTTTCCCCGGCTTCTCTCGTCTTTGACCCTCTCCCCTCCTGTCGCGGTGACCTAGTCCACACCTCTTCGTCCTGTCCGCCTCGCCTTCTCCTCTACAATTCCCAAGCTCCCTTCTTCAACAATGGCCTCCCTCCGCTCCACGTCGCGGCTCTTCGCTGCGTCGCGGCCATTCTTCCGGCCCGCTACCTTCGCTCGCTCCTACGCGACCGTCGAGACTGGTGCTCCCGCCGAGCCCCCGGCCAAGATGAAGTCCTTCAAGATCTACCGTTGGAACCCGGATACCCCGAGCGAGAAGCCGACCATGCAGACCTATGACCTCGACCTGAACAAGACCGGCCCCATGATGCTCGACGCCCTCATTCGGATAAAGAACGAGCAAGATCCCACCCTCACCTTCCGCCGCTCCTGCCGTGAGGGTATCTGCGGTAGCTGCGCCATGAACATTGACGGTGTCAACACCCTGGCCTGCCTGTGTACGTTTCCGATCCCCCTCCCCCCTTCTCCCGCTCGACCGAGTCAACCCGAACCTCGCGCAATCAATTGAGAGACAAGCAATCGCTAACAGCAGACACAGGCCGTATCCCTACCGACACCAAGACCGAGTCTCGCATCTACCCTCTGCCTCACACCTACGTCGTCAAGGATCTCGTACCGGATATGACCCTTTTCTACAAGCAATACAAGTCCATCAAGCCCTACCTCCAGCGCGATACCCCCAGCCCTGACGTGAGTGACCCTGCGTAACTAGCTGTGACGAAGCAGCCTAGTGGAATACCGGAAATCGCAAAATGTGCTAACTGTGATATGTATAACAGGGTCTTGAGAACCGTCAAAGTCCCGAGGAGCGCAAGAAGCTCGACGGTCTCTACGAATGTATTCTCTGTGCCTGCTGCTCGACCTCCTGCCCCTCATACTGGTGGAACAGCGAGGAGTACCTGGGCCCCGCCATCCTGCTCCAGTCCTACCGCTGGCTGGCCGATTCCCGTGACGAGCGCACCGCCGAGCGCAAGGCCGCCCTCGACAACAGCATGAGTGTCTACCGTTGCCACACCATTCTCAACTGCACACGGACTTGCCCCAAGGGCCTGAACCCTGGTCTTGCGATCGCCGAGACCAAGAAGATGCTGGCTAAATAAAATCTCGGATATTAAAACGGAGTTGGACTTTTTTCCTTTCTGTCGAATGTCTTGCTAGCCGCTTTCCCTACCTCCCTCTCTCTCTCTATATGTTCTTCTATCTCCTTTTTCCCTCCTGTCACCTTTACCATGTTACTTTTTTTCAACTTTTTTTTTCAAGCCTACTACGGATGTTTTCATAGGTGTAAATTGTGGACATTTGATTTCTTCTAGGAATGCATTGGTGATCCATTGACTGAAACTGAGACTTGAAACTAAACCTGGGGCTGTTGCGGGTGAATCCTGTTTTGACGGTTCATTCGGCTATATGCCCGTCTCCCGTTGCCACAGTAAACCGTGATATCATGATTCAGCTGCGATCGACAACAGCTATTTCCTATTGCCAATACTAATATCAATTTCTCTGGACAAATTCACCCCAGAGCATAATGTTCTACACCCATATTTCTTCTTCTCTACTGCAAAAGTATATCCTCTGCTGTTCATTTTTCCCTTCAAAATTGTCTCGGCTATTCGTTTTTGCCCGCCGATCCCGATCGGCCTGGGTTCTTCGCCGTCAAGAGTTCCGTCAAAAAGGGGTCTACGTTCGATTCTGCTTGCCGTCATTGATTTTCCAATCGGCTAGCTATTTAATCCAGTTTGCCTTGGTCCTGATTGGTGGATTGCCTACATCTTGCATCGCGCTCTTCGGCCAGTTACTTACCCCCTCCTGTAGGTACATGTAATGCAGGATCGAGTCGGATTTATATTCCACCCAGTGTCGATGTACCTGATATCAACCTCCATTATTGCATCAATGAAGGGAATGACCGGATTGGCCTTAATTGGTCAATAGCGTGATCTATCTGCACATCGGACATCAAAGATGGAGAGCAAGAACATCCATGCACACTTTGCACCGTTCATGGATAATCACATCGCTGATCCCGGATCAGTGGCGAGTAAATATTGACTTGCCAGAGTCCAAGCTTACTGTGCGAAGTTCCTAGCTGGTCTCGGGATTCAATGCCATGCCCAGTCAGGCAAGAGTCATCATCCAGGGTATCCCGGCATGAAATCTGCTTGTAGAAACACCCAGGCAGTGCCGGGGCTCTCAAATTAGCAACTACTATCATAATGACATTGACATCTGATAATCTGGAAACGAGTCCACCACTAATTGACTCCCTTTTAACCTGGCACCTTCTTCTTCCCCCATACCCCCTCATCACCCCGCTCCCCGGCTTTCTCTTCCCATGGTTCACTCTACATCCGCTTTCCATAATAGGTGATATTGACCCCGGTCCTATCTCAGCTCACACATTGTGTCGCTTCAGTCAGAATGGAATATGCTCTGTTATTTCTCATCCTAGTGGTGGTACTATCGTTTATCGTGGCAGCTCGCATAGTTGTCCATCGTCTTTATACCCACCCTTTAGCTGCATTCCCAGGCCCCAAGCTCGCAGCTAGTACATTTCTCTACGAATTTTACTACGACGTCGTCAGAAATGGATTATACATTTGGGAAATCGAGCGAATGCACAAGAAATACGGTTCGCTCTACCCAGATTCAAGACTAATCCCCCAATCCTCGATGTTCTCTGACTGAAAACAAACACAACACAGGCCCAATCGTACGCATCAACCCCAGAGAGCTCCACATCAAAGACCCATACTTCTACGAAGAGATCCACGCCGGGCCATCTAAGAAACGCGCCAGGGATCCCAAATACGCCGTCGCCTTTGCAGCACCATATTCACTCGTCGGCACAATCGGCCACGAACACCACAGACTACGACGCAGCTTTGTGAACAATTTCTTCTCAAAGCGATCCGTCACAAATCTAACACCCATAATCCACGAGAAAGTCGACAAACTCATCCAGCGATTCGAAATCGCCTTCGAGAATTCGGCCGTGCTCATTTTACAACTTGATTTCGCTGCTCTCACGGCAGACGTTATCACACACTACTGCTATGGCTGGGCACGCGGGTACCTCGACAACGCGGATAGCTCGAAGAGCAATGATCTCGTTGACGCCGTGAACGGACTCATGACTATGTTTCATATTAACCGTTTTTTCCCGTTTCTTAGCAAGGTCTTGCTTGCTGCGCCGCCAGCTTTAGTCCGCTGGCTGCAGCCCTGTATGGCGGATCTATTTGATATGAAAGCACGCTTGCGGCAGCAGGCCAAAGATAGTCTTGAAAAAAGGGAGGGTAAGCATGAGGCGAAGTTGAAGGAAGAGGAACATATATTTGATGCGTTGACTGGGCCTGGGGTGCCGGATGCCGAAAAGACACTTGACCGATTGGAGGATGAGGGGCATTGCTCCTCGGCGCTGGGACGGAGACTACGGCGAGAGCTATTGCCGTTTCGATCTTTCATGTCATGAGAAATAAAGAAGTTGGGAGGAAGTTACTCGGTGAATTGAAGATTGTCCTGGAGACACCTACTTCGAAGGCTTCATGGCTAGAGCTCGAGCAGTTGCCTTATTTGGTGAGTTATGGCTATTCATCCTTTTTACTTTTGGGGCTTTCGGTTAGAGAAATGCTTACTTTCTTCTACTTAATTACAGACGGGAGTGGTTAATGAAGGGCTACGCTTGAGCCACGGTATGACATCAAGACTAGGTCGTATTTCGACAAAAGTACCTATTGCTTACAAAAATTGGATTATCCCAGCGGGAGTTAGTACATCCCTTCCACATATTATTATAAATATTACCTTTCATTAGGATATTTGAACTAATCTATCATCTTTATAGACCCCAATTAGCCAATCCAACTACTTCGTTCACATGGATGAGACCCTTTTCCCTGATCCACACAAGTTCGACCCCGAGCGTTGGGTACAAGCCGCAAAGAATGGCGATTATTTAGCAAGATTTATTGTGTCTTTCACCAAAGGCAGCAGACAGTGTCTGGGAATGAAGTATGTCTTTATCTTTTTATCTCTCACCTCTTCCATCTCCATGTACCTCCCAGGTGTCAGCTAACAAAATACTAGCCTTGCTTACGCGGAGATATTCCTAACACTGGCTCACGTTGTACGTCGGTTTCAATTTGAGCCGTATGAAACTACCGTAGAGAATATCTGTGTCTACCGCGACTTGGGTATTGGGTGTCCCAAAAAGGGCCTGTTTGACGTTAAGGCCAAGGTGAAAGCTATCATAAAAACTTAGATTCTGTCAAGCAGTTTTACCTTTTTGCTTCACCAAGTTTCAACTTTACCTGGAATCAGATACTGTACATCTCCAATTCTCAATAGTTACAGTAGAATCCGATATCAGATTTATTCGATTTTGATTTCCAAATCCTAACTTAAAGCAGGCTATTCAAGATAAGGGCATAGCTATTAACCCCTTTTTTCACAGAACAGAAGCTGTATTTCAAAATTCGGTGAGGCTTTTCTTCCTGAAATTTACTTGAAACTGCTATACACTCTTCTTTGGCAGCGTGTTTGGGATATGGCAATACTTGTCCATCAGACATGCCTTCCAATTCCAAACTGTTTCCCAAAATAACGGCAACTTTCAGGGTCATCCATTCCTGCTTGCCCATCATCCAACCATGGAGCCTCGTCTCTCAACTGAAGCATGCGCTTTGTCAATGCATCGAGCCGCCCCTCGTCCGTAAATTCCACCCTTTTCACCGTCATACAGTAGGATGGATGGATGGATGATGCCCTGAAACGGAGGAACGGAGTGGAAGGGGTTACGAACCCCACGGCTGCGCAACGCCAACGTTGACACGGCCAAAAAACACAGCGAGAAACACACACCCTTCTCTCCCGCCAGCCTCTCTCTCAATGGTGCTTGGTTGGATCCCAGGTCACGTTCCTTTCTTCTCGTGTTCGGTTGTCTCCGTTCGTCTTCGCCCTCCTGCTCTACTACTGCTTCAAGTTGCCTCTCGAGCTCTTCAAGGTTCAACCTTGTTTATTTATTGTTTCGTCCAACCCTCCTTATAATTTTGAACCTTTCACGTTCGCTACTGCCTCTTGCGAATTTCCATATTGAAATCTATTTCTCGGTCTATTATCCGTTCTCTGTAAATAATTACCGGCTCCATTGTTCACTGCTACGATTTATCATTCCCCTGAAGTATGTTCTTGATAAAGAGGATGAGGAATCACATAAAGTACATGGTCAGAAACCACTGACGAAAACGAGCCCTTACTGCCGGCTGTAACAACACACCCAGAGAGGTGTTCTCGAAGACAATGTAAAATATACGCCGAAGCACTTCACAATTGTGATGCGACTGCTGATTAGCCAATTTCTAGCTTTCTGTTTTCTAAGTTGAGGCGTTTCGACTATTAGTTATACTATCTGTCTTTTCATCGGGCCTCACTTATCTGCATGGTCGACTTTAGTTAAGCAAAACAGTGTCAATTTTTCCTTCGCCTTCCTTGTCCCCGCCCTACGTTACAGTACTTTCGAGAAACAGTGTCACCACTTTCCCTCCTCGACTCTTTCCCGAGACCTAATACCAAGAGCAACTACGCTGTAGAGGGAGTAGCCCATGAAATACGCCCGTTTTGAAACCGTGTCGTAAAATACTGCCTCGTTCTACAACGACAATCTACAGTACGTTATATCTAAGCTTAGAGCACTCCAGTGCCCGGTGGTCAGAAAGAACGTGGAAAGACTCCTGTGGCCTTAGTTCCATCAACTCCGGTCTCGAGCAGCCGCAGTATCCATAAAGACAATACTACTCTGCGGTGACGAACCAACCTTCTCTCCTGCTGAGAGTAGGGTTTTCGACCCACATCGGACCGAGTAGGGATTGATTAATTCTCTTCTCCTTTTAACATGTGTCTCTTTGTGTCTAACCCTGAGGGGTTCATGTCAAAATTGAGCCGTGCCGCGGAGGCTTCCTAGGCCGAGATATTTATTGGCTGGTATGTACTAGGTGGACGCATAGACGCAGTGCTCAGCCCTTCTCTTGTCACCCCTCTTCTCTTGTCATCCCTCTTCTCTTGTCACCCCTCTTCTTTTGTTACCTTCAACGCTTCAAGCATCTCTGTCTATTCTCCCTCTATATTTTATTTATCTATCTACAAGATGACGCTATTAGAACTTCCTACTGAGTTAATCCTGCTCATTGCACTCTCCCTCCCTGAAAGCGCTCTTGCCCAGCTACTACAAGTTCATCGCTCCCTTTACAAACTTCTCCTCCCGAATCTTTACCAGCGTCATCTACGAGATAGTAAACTTCAAGAAGGGCTCTTCTGGTGCACTGCCACGGGCAATGAAGCAGCTGTCAAGAAATTCCTTTACTACGGGGCAGACGTGAACGCCTCCATGGGCATACTTTCAATTCGTCATGCAAAAATACCTTTCCAGCCGTGGTTAGATGTGCAGACACCCCTGAATATAGCAGCAAACACAGGAAATGATACAATCGTTGCCTTACTGCTAAGCCATAGGGCGAACGTTTATGGATTCTCTTCCCGTTACTGGGGCACAAGCCAACCAGCTATAGTAGATGCCCTGTTATCGGGCCATGAGAGCACGGTCCGGCTTTTATTATTGCATGGGTCACCTATCCATGAGCCTGGCATGGAGCAGGGCGGGTTGGTCAACTGCGCAATATCCAGGGGGCAAATTTCTCTTCTCAAATTGTTAGTTGAGTTCAAGGCTGATCTCAATATTCCCTCGCAGGGAAGTTATCCTTTGAACAGAGCTGTATCGTTTCGCAATCTCTCAACAGACATAGTTCAGTTCCTGCTGGATAATGGCGCAGATATAGGTTTAGCGGATGGTCATCCTGGTCTCCTGTTAAACCAAGCGATTTATGGCACAATTGATACTTTGCGCCTATTGCTTGACCGTGGAGCAACCTATCCACCAGATGATTTGGAGAGGTGGCTCGAGATATTATTTGATAGGTGTACAGTCGAGACGGTGCATCTGTTGATCGAATACGGTTATGCGCCGAACATCGAGATGCTGTCGATTGCGGTAAGGGCTCGGCGGGGAGATATCCTACAGCTCTTCATTGACAGCGGTGTGGATCTAAATATGAGAGACACGAGAGGGTTTACTCTTCTCCACACGGCCATCGTTCGCTGTATACCCCGAGACCCGCCAATTAGAATCGGCGGCAGGAGCACGGTATGTCGCCGGCCAGGTAGGAAGAGTCTGGTACAAAAAATAGAACCTGTTCCGCAGCGGGTATCACCTACTTGCATGAGTGACAAGGTTGAAAAGGATGCCCCGGAGGAAATCGTGCGCCGCCTGATCCGCGGGGGGGGCAGACCTCAATGCCCTGGACGCGCGGGGGCGCACCCCGCTGGCTCTCGCCAGCGAATGTCCTCCGGCGATACAGCAGATGCTTGTCGATAAAAAAGTTTAATAGGGAAAGATGGCATGAATAATAAATTGACTAGATAGGTAGGTTTTACCTCTCCTCAATAAGCTTAGAGGAACATCCCACTAATATACTTATGGAATTGCATCTGCAGTGATACCACCAGTATCCACCGTGCCAAAATTCGAAGTCGGAAAATACATATCTTGCGTGCCACCAGGTATCATACCTATGTTTTGTTTATTTAGTCCTCAACCCTTGTGAATGGTCTTTATTCCATACGGAAGATCACCCGTCTGTGTAATTTATTTTGCGGGAGGAATGCAAGGGCAGGTAGTACGAGACAACGTGCCAAATCGTGACGTACCTGTCGTCGTTTGAATGATTTGCATTTGAATCGAACATTCTATGAAAATTCCCCACCTCGAAACCCAATATACAGAAAAATTGCTTGTTATTACCCAAAAGCTCATTTGAAAGTATTTGCCTAGGAAAACTACTCTTTCCAATTTATATTACAACAAACAAAGGAGGATAGTCAGCTCCTCGATGAGGAGACATAAAGAAAATCATGAAAGAACAAAATAATGAATCCGTTATTCGAGGGCACAACATACCTATTAGCCTATTCTCACCGGCTTTCTTCAAGTTTGACGTTGCTCTATACTGGGGATTCTGAAAAGGGTGGACCAAATACCCAATGCCACGGCCAACATTGCCAGCAGAACAGGTTGAAGCACGCTCACTCCCTTCGCCTGCGCAATGGCACCGATCATGAAGGGGAAAACAGCGCCTCCACCCATGGAAAATGCAGCAGCAAATCCAATAGCCGCTACATGGAGGTTCTTTGGCAGAAGACGCGTCGCAACAACCACGACGCCCGGAAATATGGTTCCTAAAAAGAAACCGACAAGAGACACCGCCACCGCAGAAACAATGAATTCCGGAACAAGCCAAAAAATAAGCTCGAGCGCGATGGCACAAAGAATGTAGACCGTGATTGCCAGTTTTTCGCCAATTCGAGGCGATACGAAACCTAGGACGAATCGCCCCATTGTAACGCCAAGCCAGAAGCCCGTTTCTGTCATTCCGGACGCAAATGCACTGCCATGACGGACGTTCGTCATGAAAACGACGATCCATCCTCCAATAGCCACTTCTGTTCCTCCATATAGGAAAAGGAAGACCGCGATGATCCAGGTGACCTTGTACGTGAGAGCTAATCGTGTCTGGTGAAGTGCTCCTCCTCTGACGGTAGTGCCAGCGCTTTCCTGTCTGTATTTAGTCCCAGTCTCGGTCCAAAATGCACTTGCAGCGTAAATAATTTCAAGGGCAGCCGCTCCGGTCTAAGATATACGCGTTAGGTCAGTCTGTCGTTTCGTGTGGGCTCTAACCATGACGGGTGGGTGGCTGGGAAGGGGGAAGTGTGGGGGGGGGGGAGGAATGTGAATACCATAAGATAATAGAAGGAGTACCACGGCCAGCCCGCCTTGGAAATTAAGCTCGTCGCGACGAGAGGACTAATTGTGGCGCCCACTCCGTAAAACCCATGAAAGAATCCGAGGACTTCGTTCGAATTTGCCATGTTGCCAATCCACACGTTCCATGCGGCGTTCTGCACACCACTTCCCAACCCCACAAGAATGTACATTATCACTAGCACTGGGAATGGCGGGTGAACAGATATAACTGCGAATGTGAGTAGATGGCAAGTAGGCCCGATTATGGCAATGCCTTTTCTACCAAAACGCTGGTGGATTGAGTAGCTCAAAATTGCGGAAATAACATAACCGAAAAATGGCGACAAGAAGACGAGCGAGATGACAGTATAGCTTTTTTGGTAATAGGATTCTAGCTGTATTTTTGGTTTTCTTATTAGCTTGGATAAGACACACTTCGATAAGTAGGACAAACAGAGGAAATGATAGCACCGTAGGCGGCATCATTTGCACCCATCACAAATGCACACCAGCACGTAGCTGTCAACCGCCATATCATGGTCTTTGATTCATTCCATCGCGGAGAAATGCTGACAGCATGAGATGGCGGGGTCTCGTCTCCGGGTATGTCGGTGTTCCAATGGATTGTATGTCTTCCACGTCGACATTTTGGTCTTGGCGGGGCGCTTCCGATGTGTCTGTTGTTGGAGCTATAGTTAAAGTAGCCATTTCTTATGTATAAATTGGCTCAGCGATTCTTAAGCAGGATCATCTGTGGAGGCTGACAGGTTTTCCAAAGCGGGGAGACGGATCGGCATTTCGGCTACTCGCTCGTTTAGCGGGCGGCTTGAGCGTTCCGAGTCACTCGTGTATTATATGTTGAACAATTTGAATATACGTACTGGCATCTTAATCGACGAGAATCTCCCTTCATCGAATATGTGGCAACATTATTCTTCAAGTTCTTGAGGGCATTTCGAGGTGCTTTTTTGACGAAGACATATGACTCTTCTCTCCAGAGCAACTTGGAGCTGGACCGGGATGGATCCCAAAACGGGAAGGCAGTTTCATAGTATCGGAATAAAAATGAAGGAATTACCAGCTTGATCTCACGTAGCTCAATATAAATCAACAAGAGTGATGTGCTCAGATGGGTGAAAGGCATTTGCAAACATTTTAGATATCGATTTTCCTGATGTCTTTCTAGAATTCTTAGTCAACTAACAACGGTCGCTTACCAGCAATACTACTAGTAGCACGCGGATTATTTGAGATGCTTTTTTATATGTTAATACTAGTAAGCCACTGTAACCTAGAAGACCCTTGTAATACCTTGCCCAGGTGCAAATTTCAAATTCAGCCTTGGTCGTTCTAAAGTTACTACTAGTACTACGACTAGGTAATCTCACTCGGTACTCGACTATATATTTTGCTCTGCCGGACGCCTGCTCAACGACTGGGATCGGTGACATTTTCGAATCTAACGTAGCAAATTACTAGTAGTTCACTGGCAAGTAATACTTAGGTAACACTTCCAAGATTTTGTATAAATAGTAATCACCTCAATCTTTACGTTTTATTTTTGTTTTCCAACTTAATCTAAAGAGAACTTGGCAAAAAAAGCGACCTCGGGAGCCGGAGGCGAGCCATAGGAATGTAGTGTTGGCGGAAAACACTTCCGAGGTCTATGACTAGTAAAACCATGTCCAACATGACAATCAAGTCTCAGGAGATTAACCGAGCCTAGATCCTAGCTTATTGCTTGACATGAGCTGCGTGGCTCTCTACTGTAACTTGGGTCCATCTAAAGATCCGTTCGTATAAACATCCTGCAGACAACAAACTCGCTCCTTGCTACTGGAGTCTACGCGCTGACAGTCATCAAACACAAACATGAAACCAATTTTAAGGCCAAGCGCCTCTCAGAAACTTGGTTGAATTCTTTGGCCGTGAGTGACCTGTCATATTTCAGTTGTCTCAATCAAGGGCAATGTGGCTGTTACATCCGAACTGATAGCAAGTATGCGGAAGGATTTCGCATGTAGATCACAACAATTAGACCGCTGGTATCAACTACAGATCACTGAAAAAGCAGTCAGAGATGCAGTGGAACTTTCTTCGACGGTCCGAGGCGGGTCTGCATGATGGGTGGTTGGCGGCGCAAGGGGAATCGGGCTGCTAGGGTTGCCAGGGGAATGAACTCTGGCGTGCCTGAGTATCCCTGTGTAGTACCCATCGTCGAGAGGAGAGTCTTTACTGTGAACTCTCGTGGGCTTTCTGAATTGAAGGAGGCGGAAGGGGCTTACTCCTGGTGAAGGGCTGAGAATAATATCGCTCGTTGAGCAATAATTGTAAGAAGGTCGATTTTGGTAAATGGACCACGGAACTAGTATAGCTGACGACACAGTGCATCACCACGAGGTTAATGCCGATGCGTGGCTGAAGTCTGCAGCTTCATGCGACAACCAGCCTCATTAGCCGCAATCTATATCATTCTACCGGGGGGCTTGTACATTGGGAACATGAACCGGCCACCTAGAAGAGCGTAGTTTCCACTGAATATGAGAGATCAATGTGTCTGCCGCTTTTTCAACCCCCGATTCGCTTGTCCAAGTAACTTTATGGACGATCATTCCACGGTTGCCAACCACAATCGCGGTAAAGGCACTGGAATCCAACCATCTCCGCTGGGTTTCCATACCTGCAGGGCCGGCCTGCCCCTTATGCTATGCTAGACTCGTCATCAGTGCGCGTGCTCTAGGGTATAAGGCATGGAGGACGCCGCAGATCAAATATCAAAACACAGTGAAGATCAAGAATCCGAGCGATCTTGACATAAAAGCCATTGCATCCCTTTCCCCCCGAATCAAAGTGCAAAGTTTCATCTCCGACCTAATACTCTCCTTCCGATTCTTCCTGGTCCAGGCCAAGACCTCTCCAGCCATAATGCATCCATCTTACGTTTCTCTGGCCATTATGGCCATCGGTGCCGCTGCGGCTCCCTCTTACCCCAAGCCTGACGCCAAGAGCGATCCGTTCAACACCTTCCCCTTCATGTCGGACACCAGTAGCGCCGTTGAAGATGACGATGGAATGGATAACCCCGTTCCTGCATATATGGAGGCCATGCAGGTCGCCGAGTCCGCCCAGGCTGGAAAGTATAACTCGGCACCGGCTGCTTCTCAGTCTTATCAGCTACCTGCCCAAAAGGCCGAGAAACCTGCTCCCACTTTCCATCAGGCTCAGCAAGAGGCAGCCCCTACCTACCAGGCTCCCCAACAAGAAGCTGCACCCACCTTCCAGGCCCCTCAGGCAGACCCGGCGCCCACTTTCCAGGCTCCTCAGCAAGAGGCAGCCCCCAAGCAGGAGGCGGCTCCAACCTTCCAAGCTCCTCAACAGAAGCCGGAGCCCACTTTCCAAGTCGTCTCTGAGCCTGCTCAGCCTCAGCCCACTCACGTCGTGGTTGTGAAGCCTGATGTGGTGGCTGAGCCTCACAAGCAGCAGAGCGAGCTCCCGGCGGCCGTCTCCAACATTGCGCCAGCTCCTCTGTCGGATCCGGAGCCTCCTATGCAAATGCCCACTTCTACCCCGGCTGTTGATGATGATATGCCTATGATCTCTGAGGTTCCCATGATGTCTGAGATCGATATGTTCTCCGCTGTGCCGGACATGCCAGAGACATACTCTTCTGCCTTCTCCACTGAGGCTGTTGTAACGATTGCTCCCATTCCTAAGGCTCACCCGAGCTCTTCGTCCTCCATGGTGCACTCTGTGATGCAGACTCCCATGCCCATGCCCCAGGCTAAGACATCATCGAGCCACTCCATGATGATGCCAGTCTTGCCGTCTACCCACTCGGTCATGATGCAGTCCACTCCCACCCACCAGATCATTGTCACCATGTCTACCAAGGCTCGTCCAACACACTCTGTCATGATTCACGAGCAACACATGTCTTCAAGCAAGGTCGCAACTGCCTCCAGTTCGGCTTCGGCCTCTGCCTCTGCCACTCCTTCCTCGAGTGCCGATGCTGCCGACCCTCTGGGAGGTCTCACTGGCATCTTTGACAGCGTTCCTATCCTGGGTGGTCTCCTTAAGACTCTCGGTGGTTAAACTCGTAAGTCTGGCAACCTTTCCTCAATCCTGCGTACACCGACTAATCATACCACAGCTGCCTGTCAATCCTTTATTCTGCATTTCTTGTATTTCAATATATCCGGCAAGGAACTCGTGGCGCTTGGTTTTCTGGGGCTTCGTTGATATCCAAAGAAACTTTTTAATGAAAAGGGCGTTTTGGGGTAGATCAGATTTGTTACCACATTTTATTTCTTCAGTAGCCTGAATACAAATTCAATATCAAAAACACAAAAACTAGCGCTCCAACATGCATAATCTCTTCAATCAAGGGTATCTTCCACCAGAGCCCAACCGATCAATACATCCCTCAACTGCCTTCTGCATCGCATTCGTAGCCTCCTCCAAAAGCGTCGTCAGCGGCACCTTGCCTGCCTTCTCCTGCTGAACCTTAATATAAGGATTATTCAAGACCTTATTAATATTGATCTTGGACACGCCACAATCAATGCACTTTTGAAAGATCTCCTGTGTAAACGGATCCGCACCGTGCAGAACCAGCCGCACCTGTCCCCCAACAGCCTTATTAATAGACTGAAGTCTATCATATTCAAGCTGAATGCCCCGCGGCCCATACTCGCCATGAACATTTCCAAAAGCAGGCGCCAACCAATCAATCCCCGTATCGACAAATTCCTGACTCTCCTCTGGAGTCGTCAACAACCCCTCCAGATCTGCCGTGTCCGCAACCCCATCTTCTCCACCTTCAATCCGGCCGGGTTCCGCCTCAGTGGCGATCCCCCGCGTATGGCAGTACTCAACCAATTCCCGCGTCAGCGCCAGGTTCTCCGCCTTCTCGTAGTGCGACATGTCAACCATGATACTGTCGAAGCCACCCAGATCCGCTGCGTAGCGGATGATCTCCGGTGTTTGCGCGTGGTCCATGTGCACGGTGACGGGGACCGAGGCTTTGCGCGCGGCTTCGGCGGCGGCGTGTACGAGGATGCCATCTGCGTAATGCACTGCCCACGGAAATAGGAGGATCATAGCGGGCGAGCGCTTGGCTTCGGCGGCTCGGACGGTAGCCAGGATGCCTTCGACATTGTAGCAGCACATTGCTGGTACGGCGTAGTGGTTCTCGGCGGCATGGTCGAGGATGCGCAGGGCGCGGTTGTCGGTGAGAGGCATTTTGTGGGAGAGGGGTATATGTAGGATTAGGAAAAGGTGAATATGCGAATGGGTTTTGCGACGCGGGGGCTTTTAAGTTCTAATTTCCCCTGTGTGCCTCTTGTTTAATGGCGATCGTTGTTCTGTCCGAGTATTGTGATAGTCGCATGTTGTCCGAGTCCTCGGAGATGGTCCGAAGAACCCCCCCGCGGTTACGTCAAATACGACCGGATTGTAAAGCCGGTGTGGGGATTAGCCCCTGGCTGCGTGGAACTCTAGAAAAATAATGAAAAAAAAAAATCCCGGGCATGGGTTGTCCATTGGCATCGGTTTGTGGGGGAATACGGGGGAGTGAGTGGGAAGGAAAGTTGAAGTATCGCCGTGTGGGGGAGATCCGCCGACAGTAACAATCCCAATTAATTACGAGGAGATAGTGAGAGGAGAAATTTAGGGGGTAAAATATCTTTAAAAATGAAAACTCTCAATTTATGTAAAGGAAATGGGATATCTACATTATCTGCCAAAGGTTTTGATCACACTGGTGCTACCCTCCGCACCAAGACCGTGTCTCTTCGCCATAAAAAGCTGATTCAACGCTGCGTTTCCTAGATAGAGCGGGCAGTGAAGGTCTCTGGCCTTTTGTACACCCTTTTCCAGACGAGTGATAGCATCATTGAGAGATTCGGAGTTCTGCCCGATCTTGCCCTCGATGATCTCTAGGCCCTTGGTCATAAATTGACGGCTGGCACCTGCGGCATCACTGACAAGAGTAAAGAACTGCTTAAGTTCCACATTGAGGTGGCGCGCAAAGCCAATGGCTTCAGCGGCGGCGACAAGATTCGTCAACTCCATCACATCAAGGACTAATTGCAAAGCCTCGGCGGTCTCTTCGGCGGACTTGGTGGAGGACACCTTCGTAATGGGCTCCTTGTAGTATTGGCGGACCATCGAGGAGTCATCGACAGGGCCATATTCCTGTAGGAGAGCGGAGAGGTAGACTTGCTCTGCTGTTGAGCAGAGAGGGGTAGGAAATTGGTTCTGGCGGGCAGAAGTGGTGATGATGCCCTACTCAACTCGATTAGTATTTCAAAATATCACCATAGAAAGCACCACAATCGAATTTACACTTACCACATCCTTTAAAATAATAGTCAGAGCACTAGCACCAGGGTACCAGTCCTCCTCCAACATACGCTGTAAACGGTTCTCATGCATCCAGGTATGAGAGTCGGACGACTTAATCGCCTCAGCGGTCTTAACAGCATCCAATCCTAACTGTGCAGCAAAGCCTTGGGCCTCGCTAGCACCCAAAATGTGAATACCAGCCAGGACCTGGTGGACCATCTTCATGTTGCTTCCAGCACCAATGCCACCGGGCACCAGATACAGCTTGTCGGAATCGGACATCTCCTGGAGTAGGAACCGGCCACTCTCCAGAGCAGAGTCCGATGCACCAGCCATAATCGACAAAGTTCCATCCGCAGCACGCTTAGCACCGCCGGAAACGGGGGCATCAATAAATTGGATGTCCCCGCGACCGAGCGACTGCAGCTCAGCAGCAACAGACTGGGCATAAGAAGCTGGAACAGTGGAGCAGAGGAGGAGGGTCGCATTTTGGGGAAGAACTGTACACATAAGATGAACCAGTCAGTTGAAGGAAATCAAAGAATTAAAGAATCGAAGAATTGCGACAAAACTTACCAGCAACAATGCCATTGTCACCGAAGAGAACAGACTGGGCCTGCGGTGCTGATGCGACCATACAGACATAATATTGCTTATCCTTTGCAGAGTCTTGCAGCGAGGAAGCCGGAATTCCACCGGCGGTCTTGAAGCGATCAACCGAAGCAGGGAAGACATCGAAGCCGTGGACGGGGTAGCCCTGCTTCACCAGGTGGGTGGCCATGCCAAAACCCATGGCTCCCAGGCCGACAAAGCCAACAGCAGGCTTAGACATCTTGTTTGAATGGGGGAATCAGATATGCAAAGGGTAAAGAAGTTGTTAAACAAGCAAGGAAAGATAGCCGCTATGTACAGAAACTTGATGGGGAAACGTGGGGGGGTGTTGGGGGTTTATCTGGAGATGCCGCGGTGGGGGATCTTCGGTGGAAGTCCGACCAGCCGAGTTCGACAAATGTTAATTTAGCCAAGGGCCAAGGATATGACAGTGGCGAGGTTCATCGGATAAATTGCGACCACAGTTTGGGTACGGGTATTAGTACGATTAAAGGATAAATGAAGATTTGAATGGTACTGAATTTCTGCCGAAAACGAAATAACACGGCCATGTCCGATTATCTGAAAATACTCGGTTACCGTCGACTATCCTCTCCGATCATCCGCCCGTAGAAAATTAATAGACATGATGCTATAAAGAAAGAAGGCTATATTTAGGTTGAACTATTCTATGAACTGTGGCACAACACGATCCTTGACTCACAGGATTTCGTGGGGTGTTAAGAAGAATCCAAATTCCTCCAGCTCAGAATCAGATGATCCTGCCTCCTCAGGCGATGGCGAGGATGACTCATATAAACCGGTGTGCACGAGCAAAGGCTCTTCCTCCTCAATCTGTATAAGCATATCAGCTAATTGTTCAAGGATATCTGTCTCCGGGGTCTCTTGTCCACAGGAGTCATCTTCGGGATTGCCACTTGAGATCACCGAGTAAACATCACTCATGTAATGCTCCAAGGAAACTTGAATAAAAGCTAAAGAAGAATCAGCGATAGCCTCTTATTTGGAGGAGGATCTTTGGGGGTTGTTTCGTCGGATTTGCCAATCAAGTATGTCTCTGATGGCCGATTTGATCATCCTCATCCTCATCCTCGTCCTCGTCCTCATCGCTTGAGGACTTACCAAGATCACTAGAATCTTCTCTCTCCGTTTCAGGGTTGAATTGCGCTGCCAATTCAAAGGGTGAAATATCCGAATTTAAACCTTCAATAGAATAATCGCTGCATCCAAAGGTTGGCATAGGGTCGTCGATAGATGCTGTGGGTAGTTCCTCCCAGCACCACAGGCATGGAGAGTCCGACTGGTCATCTTCGGAAGTGAGATCATGATATATCTCGACATACTCGCAGTTGAGGAATTTCCCGGGCATGGAACGGATAGAATACGTATAAGTCATGCAAGACAGCATCATCCAATAGGAGATGTGCCCGCAAGCGTGGAAGTGGTAATAGGTCAGTTCACACATAACTGCTAAAGTAAGAGGATGATGATGGAAGGTACCTTAGACTGGGGGAACTCTTTCGTTTTGTAGGCAAATTCCAGATACCGGGTGATCAAGAACAAAGACATACAAGCAAGCCTCCAGAACAAAACGTACTCAATCCGATTGTGCTTCGCTGGTACGAGATAATAGCCAGGGCAGGCCCATAGGTATCAAAGAAAGACACGTCATAGCAGAAATTAACAGTACTATTAGCAACAGTATTAATTAAGCTCGATTAATAAGGAATTCATCGGAATATCTCGAGCTCGATCTTGAGCACCACTAGTTCGCTTTGTTTATAAACCAAACAATGAAAATCATACATCTATCAGAGTATCAGAGTGTAAACGTCAACAGACCGTTCAAGTTGTTGGTATTTAAATTTTGTATTAATACTCCCTGAAAAGATAGAGCGATGATATACAATCCAGATCAAGTCATATAAGCGAAACCAAGATCAACAAAACTCCACAATCAAACACCCGAACGCGCCTTCGTATGTTAAAACGTAAGTGGTATCACTTCAAAAATATCAATAACAAAGAATCGTAAAAGAAGGAACTAGGCAGCCGAAAAAGAAGCTTCTAGTATCATTGGGTCGCCGGGGTCTGAGCAGTTTGAGCAGTTTGAGCGGGTTGAGCAGGCTGAGAGGGCTGAGCGGGTCCAGTCTGCATGACTTGAACCCGACCGCTGTTATGCCAGCAGGCCAGCTTAACACCGCACTTTCCGCAGTAGTGGTCGACGTCTTTCAGGGAAGACATCAGGTAAGGGAAACATCCGAGACAGCAGCAGCAGCAAAGAACGGCCGCCCAACCACTATTTTCCAATTGTTAGTAAGATGTTCAAAGTCTTTTGTTTTCTATTTTAACAATGCAGAGCATGTAGTCTTGGGATCGGGGCTGGATCTCGGAAATCCACTTACTGTGTTGTCATTCCGGTAACGGCCTCCGTCCGGGTCATTTCGCGGTGTCCACATGAAGGGCAATCAACCGGCGCGGGAGCTGACTGAAGCGCGTGCAGTGGTGTAGCGCTGGCGTATCCACTAGGCGGACCGTACGGAGTATAGTATACCCCCGGCTGGGCTTGAGCTTGCTGGTAATTGGGAGCTTGTTGTGAAGGGTCTTGGTAGGTAGGCTGGGGTTGTCCGGGGTATCCCTTCACATCGTCGGGTGAGTTGTACTCGTTCGGTTGCTCCTTAGGCTGTCCCGGGTATGAAGGTGCATTGTCCTTGGAGCTGCTCACAAAGGTCGGGGCGATATCGTCTGCGACCCGCGTTTTCTCTGCTGGCCTTTGGCTGATGTAGTCGCCGTCGGTGGAGGGTTGTCGGGGGCTCAGAGGCGGTGGAGTCAAGGAACTGACTGTAGACTGGTAGGGAGGAACTGGTGAACCAGGCGAAACTGGGGGGATGGTGGTGAAGCCAGTGGCTGAGGTTTGGCCAGTGTGCTCGAGGGGAATGAGGCCTGGTCGCAAGTCAATAACCTATGTCGCGTGGTGAAATCCCAGAATATGCGAATACTCGTAGACGCAGCACTCACCCTCGCTATCATTTTGTGTCACCATATTGAATCGTAAATTGGCGTCGTGGGGCTTTGCTGGTTTTTTCTTTGAAGGGGTTGCAGACGTAAACGTCGAGATCGGGGGGGACGGGGGAGGAGAAATGCAAAATAATGTGACGCGGGATGGGGGCGGTTTCTAGATTTAAGACAGAAAGTAAATTTCAGGACCGTTAATAATAGCGCCTTAATCGGATCGTCAAGGCTGTTTCCCGTCAAAATGAGCCTGGCCACGATTTAAAGTTGAGATCGTTCACTGCCCTATTTTGTTTTGCTTTCAAGCCCCCGCGGAGACAAACAACGAGTGGACATGCCAATTTTATCTCTACTCAGTGGAGACCGCTGAGGTTTGGTTCAATCCAGATCACCATTTTCAATTAATGCATTGGGGCTCTCCTAAATCCCCCCACCCCTCCCCCCTAGCTTGCTACGACTCAGGTTGACGCCTCTCTCAGCTAGCAAGAGTGCCGTGACCTCGTGAGGCGTCGGAGCCCGCAAGGCTATGCTCCACGCTGAGACTCGTAATTGCCATTCATTACATGTAACCATGCGTGGATCCACTTGCCTCGTATGGAGCTCGAAGACCCATCTTCAAGGGGGGTCAAGATGATTCGGGAGGGTTGCTAGATCTCAATCAGTATGCTTGCCTCTGTATATTATTGTCTTAGTAGGAAAAGATAATCAATTCCTTCAGGTTCTTTGTCAAAAACCAATTCTCAGCGGGGAGAACTGCGCCTTGCCCCTGAAGTTTTTTTTACTCGTATGTAGTACATCAGGGTTCAACTAGGGCTGTTGATTTAGCCCAATCAAAGCCCGACTTTTGGGACCACATGCGTCAATCCCTTCCCCTTTGTAGAAGAAACTGCGAGTAAAGTGGGGAGCGCAAGGCTGTGTACAAATCCATACAGTAGTACTCCATACTCCGTAAGAGTAATTGTACATCGCATGAAATGCTCTACTTACTCCGGGCGCGACGTACATACATATATGGAAACAGGCGTCCAAGTGAGCTGTCCATCGACTTAAATAGTACTAGCTGTATATTTGGCCCCCGACTGGAGTCTGACATGTATTTCTTGAACCTGGGCGTACCAAATGAGGTTAATGGACGGTATGCTACGAGCCGCGTGGAGCATAATCCTACGGCTGGAGCTGAAACCGATGCCGTTCTTATATCCGAAATGGAGTACAGCCCTACGAGTAGAGGAAGGAACTGATCATGCGGGCAATGACGGTCACGGAATTCGATGGAGGTGCCAAGTCCTGCGATATTTGAAGCCGCATAATTAGACTTCTTTATGTTGACCAGTTTGGATGCTCAAGTCAACACAACTAGGAGAATGTCCTCCGTAGCGAATTAATGTCTTGAAAAGCTGACTCGGAATACATCTTCAACGCTTCCAGCTTATTTGCTCTTCAAAATTTCGACTTCGAACATGTTGCTGAGAATGCATTTGTATTTCAGTCATTAGCGGGGGTACGGAGTATATATTTCAGGTTACTCCTCTCACTGCAGAGTGCTACGATCGATAGAAATTACAGTCTAGAAGAACTAATTTGAAGATCCAATCAATTCAGACGGCCAAGCAAAACGACGAAAATTAAGCAATCACTATGGACACAACCTCAATTCACCCACCTCCACGCCAACTGATCTCCGATCCTTCGCAGACAAAACCTCGGGCTTACCGAATCCTACCATATCCGAAACCAAGCTTTGAGGCGTACGCGGATGACTAAATATCACAACCAATAACGCGACAGAGGAACTCGAGAAAGAGCTCATTAAGGTGATGCAAAGGAGATACTCGGATGTAAATAGTTAAACCCCGGTCGGACTGGCGAGGGAGGAGAAGAGTACAAAGTCAAGAAATCCGCCCTTCTTCCAACTTGAACATCTCCAACTTGGCATTTCCAACTTCCTTCTTCCACTCCGACACTTTCCCCGCACCAGATGCGATTCGTATCAAAAATGGCAGCCACCATCACCTCCACCATCAAATTGCCCAGTGGCTTTGGGATTTCCTCGCTTAGGCTTCGGAGTAAGCATTCCATCCAATATCATTTCCCTGATCGTCGCGCTGATTCAAGTTTCTATCAGGTCTATAAAACGTACGAGACGCCACCCCCTCAACCCCCCACCGCACACGGGAACTCCCATGGGCAACCCCAACATGAACTTGAACTAACACACACTTCGTAGTCCCCCAGCTGACACAGAGAGATGCTGTATCGAAGCACTCAAGGCTGGCTATCGCCATGTGAGTTGTCATTCTTACAGGAGATACCCCTACCCATCCATACCCCGCACTAAAATATGAGATATTGCGAGACACCTCACTAACACCCAACAGATCGACTCTGCAGCAATATACAGAAACGAAGCTGGCTGCGGCAATGCGATTCGAGGCTCCCAAATTCCCCGCGAACAGATATTCTTCACATCCAAGGTCATAAACATCAGCTATGACGGAGCCAAGGCACAAATCGACGAGTCCCTCGCCCTATCCAAGCTCGACTACATCGACCTAATGCTCCTCCATCAACCCCGAGGCGGATCCGAGAACCGCAAAGGTGCATGGTTAGCGGTACGCTCACGCTCACTTCCGGGTCCTCGTTCTTCACCCTTCACTCTTCCCTGGCTAACAAACACACAGCTAGTCGAAGCCGTCGAAGCCGGTAAAATCCGCTCGATCGGCGTCAGCAATTACGGAGTCCACCACCTGAATGAGCTAGAGGCATACATTTCCAAGCTCGAGGCCGAACGAGGCGGTAAAGGCCGTGGCGGAATCATAAGTATCAACCAAGTCGAGCTCCATCCCTGGCTAGGCCGGAAAGATATCGTAGACTGGTGCACGGCGCGAGGGGTCTTTTTAGAGGCATATTGTCCGATTGTGCGCGGTGCGCGATTCGACGAACCCAGTGTCAAGAAACTCGCGGATAAATACGGCAAGACGCCGGCTCAGGTGCTTATTCGCTGGAGTTTGGATAAGGGATTCATCCCGCTTCCTAAGAGTGTGACGCCGGGTCGCATTCTTGCTAATGCGGATGTGTTTGATTTTAGTCTGACTGGTGAGGAAGTACGGGCGCTTGAGACGGATGAGTATAGTCCCGTTGCGTGGGATCCGACTGTTACCAGGTTGGATGAGTAGGTAAACCTTAGTTGTTTATTAGTTGGTCTAGTCGTATGATATGGGTACTAGTGCTTTTGCCGGTGGACTTTGGAAGATAACAATTCGCAATTCCAAGACGCCATGTGGTTAGGTAGTAGGGAAGACAGTTGCTATCCATGTGGAAGTACTACCACCTGACCAATTAACAATATCTTCCAGCCAAAGTGGGAAACAAAAGTACTGAGACAGGTGTAAGCAAGAATTCTTCAACCTTGGAATGCTTGGAAGGATTTAACTCGGCAATATTTTCCAAGCCTCCAGGGCTCTCCAGGGCTACCTATCAAAAGTATAGTAATAGTTAGTACTAGTACTACTAGTACTATCAAAAGTATATCAGAAGCCATATTTAACTTTGGAACTACTTCCCATCCACACAGCCAGTACCAAAGTAAACCGGAACTAAACCAAAGTAAACCAAGTAAACTAAAGACCAGCGCTAGTCAAAGTCCACAATGTACGGAGAGTACTTATTACAGTCTCCAAGCGCCGCATCCGTTCCAAGCCCGTCAGCGTGGACTATTCTAGCAGCGTGCAGGAGAGGCGGGGTAGTTCTAGAACATGGCCGACCAGGTGAGTCCGACTTCTCCCAGTCTTCAAGTTCATTCTTGATTTTCAACTTACTTGATGTTCATGTTCTACAACCCTTGATACTCAAGGCTCCGGCATGCCAGTCTTCATCGTCTATGCTCGTCGCATCGGTCGTCCGTCAACTACCAGAAAGCAGAGAAAGACTCGGCGTCAGCGGCAACGGCAACGGCAACGAAGAGGCATGGAAGTGGAGAAAGACCGGTTTGGCGCTGATGATTTTACAAGAGGTATGATTAATCAATACATCCATGGATGAAGCAGGTGATTATTATTTTTTCCGTCTACTTGAAAGGGTGGAAGATAGTTGGAGAGAAAGCGGGCCATGGGGGAAACAACCGTGGAAGAGAGGGGCAAATGGTCATAAATATCATGATATTTTTCTTCTCTATTAAATTTAAAAAATCGACGCCCTTTCTGGTGCCCTTTCCTTTCTCTCTTTTTTTACTGTCCTTCGACAGCCGCTGACCGAAACCGACCAACCTCTAGGTTTACAGGTTTTGGACACCGAAATGGGCCAGGACGACTGGCTCATCGCCTTCGCCCCAATAACCCTAATCTCGACCGGCGGGTTCCTCGCGACAAATTTCTTCCACAACCGCGAAAGCACAGGGGACATCGACTACCTTCTCGAACCACAGTGGGCGCACGACAACGATATCAAAAAGCCGCTCCGCGACGCGATGACCCGCGCCGCGCGCCATCTAGGATTCATCGACGACTGGCTCAATGACGAAGTAGCCTTCTTCGTACCGGATAACCACCGCGAGTTACTCTTCGAGAAAGCCGAGGAGCAGAATATCGTGCTGTGGGAAGGGGCGTATCTGCGCGTTCTCGCGGTGCCGCTGGAGTGGGCGCTGGAGCGTAAACTTCGTCGCATACATAATAGTCGAAGACATATTAAGCGCGGGTCGGATATTTCGGATGTCGTGGCTATGTTGAAACATTTGCGGACGCAGGCTGGTGGTCCGTTGAATCGGGAATATGTGAGGACGATGAGCATTTGCTCGTTTGAGATGCCGCCGGATAAACACACCATGAACGAGATAGCAGCGGCTTATCGAGACAAATATAATGAAGAGGCTTTTCTATAGGGGATGTGTTTTTGTTTTGGTCTTTGTCTTTGCTCGTTGCTTTTTTGGCGTCTGGCCAGCCGCTGTGCCTGGTAGTGGTTGCTGTTTGGTCTTTCTTCCAGCTCTCGCTCGCCCTCCTCACTTGCTCGTTCTAGACAGTATAAAAGTGACCGGTATCGGTGACGATATTCCTCTCCGCAAAGTTGGGATTTTCCCCGCCTTCCTCAAGAACCAATCTCCCCGAAGCATCCAGCAATTCAGCCGGGAATCCAACCAGCAGATCCGCATCAATTGGCTGAGCGCGCTTGGTCCAGATGGGCGCGGCTTCAGCGGTGAAGGGAGGAAGCAAATCATCAAAGGACTTTCGATAGATATGCTTACTCTTCTCACGGCGCATACCCAGACTCATCCGCCAGTTGAAGGCAAGGGCGAGTTCCTCCGCGATACACGAGAGAATGGCATAGCGCACCGGATCCTGGTCCTGCGGGTCCGGAATCCGATGTATAGCCCAGGCACGACGGGACTGGTAGAAGAAGTATTCGACCTCGGGCCCGATGGCGTAGAATTCGCGCGCAACCAGGGCCTCATAGAGGCGGTATAGGGATCGGATCGGGGTATCGCGGGCGCGCCAAAGGGGGATGGATCGCATGTTGGTGAGGTCGGCTTGGGCCTTGCGGGCCTGGAGCAGTGGGACATTGTTCAGCATGGTTTTCACGGGGACCGGGGGTGGGAGACTGAAGTGCCATGTTGGGAGAGGGAGGAGGAGGCGGAGGAGAGCGAGGAAAGGGTGTTTCTGACGGTGATTTAGGCGGGCGAGGCTATGTCGAAGACGGAAGGGGGATTCGAGGTCGTAGACGAAGCGACGGACACGCATCCACCAGGTGATTTGGGATTTGGAGGGACATCGAGGTGCCATGGTGGACGGGGTGCTAGCTAGGTGAGACAATGGCAATGTCTACTGGAGACATGCTGGGCTGCCTGAGAGCGAAGCAGAGCAGAGCCGAGCAGATCAAGTGGAAGTGAAGCAAAGAATAATTGAGTAGCTTGCAAGGAGCTTTGCAACGGTCAGACCCACTCGAGTTGACCGTAGGGTGCGAGTACTAGTTGATTGGGGCTTTGGTGCCTGACAGCTGGGGCAGAAATGAGGCAGGTGGTGGGTTGAGATATGAAGACAGAGGATATATCAATGAAAATGATCAATATCAGTCTATTCCTACAGAGTTTAGCTGTTCACTATTCACTGTCATTCCCCAGAAATATGAAATAACAAAGTAAGACTCAAAGACTCAGAGTACTCCCTTGTTACTGTAGGAATGCGGGTCAGTCCAGGGGCAGGTCTGAGCAACTCAGTCTGCTTTTGCTTCTGCTACTATGTTCACAACAGTAAATCACTGCTAGTGATGAAATGCAAATGGAAAGAAAAAGGAACTTGAAGAGAAAAAGATGTAGACACCTGATACCCAAGGCTCGAGGGTACAGGGTCCAGGGGCCACCAACGTGTAAACATCGATAGGCTGTGGTCCGTACTCCATACCCCGTCCCCAAACCACGGGAACTCTGGAACTCTGGAATATCAGGTACCTCAAGATGTGATCAGCACATATATCCAACCTATCTGATATCGTCAGACTTCAGGGCCAACCACCCCAGGGCAGAACCACACGTGGAGGGTGCCCTGATCGCCGCATGTGAACCCAAGACGGCCGCTGATTTGGTCATCCTCCCCACCCAACTTTAACTACTTCTTGACTACAAACTATGTGCATATCCAGATGCATATTCATATGCATATAGTCTCGAATACACCATTAACCCCTCTTCACTCACCATACCTATGTACCATCTCTCAAATCCCATCTCTTTCAATGACGGCCCTTGCACCTTTTGGCCCCAGGTTCGCATTAGCATTTAAGGCCAAATTAGAAAATCCGGGTCCGAAAAGAGAAGCAACAGTAAAACAGTGCGAGGTACGGAGTACTCCGTAGAACAAGATCAAGATGCTCTGTACTTCCGAAGTCCGACCAAAAATAGAGTCACCCTACCCACCAACCTATAGCTAGTACTAGCAGGAGGATCACTGGGCCAAGGCGGGCCACGGGGGAAACTGATAGATGCACAACGACCACATTCTTCCGCCAAGAATTCCTTAAAAACTTGAGCTAGTGAGGTAAATACCTACGAGTTATGCAAGCCTGATGGGGTCCACAAGGGTTCCCTGATGGGGCAGTCTTGATGGCCAAGGAATCATACACATGCCACTGAACACTGGATCTCCTTCGTTAGGGCTAGCCTTCCCCAAAGAGGGGCAATTCCGATAATATATTAGCCCCTAAGGGTCCAGCATCAGGAAATAGCATCAAATGAGTGAGTCGGCGGGGTTCCTAACTATTGGCTAGTCTGGTCCCGTTGTCTATTTCTATCTGTAATTTCCTTCCTGGGGTCCGTCGAGGATTTGCGCCGTACGACGTAGTTGCGCGTGGTCTGGTCAATTGACTCTTTAGTTGGCCTTTTCCAGGATATCCCAAATCACTTTCACGGGGCTTTGCTTCTTCTTTTGCTCGAGGCTACAGAGAGGGAAATCAATACCTGACACAAGTGTCTTTCCTTATATGTTGCCGGCTCCTCACTTTACGAACTGAATTCACCAACTAACATACACACCATGAAGCGCTCCGCCATGTTATTAACAGGTTTGATCCTGACTATGGTCTCAGCGGCAGAAGACTTGAGTCAACATGTTGATGTCTTGTAAGATGCCCTATTATCATCCCACCATCAGATCTATCCATGATATCCATATATTATCCATACTATCCACACCACACCATACCATCTACTGACTATTTCCTCGCTATCATCCAGCATGGGATCTGAAAGTGGAGGCAACGACTTCCCCGGCGTTGCACGACCATTCGGCATGGTCAAATTAGGCCCAGATCTATATCAATCCGGATCAGACGCATACTCCGGCTATCTATCCACCGGCGAATTCTCCGGCTTCAGTCTAATGCACGAACAAGGTACCGGCGGAGCACCGAAATACGGAACCGTCTCCCAACTACCACTAGTTGGCAGCAATATCAGTGATCCGTTGTCCCAAATCACAGTCGCTCGCAGTGGGACGGATGAAGGTTCTGTGGGCTACTACAAGGCTCAGACGGGCCAAGGTGTAGAGGTCGAGCTCAGTGCTACGTCTCGGGCGGGCATCTATCGGTATAATTTCCCGGTTGATTCGAAGGCTAATAATGTCTTGGTTGATGTTTCGCATGTCTTGCCTTCATTTCGGGGCTTGGGCTGGGGTCAGAATTATAAGGGTGGGAATTTGACTCTCTTTGATGATGGTCATTATGAGGGGATGGGGACGTATGATAATGGTTGGAATGAGGCTCCCAATTGGTCTATTTACTTCTGTAAGTCGAATCCTACACATGGAGACTTCTCTGTCGTTTCTTTTGGCTTGCTTGTATGCAGCCTTGCCTTGTCTCCACATTGTCTCATGCTCTACCTACAGGTGGCCATTTCGATACAGAGGCTGTGAGCAGCAAAACATTCACGAAAACAGACACGATGAACAGTACCGAGCATCCTGAAGGTGATGTTTCATCCACATCAGGCTCTACAAGAGTCGGTGGACTCTTCACCTTTACAGAAAGCGAGATTACCTCCCGAGTAGGTATTTCCTGGATCTCGACAGAACAGGCATGCGACAATGTGGATCGTGAGATACCCAAGGGCACCGAGCTCACCTCTGTCGTTGACGACACCATCTCCGAATGGAACGAAAAGGTCTTTTCAAAGATCAAGACCACCAGCACCAACGACGAGAGTCTTAATCTCCTCTACAGCTCGCTTTACCACATGCATTTGATCCCAACCAACCAGACCGGCGAGAACCCAGGCTGGAAGTCTCGCGAGCCTTATTATCAAGATATCTTTACCTTCTGGGTAAGTCTGCGTCTGCTCTGCTCTGACCAGTCCTGGCCATAGACTGGCATTGATAAGTCCACCTACTAATACCTTCTAGGACCTCTTCCGATGCTCAACAGCCCTCATCCAAGTCCTCCAACCAACCGCCTACGAAGAACAAATCCGCTCTCTAATCGACATCTGGCGCCACGACGGCTATCTCCCGGACGCCCGCTCATCAAACTACAATGGCCGCACACAAGGCGGATCAAACGCCGACAACATCCTCGCCGACGCCTACGTAAAGGGCGTCCGGGGCGCCGTAAACTGGGAAGACGGCTACCGAGCAATGGTCAAAGACGCAGAAATCACACCAGCAAACTATCCGGTCGACCCGATTGCGAAAGATTCCTCAACGCACGAAGGCCGCGGCGCACTGCCCGACTGGCTTAGTTTGGGGTACATTACGCCGCGATTTACGCGGGCTGTGACGCGGGCAGTCGAATATGCTTGTAATGATTTTGGCTTGTATCAGGTTGCTTCTGGGCTTGAGATGGACGATGATGCGCGAAAGTACCTGAATCGATCGAGGAATTGGCGCAATCATTGGAATCCCGACCAGAGCTCTTTGGGATTTAAGGGGTTTGTGGTACCTCGTAATGAGGATGGGACGTTTATTTCGATTGATCCGAAGCAAGGCGGGTATTGGGGAGATGCGTTTTATGAGGATGGGTCTTGGGCGTATTCTTGGAATGATGTTCATGATATGAAGCATCTTGTTGAATTGATGGGTGGTAAGGAGGTATTTGTCCAGCGGTTGGATCTTATGTTTGATCAGGGGATTTTCGACTCGAGTAATGAGCCGTATGTATCTTCCCTCCTGGTCGCCCCCATTCTACACTTGCTCGCTTTGAGATATGCTAATCCACTGCAGGATGTTCAATCTGCCCTATCTGTACAACTACGTTGACCGACAGGATCTGTCCGTGTCGCGGGCACGTCACGTTGCCAAAGGTGACTACCACACCGGGAAGTCTGGTCTGCCAGGAAATAGTGATGCCGGGGCAATGCAGACCTGGCTACTCTGGAACATGATCGGTCTGTATCCGATCACCGGGCAGACCACCTTCCTCATCCACTCGCCATGGTTCGAATCGATGACGATCGATCTGGGGCGGGTAAGACATTGGAGATCCTCTCCACGGGCGGAGATGGCAATGGGGACAGCGACTACTATGTGCAGAGTTTGAAGGTGAATGGCAAGACGTGGGAGAAGAACTGGTTGACGTGGGATGATGTCTTTGCGCAGGGAGGCAAGCTGGAGTTTGAGCTGGGGCCAACCGCAGTCAATTGGACGAGCGGCGTGTTGCCGCCGAGTCCAGCGTCGGAGTAGTAGAAGGATTGAGTGCAAGTTGATCTTGTTCTTGTATATAATTAGATTTTTCTCGTGTACATAAGTTCGAGAAGTGGGGCATCACGGTGCAGTGCAGCAGGGCAGCTGTAGTACGAGTGTTGAGTGTTCAGCGTTGACTGATAATGGGATGCTGTATATTCAGTTGACCGGGGCCAGCAATAGCAGATATATAGAATGTTCGCAGATGCCACAGCCAAAGTACCATTAAGTACCATAGGGTGAGAGTGTAAAGAGAAGTGATGTGCCGAGTAGAAGTAAAAGCAGAACAAAAACAGGGAAGAAACAAAAGCAGAGAAAGTCTGGACTTGCGGGGAGGCCCGAGCTCCAAAGTCTCCGCATCCAGCGATAACGTTGAGAGGGACAGAAGAGAGGGGAACCGCCCCCCCTTTTCTTTTTCTTTTTCTCTTTTGCATCTCTCAGGTTACTTTATTTTCTTCTTCTCTTATTCCCAATTGACTTGTATCCCCTCCGTCACATCATGGCGGATCAAGCAATTCAAGCTGCCAAAGCCGTCAGCGCCCCCGACGGAACAGGTACGCTCCATCTGCCCCACCCCAGCTCCGTCACCACCACCACTGACCATCACAGGCGTCCTTCAACTCGATCCATGGCTAAAAGATCATGCCGATGTCCTGAAGCATCGCTTTAGTGTCGTCGAGAAATGGGCCGGTGACATTGCCAGAAGTGAAGGCGGCCTGGAGAAGTTTAGCAAGGTCAGTGAACTTAACTCAACACTCCCCCTCTGATTGCATCATCAAGGCCATATCCCACCTGCTGCTGCATTCTTCCATGCCAATTGAACCCCCCCGTTAACCTCCTACTTCAGGGTTATGAAACATTCGGCCTCAACGCACAGCCAAATGGCGATATCCTCTACAGAGAATGGGCCCCCAATGCCAAGGAGGCCTCGCTGGTTGGCGACTTCAGTACGTGCCGTGCTGATGAACAACCCGGATTTGAATCGCTTTACTGAGACTGGCAGACAACTGGGACGTCAATGCCAACCCCATGACCAAGAACAACTTCGGTATTTGGGAGGTCACCGTGCCATCCAAAGCCGGGGCCCCTGCCATCCCCCACCAGAGCAAGATCAAAGTACGCACTCCTCCAATATTTTCAATCCAGACGTAAATCTGGCTAGGATGGCCTGCTAACACCATCCACAAGATCACACTGGTCCTCCCCCACGGAGAACGCGTCTACCGAGTCCCAGCATGGATCAAGCGCGTCGTGCAAGATCTCAATGTCTCCCCAATCTACGACGCCGTCTTCTGGAACCCGCCCGCCAACGAACGCTACAGCTTCCAACACCCCCGTCCCAAGAAGCCCGAGAGCCTGCGTATCTACGAGGCTCACGTCGGTATCTCATCGCCCGAGACAAAGAGTCGCCACATACAAGGAGTTTACCAAGAACATGCTGCCGCGCATCAAGGGTCTCGGCTATAATGCCATTCAGCTGATGGCAATCATGGAGCATGCCTATTATGCCAGCTTCGGCTACCAAGTAAACAACTTTTTCGCGGCGAGCAGTCGCTACGGATCCCCCGAGGATCTCAAGGAGTTGATTGACACAGCACACAGTCTGGGCCTCGTGGTCCTGCTCGATGTGGTACACAGTCATGCTTCCAAGAATGTCGACGATGGAATCAACATGTTTGATGGCTCGGATCATCTTTATTTCCACGAGGGTAGCAAGGGCCGCCATGACCAATGGGATAGTCGGTTGTTTAACTATGGACATCATGAGGTGCTGCGCTTCCTACTGAGTAACCTTCGTTTCTGGATGGAGGAGTACCAGTTCGATGGATTCCGCTTCGACGGTGTTACTAGCATGCTCTACACTCACCACGGAATTGGAACGTGAGTATCTTCCCCAGTCAGGTCTTTCCATCGCTAACCATCATATACTGCATAGTGGCTTCTCTGGCGGGTACCACGAATACTACGGCCCAGCCGTCGACGAGGAAGGTATCACATACCTCACTCTTGCCAACGAGATGCTGCACCAGCTCTACCCCGAGTGCATCACTGTCGCCGAGGATGTCTCCGGCATGCCTGCCCTCTGTCTACCCCACGCGCTTGGCGGTGTCGGTTTCGACTACCGACTAGGCATGGCCATCCCAGACATGTACATCAAGCTTCTGAAAGAGAAAGAAGACGGCGAGTGGGACATTGGCAATCTCGCCCACACTCTGACGAACCGTCGACACGGCGAGAAGACAATCGCCTATGCGGAAAGTCACGATCAAGCGTGAGTCCAGCATCCCCCACACCCTCTCTACCACTCCCTCCAACTAACACCACTCGCCCAAAAGCCTGGTCGGCGACAAGTCTCTAATGATGTGGCTCTGCGACAAGGAAATGTACACCCACATGTCTGTACTAACAGAGTTCACCCCAATCATCGAGCGCGGCATGGCCCTCCACAAAATGATCCGACTCGTAACCCACGGCCTCGGCGGCGAGGGCTACCTAAACTTCGAAGGCAACGAATTCGGACATCCAGAATGGCTCGACTTCCCACGCGAAGGAAACGGCAATTCCTTCTGGTACGCCCGTCGCCAACTAAACCTCACAACAGACGACCTCCTACGCTACCGATTCCTCAACGACTTCGACAGCGCGATGCAGCACACCGAAGCCAAATACGGCTGGCTGCATTCCTCGCAGGCGTACATCAGTCTGAAGAATGAGAATGACAAGGTCCTCGTCTTTGAACGCGCGGGCCTGTTGTGGATCTTCAATTTCCACCCTACGGAGAGCTTCACGGATTATCGCGTCGGTGTTGATGTCGCGGGCACGTATCGCATTGTTCTTGATTCCGATGATGCCGCTTTTGGAGGATTGGGTAGGAATGTCAAGGAGACTCGCTTCTTTACCACTGATTTGCCTTGGAATGGGCGTAATAATTTTGTTCAGGTTTATATTCCTACGCGGACTGCTTTGGTGAGTGTTATTCCCTATCGTCTGCTCTTTCGTCTCCTCCATCCCTTCTAACATCTCGGCTCTAGGTTCTCGCATTGGAACATACACTCTAAACTCCGAGAGATACTACACTTCCTTTTTTCCCGCGCCCTTGTAATTCAATAAATACACAAAGGATGCTACGTTCAACAAGACAGATTGTTTAGTTAGCCAATTAGCCAGTAATCGTCCGAATATTATTTCAATGATGTGTACCACCAAATCCCTACTAGTACCTACTAGGATATGTATACTAGTATGTGTACGCTTGCAATCTAAGACCTCTGTGCTTTCAAGTCCGAGATGGCCTTCTGACAATTACGTTGGTGAGTCAAACATTAATTATGGGACTATATGAAAGATGGTTCTGGAAGCCTAACCCGATTCCAAGATAGATACACTATGAGATGGAGATTCCAAAATCCCCCTCGAAGTAAGTTAGTGAGCGGACGACAGCTGCAAGAAGACAAATATTCCCCTCCCCTTCCACCCAATTGACATGAATCAACATGACTGTGCCAGAGAAATGTTATCAAGATAAAGCGACATAATAGTGCCTGCTGTCAACCTGCAAAGAAGGGTGGTACTCTCCGACGATGCCTGGAAAGTATTCTGATATGTATGCCATTCGGATTTGGTGGCTGTATCGATGGGGACCGTGAAGTATGTCGTGGTAGAGTCAGTAAGCCCGCAAAACATGTTGGATTGAACGGTGCTCGAGATAACGTTGTAATCCAGCGAAAAGGTGTACGTTTGTCCGGGGACAGTGGTAAGCACCTGGGAGATTTCCGCAATGGTCGTTCCTACATCGATGGAGTAGAGATCGAGTGCGTAGGTTGTGGTCTCGCCAGAGACAAACTTGTATCTTCCGCCCCCAACAGCAAAGAATGTCCAGGGTGATAAGGTTGCACTGTCAAAATTGGGATTTGAGACGATGTTCACGTTACAATTGGCGGAGCTAGTCGCCGTGGACGTGATAGTGGTTGTGGTAGTTGTTGAGACTGTCTGGGTGATGGTCACGTCGATGGTGGAAGTGGTAGTCGCCGTTTTAGTAACATCAACAGTGTTGGAGATGGTGGTTTCAACAGTGACGGGCACAGTGGCTGTGACGGTAAACGAAGAAGTTGCTGTTATAGTTGCTATTTCAGTCACATCAACAGTGACTGTGGAGGTCTCGGTAGCTGTCACTGATGTTGTCTCAGTAGCAGTGTTATCGGCAGTCTGGATAGTAGTCTCGCTAGTGGTGATATCGACCGTCTCTGTATTGGTTTGCGTGGTGGTGATATCGGTTGTGACAGTATTGGTTATGTCAACAGTGGCATCTTCAGTTACAGAGGCGGTCTCATGGGCTGTGATGTCAAGGGTAGTGGGAGTTGTGATATCACTAGTCACTATAGCGGTGATGACTTTGGTTTCCGTGGTGGGATTCTCGACAGTCATAGTCACAGTAGCGATATCGGTGGCAGTGGTGGTCGAGCAAGCGGTGACAGTTAACGTCGCTGGGATAGTTGTTGTCTTTGTGATATCGGTCGTGACTGTATCAGCCTTGACCGTGGTCAACGTGCCGGGGGCTGTCTTGGTCACAAAGTCCGTGGTAAACTTTGTCATGTAGACAGTATGTATCCTGGGTTCCACGGAATGTGTGGTGACCGTTTGGGTAACCTATGGAACGGATTAGTATCCTTATTACAGGGGCAAGTGAATATACGTACAGTAGCCCGAGCCAATGTCTTGGTGGTATACACTGTTGAGACCCATTCCTCGAAATACAAGAAAGCGCATGCACTTTGCAGATGAGTAGCATGGATGCCTCTTAGGGCAGAGGGAGTAGTCCTTGCGGCACGCTCCTCAACCACATCTCTCTTCGCTGGAGCGAGTGTAACAACGGCGGTGGCGGTTACTGTGACCCCATCAGTTTCCACCGTGGTGAAGGTTAGAGTTGTGTAGTCGGTCTCAGTGGCGGAGATAGTGTTGGTTGCAGTTTCCAAATCAGTATTGATGATAGTCTGGGACACGGTATTTGTCGCAGTCACATCTACTTCCTGTGTCGTTGTGGACGGTATTGTATTTATTGCTGTCGCTGTGGCGGTATCGGTATAGGAAAGGGTGATGGTTTCCGTGTGATAGTTGGTTATTGTGGCAGTGGCGAGGTCAGTATATAAATTGCTGATATAGACAGTCGCTGGCTCCGTGATAAAAGCAGTCACCATGGCCGTGGAGTAGTCAGTAATGGTGTTTGTAAATGTTCTAGTAGTCGTGTCTGTGAACGACTCAGTGACCGTGGCAGCAGCATAGTCAGTGATCTCGTCGGTGACTGTGCTTGTGATAAAGCTTGTAACAGGGATAGTGATGGTTTCAAGGTCCGGCTGGGTCAGGAACACAGTTGAAACCTTAGTAGAGGTTAGGGTCGACCAATCCGTCACCGTCTTCGGGACAGTATGGGTCACAATCGAAGTTGAATGGCGCGTACTGGTGTGGGCAGACTTGGTTATCGTTGACAGACAATGCTCTGTCGTTGTCTTGGTCGTCACTTGCTCTGGATGGTCGGTGATGGTCTTGGTAACCTTGACGGTAGCTGCGGCGGGAGTAACTGTTTTGACGACTTTGGTAACCACCTCGCATTCCTCGAGGATCAATTCACGACAGAAGGGACGGCCCTGAGGACATTTTTCAACCAAGCGTACAATCTCGGCAAGAGGACCATTGCGCCAGTTCGACTCGGGCTTCCCAATTATCGGACACCATCCTCCATGGTTGCCCTGATTGGCATTGACATGATCTGGGAGAGACGGAGAAGGCAGAGCCACAGTGGTGGCTGCGCATGTCAATGCGACCAGCAGAGAGCTCTTCTTCCAGACCATCGTGAAGACTCGCAGAAGCACTTGAAGTCGCAGCGACACTGTCCAGCAGAGTGGACCGGGGGGAGTCGCATCGCGGCTTTATATATGGAGTACTCCGTAGACGAGACGGTCTTCCTCACTGGGCTCCATGGGAAGAAAATGGCGGCCGAAAAGTTTGAAATGAGCAGCATGAAAGAGAAGATGCAATTTCGAGCGATCTGGGATGTGTTTTCGATAGGTCCAGATCGTGATCATAAGCGAAGTGCCAACGCTTTACCACAAGCTATCCTGGATTGGGATCAGGAACCTGTTTGTCCCCCAAACCGCACTATCGAAATGGGCGGTTTTGGGTCAGTAAAATCAGGAACTAGCGGCGAATTGGAGTGACAACGCATGCAATTCTCCTGCAGTTCTTTCGCGGTCGGCTTATGTGGCTGAGAACGAAGCCAGCAGGAAACCAGTAGGAAGCCGGTGGTGCCCAAGACAAAGCAAGCCCAAAGCTTGAAAAGAGCTTAGTTGCTCGCGTGGACCCGTCTTCCCCAGTTTTGTCTTTGTTTTGCCTTCTGTAGGATCCTGCTAGACTCTGCTAAGCTTTGCTAGGCGGTTTATACTCGTATGCTCGGCTGGATTCGCCTCTTTGCCTGCGCTGGGGTTCACCCGCTCGGCTAGCATATCCTATACCTAGTATACTCCGTACTATACCCATTAACCTTTTCTTTTAGCCCGGGATTATCTAGTCTTAGGTATCCAGTGCTTGTCCAAGTTAGGCATGAATGACATGTTGGACTTTCTACTCCAGATACTACTACTTCCTGGGTATAACTTGATAATCCTACAAGCAATAAAGCCCCAGAGATTACTAGTACTGATAACTCTACAGCTACAGGTTTACCATCCTAGGATACTAATATCTACTATTAAGAAAGACTCAGAACAGCCACATCACAAAGGAAATACAATTGACACCAGGTTATTTAGGGTTGCCTCACAGGGCCATGGTTTTCAACTCTAAATACACAATAATGAAACACAAGCCAGGCCAGGCAAGATGGGTTGTTGATGGGTAGGGGTGGGTAGGGGAATGGTGGCCAAAGACTTCAAAAAAAAGATTTGAGTGTAACTCGCTCACATACAAGACAGACAAACGCACATCTTTCCCTTCCTTTTCTTGTCCTCCCGAACAGTATACCTTCCTTTCCTTCCTTCGATCTATCAAACCCTCTCCTCGTGTTTCCCCTTTTCTGGTTCTCTGTTTTGCTTCGAAGTCCGGCTCCGCTAGGTTGGATGTGCTTTTCTTTTCCTATTTCCGTTCTTCGGCATGTGTTCGCTTCAAGAACCACTGCTCCCCTTTCAGGGTTGACTGGGTGAAGGTACTAATATGCTAAGGAATGGCGAAATAAGGTATCCTGTAGCATAATCTCATCTGTTCTGCTCTTCTCCTACAAGGTGGGAAAAATTGAAGCATTCGAGATGAAAAAAGGCATGGCAGGAGCGTATTTCCAAACATAGAAGAAATCCATTCCAGCCCACGAAAGACCAAGAAGAAATCAAAGAAGAGATCAAGGAACACGAAAAAGTAATAAGAGGGGGTAAGATTTCAAGAAGAGAGGTAGGGTCAAGTATTCTTGAGAAGACAGGGCACGAAAAGGTTGTGTTGGATGGCGCCCGCTAGCTAGCAATTGATAAAGTTACATTTAGGCGGAGCCTTCGAGCTCAGCCAGAATCTTCTCACCCTTGGCACGGGCAGACTCGATGTCGCCAACCATGTAGAAGGCGTTCTCGGGGAGGTCATCAGCCTCACCGGCGATGATGGCCTTGAAGGAGCGGATGGTGTCCTTCAGGTCGACCAGGGTACCCTCGATACCAGTGAAAACCTGGGCGACAGCGAAGGGCTGGGACAGGAAACGCTGGAGCTTACGGGCACGCTCGACGGTGAGCTTGTCAGCCTCGGACAACTCATCCATACCCAGAATGGCAATGATATCCTGGAGAGACTTGTACTCCTGGAGCATCTGCTGGACACGGGTGGCGGTGTTGTAGTGGTCGTCACCGATGATACGGGGGTCGAGCATACGGGACTTGGAGTCGAGAGGGTCGACAGCGGGGTAGATACCCAGCTCGGAAATACCACGGGAAAGCACAGTGGTGGCGTCCAAGTGAGCGAAGGTAGTAGCGGGGGCAGGATCAGTCAGATCGTCAGCGGGCACGTAGACGGCCTGGACGGAAGTGATAGAACCCTTCTGGGTGGTGGTGATACGCTCCTGCATACCACCCATGTCGACAGCCAGGGTGGGCTGGTAACCGACAGCGGAGGGGATACGACCCAGCAGGGCAGACACCTCGGAACCGGCCTGGGTGAAACGGAAAATGTTGTCAATGAACAGCAGCACATCCTGTCCCTCCTCGTCACGGAAGTACTCGGCAATGGTCAGACCGGTCAGGGCGACACGGGCACGGGCTCCGGGGGGCTCGTTCATCTGACCGAAGACCAGGGCGACCTTGGACTCGCCATCGAGCTGGATGACACCAGTCTCCTGCATCTCGTGGTACAGATCGTTACCCTCACGGGTACGCTCACCGACACCACAGAAGACGGAGTAACCACCGTGAGCCTTGGCGATGTTGTTCTGGATGGGGTAAGATTATTAGCAAGGGTATCGATTGATATGTGTTGATATAAGGAATACTCACAATCAGCTCCTGAATGAAGACAGTCTTACCGACACCGGCACCACCGAACAGACCAATCTTACCACCACGGGCGTAGGGGGCAAGGAGATCGACAACCTTGATACCAGTGACCAGAATCTCGGCGGAAGTGGACTGCTCAATGAAAGCAGGGGGCTCGGCGTGGATAGGCAGGAACTTGGTGGCCTTGACGGGACCACGCTCGTCAATGGGGTCACCAGTGACGTTGATGATACGGCCCAGGGTACCGGCACCGACGGGGACCTTGATGGGGGCACCAGTGTCCTTAGCGGAGACACCACGGGACAGACCCTCAGTACCTATATAGCGCGTCAGTATGGGAAGGGTCACTTCAAGGAAGGGCAGGAAAATGCCGGGCCGACCGATGTGGGTCCCCTTAGCGGTGAGGAAAGGGACAAACACGGTGGCTCAACAGGGGGATGGAAGAGACGAATGGTGACAGGAAGGGGGGGGGAGAGGATGTAGCTTACCGTCCATGGCAATAGTACGGACGACATTCTCACCCAGATGTTGCTATGATAAGGTTAGCTCGAGTCCAGGGGGCGGATGGAAAGGTGGTCCAATCAGAGGGCACGTACAGCAACCTCCAGGACGAGCTTCTGGCCGTTGTTGGTGGTCTCAACAGCGTTAAGAATGGCAGGGAGCTTGTCACCCTCGAACTTCACTGTAGGAGGAGAAATGTCATGTCAGAGAATATCCAGGAGAGTTGATTGAGATCGATTGCGATGGTTTTGAGGATGGATTGGGTCGAGGGAAAAGATTTTCGCGTCGACCATCAACCAGGGGAGTCGGGAGCGACGTACCGTCAACGACGGCACCAATGACCTGGTGAACCTTGCCGGCCTGAGCAGTCTCGGAGCTGGCGAAGCGAGCAGACAGGGCAGGCAGGGCAGAGGAGCGGAGAGGCTGGAAGGCGCGGGCGACGGGGGAAGGCCGGGCGTAAGTAGCCCTCCCGAAGGTCCGGGCGAGACCGCTGGAAGAAAAGGTTAGAAGAAGTCGAAAGGGAGGGATAAAAAATAGGTCGATGTTGAGAGGATGGAAAGGTCGGGTAGTGATGGCGGATGACATACCTCTTGAACATGATGGTGGTGTTGAAGAGAGGTGGTAGGGATAGGTGGTTTTGGGGGGAGAGGGAAAAGGAAGAAGAGAAGAGGAGAGGTTGGTGGACTCTCGCGGGAATGGAAACGGGGGGGGCCCTTAGCCTTTCCGGGGCGGTTTTGCCGATGGTCCCGTGATGAACCGAGTGTCTGTCCAGCATTGTAGGGAAATTCCTCTGTCGTTAAGTTACCATTACTATAACTATAGTATACTATTTTTTTATATAAATTATTTATCATATACTCTTGATTGACTCCCATCTTGCCTGACTCCTGGTGAGCGTGATTGTGTGGTTTGCCGTTGCTAGGGAATCCCTCGTCACCGGAGGCTTGGCGCCGGATGCAGGCACAGAACTATACAGCGAGTGGACTAGTAGGAGTATTCTCTATAGAATAATAATTTTCTAGATATCTCAATAGCATTATAACTAGAAATAATATCTTTTTATAAAAATACTACTCCAATTGACTTAGTGGTGCAGACACCTCCCAAACTACCTTCCTGTGGTAGCTCGCAGCTCACCCGGAAATCTCTGACGTGTAACTCGGAGCCCTTCACCCGTCCATCCGCGGTCTGCTGAGCCCTGGAGCTCTAGGGTCAGCTCCATTGACCTAGGGGTATATTGCCCTCTTTATACTTCAACATTAGATACTAGTACTCTAATAACAACCATTTATTCTCCAAAAATCACTAAAAATACAACCTTCCTAAAATGCATCTGAACACCCCCTCCCACCCACCATTCCCTCCCCCGACAGGGGTTCTCCGCACCAGCTCATGCAGGTTCCGAATCCCTCCGGCGACACCACGCCATGGCCGCCTACCTACAGCTACCACCTACCACCTACGTCGAAATGCCCAGCTGTAACAGCAAAACCACCAACCACTGTAGATAAAATAGAACAAAAAAAAGGCCAACATATTTCTCTATGGCTACAAAGGAGATACATTGATTATAGCACAGTACGAGATACACGCATTTTGGGATGCTTGCGAGCGGTAAAAAGGACAGGGTGACAGAAAATATGGGCATGAACCCGCTCAGCCCTGCGCCGGCGGACTGAGCAATTTGTCGAGAATCGAGTCCATGAGAGGACAGGGGTTTCTCGACAATACCTCCCAGTTCCGGTCGACGTCAATATCTGAGGTCGGATTCACCCCCGATCGGGTTCGCGACCCATCTATTGCTTCTCAAGGGGAGGGCTCTGGACGAA